GTATATCAGCAAACAATGCTGTTTGTCTCTGATTATTTCCACAAACTGAAAACAAGATTTTAAACTGCATTCTTCTGGGACTGGGAGCTCATTAACTATTGGAAGGGGGGCCCAATACTTCCCAAGATTTTTAATATTTTGTTTACCTCTCACCTATATTTAACAAGTTTGAGTCTATAAGATCAGAGAAATAAAATGAAAGGTAGAAATACAGAAAATGAAACAAAAAAGATCTCCGGAATTAATGTCTACTATCCCATACCTTGTGCTAATCTAGCAGCAAGTCTAAACTCCAGACGAGGAATTGAATCCATGTACAAATAGAAAGTATCTCATATGGGTCCACGGAAACAGCAAAGCCAACCTCATCAATTAAAACTGGGCATTAATTGTGCAAAATCAAAATGTATAAAATATAAAAAAGGAATCTAGTTTGCTGTCAGTGAGCTGGCCCTACATTAAAGGGACACTAAAGCCACCAGAACAACTATAGCTTTTGGCATTTGTTCTGGTGAGTATATTCATTCACTTCAGGCTTTTTGCAGTAAATGCAGTGTTTACATTACAGCCTAGTGATAACTCCACTGGCCACTCCTCAGATGGTTGCTAGAGGTGCTTCTTGGGGCAGTGCTGCACACTGTGCAGTACTACCCTTCAGTGTCTCCACCCTCGGCATGCAGATATTGAACTTTCCTCATAGAGATGCATTGATTCAATTCATCTCTATGAGGAGTTGCTGATTATGGCAGGGCTGCGATTGACTTGTGTTGGGTCTGCCCCTGATCTGCCTCCTTGACAGTCTTAGCCAATCCTATGGGTAAGCATTTAATTGGCTCACAGAATCACTTCTGATGATGTCAGCCAATCAGACAGATCAGGGACAGAGGCAGTAGCTGCAGACTCGAATACAGGGTGCTAGCTGGTGGTTTTAGCCCTGTAAGGTCAGGAATACATGATAGTATTTTTGATTTAATGTTTGCTGACTTGGGGTTTATGTGTTGTGTTTTCCTTTTTATATTTTATACGTTTTGAAATTTCACAATATATGTCCACTTTTAACTGAAGATGTTGGCTGCATTATTCCCATCTGGTAGAAATCTACATCACTGTGTTTTCCTCTGCCCAGGAACTGAGCGCCCCCATCTTGGCTCCCTGTCAGTCACTGGTATAAGCTCCTCCCTTTTCTGTCATTGAACACAGTAAGCGGAGGAGGGGAATAAGAAACATTGTTTATTTTTCTCCTCCTTCAAAGCAATGTGTGCCTTGGTTGTGCCAGGAAGGAACGGGATTGTGACGTGAGTTGTGTAACCTTTAATAACATTCTAAACAAACTGGAACATGAAAAAAGGTTCACACAAGTTATTTGTGACTGTTAATGTTTTATTCAATGGTGTAATTTTTAGAGAAGTGATGGTATCCCTTTAAGTGGCAGAATGTTGGCAAATGCCTATCCCTAAAACTCATAATAACATTAATACTTGTAAAAAAACACACTGATAACCTATGTGCTAATGCCACATTATGATTTATAAAGACTATGGGCAGGTCATGGCACACAGTTGCTCATTTTTGGCAGGTCTAATATGGGCAGATGGAGGGGTTAAGAGGGTTCATTAAATGGGCATTTGTTAAACAAATATGTCTTACCCAATTGAGGTATGTCATCCCAGAGCGTATGAGAAGTAAGCCAATCTTCTGAACCATTCACACCCAGAATTGCATTACGCAGCTATTGATATACTTTCACACTTTCCTGGGTGACAGAACCAGTCTGATGGGTGATCAGATGGACTCAGATGGACCGTGTGACAGGCGGATCCACCATGTGACTTTACTTCTCCGTCATAACAAGTCAGTTTGTAAAACTGGCTGTGGCTATAAGCCTGGCCCTTTATTCCAGATATCAGAGGACCCAGAAATATTCCCTCCTGTGCCAATCACAAGACTGGCCATGGCTGATAAGAGGCTGATATAAGACCTGGCGTGGCTGCTATTAGCTTACGCAGCTATTTCCACTCATCAAATCCAAGGAATGGAACTATTGTCGAGAGCTGAACTACATATCCCATAAAATCGTGCTGGATTAGGGTTTATGGGATACATTCAGATCCCACACAACAGATTTAGATACCCCCTGATTGACAGAGCCACTTTGTTGTCTGGGAAAAATTAGCTGCTGCTAATTACTTGTGGATTTGTCGCAATGCAGGAATTATATTTTTTTGCATCAATTGTTTTTGTATATATATCGTGAAAGCATAAAAATGGGGGTAACATGACTCATATCCTACCCCTTTAAATAGCTAAATGTATCCTTTCAAGTAAAACAAGTTTTATATTATCACGGTTGTTATTTAAATATCATATAAGACAAATGAACAGCCTACAGGATGGACGTCTTCACTATAGATCACAGGTCTGCCTAGCGTTTCAAAACCACTGTTTAGTGAATTAACCCCATGACTGTAAACTTTTACATTGATTGCTGGTCTTGAATAGTCATTAAATATAGTGACATCTTGGTAGTCTACCGCAAACTTCAGAATTTACATATCTACAGTATCCAAGTAATAACAATTAATAATCAGCCTTGTTTTTCTGTTAAATAATAATAATAAAAAAAGAAAGGTTTTCTTTGTAACCTACTACTGCCCTCTGGTGGTAAACACAGAATGTGCAGCTGTAGAAAATAACCACTTCCAAGTACAAACTGAATCTACATGAGCAGATTTTGCTATTCACAAATGGCTAAATTACAAAGTATGGAAGCCTAATGATAATCCAATGACCTTGATGCAGACCTGTAATCCTAACTCACACACTGCTTTCAACCCCCCTTTACCGTATAGCAATATCCTAATTCCCTATTCTAACCCAGATCCATTTGAAAACATCAGAGACCTATTGACTCAGTGTGGTTTCAATTTGATTTATAGATAGTAAAGTATACCTTGAGAAATCTTACACCGCTAAACATACAGAGTAGCAGTGACATGTAATAAAGGTAAAGACACTGTAGGCGATCGGGGGATGAGCATGACATGTCGTTATTAGCTGCACAATTTTTACATTTATGTATAGCAGTGGATATAGGCAAAGTAGTAATTGGCATCTTGAGAACATGCAGATTGAGTTAATCGATAGTGCTGGACACCAAGGTAATAGTCGAGAGTAAACTCGAGTTTTAGAATCTAAACAAGTTTAAGCTTAAACACAGAATATATGCAATGCATTAGAGTGCAACTAGAACTGTATAGAGATAATGATGAGGTTAGTAACCATGGGCCCTAAAACATTGCAGTGCGGCTGCATCCGGCCATGCTCTACGCATTGGCAGGATCACCTTGAGAAATTTGACCATCTGAAATTGAAATTAAAGCAAATTAAATTGGCTGGAATTGAACAAATTTGGAGCTTATTTAACAAGCCCACTGTGATGTGGTTGCTCTTAAATGGACGCTGTAGGCACCAGAACTACTACAGCTTAATGCAGTGGTTCTGGGGCATATAGTCTGTCCCTGCAGGCTGAGCAGTGTCTACACTACCGCCTAATACTCCCTCTGGTAGCTGTCATTCAGACAACCACTAGAGGGACTTCCTGTGCTCGGTCCTGCAAATATTACAGAACAGACATTCATCGTCTCTACTCTCTGCACAGAGTCGCGGATAGCTCCCCAATGAGATGAATTGAGTCAGTGCAACTGTATAACAAGATTCTGAATGATGAATTGCCGTGCATGCGCACTTTCCTCCCAATGCCTTCCTATGGTTGAGATCATCGGGATAAATTGTCTCAGACAGCGGAGGGGGGCCATTAGCTAAACAGTCATAAAAAAACTCTACAAATACGGATTTGTATTCTATTTCCTGAAGCTTTAATGTCCCTTTAATCCCTGGAGCCCAAATAACTACATTTCATTTTGAGAAAGAGGCTTACCTAGTGCAAGGCGGGAGAAAAATATGAAAAAAATATATATATTTCCGCCAACCTTCCCCAATCTCCAATCTCCAATGGAGGAGAACAGGGTCCTTCATCATGTCAAAAAGTATAAGACTAGCTGTAAGCTTTAACCCCTTAAGGACACATGACGTGTGACATGTCATGATTCCTTTTTATTCCAGAAGTTTGGTCCTTAAGGGGTTAAGGAGTATTTTTAAAGCGCGATATCGGCAATTGTCAAAATAGAAGCAAAGGGGTGTGCGGCACACGGCCAATGACCACATAGTGGAAGCTAATACATGGGAGCACCATACATATATCGCCGATTGTCCATCATATTGGACCAGCTGGATCATTTTATTAGCACAACAGCGTGCCATTTGTAGGCCGAGCAGTAAATCTTCTAAATAATAAGCTTTGGCTCTTTTTGTTCTTTATACGCATTGCTACGAGTCATATAGCTACGGGCTGCAGAATAGAGTAGAATTTATAAACAACAGGGAAGGTTACATAAATGATTAGGTGGAAAGGTAAGTGGTCCTCGACTGTTAAGAAAAAAAAACGACAAAATGTTTCTCTCAATAGGCGGTTGAGTACCCGAGTTAAATAATGAAAAGTACAAATGTAAGAGTGATGGAGCAGAGATTAAGTAGCGGGAAGTCCATTAAGTGGAACACCTAGAGAATTCTTGTGAGCTCACGAGGAGAAGGTTGCTGATTTTTTCATTCATTTACAAAGCTTCATCCAGCCCTCACTCACTCCACATTCTAACATGTTCTTAAACTCTTTTAATCTAGCTTACAATAGTGCACGTTCCATGCATGCAGCATGGTAAAAGGTTTAGATATTCCTTATCTTCAAAGAACATTATAAAATATACCATCTTAAGGTTCTTATCATGCAACGGAACACTCCCAGCTCAGGGTTTATTGAATAAACAGAGAATTGAAAACCACACTTGTAGCTGTCAGGAAATATTTAGAGGGACTGCATTTAGAGGAGATATGATTGTAGCATCGGTGCAGGACTGTGGTTGCTTTTGTTTCCAGAGGGGTCTCCTCCTAAAAGTCACATTCTGCCCCCTCCTCCCCCTTTTTTGCCTTTTATGGCATAAAGTAAACACATTACAGAGGATGATGAAGCATTGCAATTCAGGTACGTACGTTCAGTCCCATCTTGAGTGTTGGAACCAGTGTTGTCTGCCAGGATTTGGATGATGATATAACATTCACCCCGTGTGACGTATGGTAAGGACAAAGATTAGTGAACACGACATAGAAGAAGGAACAGTTAACAAGCTACGGGTAGGCAACCTTTGGCACGCCAGATGTTGTGGACTACATCTCCCCTGATCCTTTGCCAGTATTATGGCTGTAAAAACATTATGAGAGATGTAGTCCTTCTTATCTGGAGTGCGGAAGGTTGCCTACCCCTGAAGTAAGAAGTATGAGTGCACAGCATCCTGCGATTGCATGATCAGACCCTCTGTCTGCTTCTCATTCATAAAAAAACCCCACAAACAGCGTATAATATGTGCAATTCTTTATTTACAATAATAACAAATGATGACAGTTCTCCTTTAAGTCAGTCTCAGGATGTCATGAAGCCTCTAATTGCCAGTTACAAAAATTAATTACTCAAGGGTACAACAAGAGGTAATGGTTTGTAATTAAAAGAATTCATTAGGGAGGAAATGTTTTGCCAGTCTCACTATTACAAGTCACTTCTCATAAGGTAAGATGAACATTCTGTGTAGTTGCAGTGAGATAGTGGTATATCCTGAGAGCCTCCAGTCTACTGACTGCATGTGGATAGGAACAGGTATACTAAACTATAACGGAAAAAGAAGGATCCCGGATGTGAACTAGGTGGGTGGAAGGTGTATCAACACATCTAAAGTTGGAACAAATGTCCCTCCCTGCCCCGTCCCTTCCTTTCAGTCTGTACAAACAACTTACAGGTTTATTCACTAAAATGAGAATTGTTGGGAATTCCACGTGAATTGAAAGTCGATTTACATTTTAGAGGAAAATATCTGAACTGGAAGCACAACTAAATTAGATCAATTTTTCCATTTCAGGTTCTATGGCTGCAATATACCTTAGTTTCAATAACTAATTAGTAGCACAAACAAACAAACAAACCCGCAAGTATATATCACTTTAAGATATCCAATCAGTGGTGGGGTTTGTATAATTCAGGAACATTTAGTATCAGACAAAATAAATGGAAATGATACCTTGTTGGGGTTCTGCTGTATCTATAGTAGTCAGATTGATGGCATTTGCAATCCACTTTAAATTGAGTTGGGATTTCTGGTGTATTGGAGCAATACGTTTAGAGTTGAGTTTAGCAGGAGTAGCTGAAATTAGGAATGGCAACCTGTTTAAAACTGCAAATAAATGCAGAGTCAAGGGACAGTCTGGTTTTTAAAGGGTTGGAGAGGTCAGCAGCAATGATAAATCAAGCAGGGATCTAGTTTACAGTTATATTTCTGAAAGTGAGCTCACAAAGCAACTTTGTATCTCAACGTAACAAAATCTCGGCTGGGAGGGAGAAGTCACTAATTGAAGGCGAAGCTCCATTGGCAAGGACATACAGACCCGAAAAAGGCTTAGAGAGAATTGGAGTAGCGGTAAGTTCTGACAGTGGCCTTCAATTTGAAATTCACTTTGAGTCCCCCACAATTCTCAGTTTAGTAAATAACCCTGTTATCGTCAGTTTGGCTAAGCCAACTGCTTGCAGACTGTCTGTCTAGACCAGGTTTCACCAAACTCCGGCCCTCCAGATGTTGCTGAACTACAACTCCCATGATTCTCAGCCTATTTCATTTATAGAATCATGGGAGTTGTAGTTCAGCAACATCTGGAGGGCTGGAGTTTGGGGAAGCCTGGTCTAGACTTGGACAAATAAAGTGGAAGTGAAACGACTCATTATCTCGGCAGCAGAGGGGCTAGGTGTCAGAAGAGTTCTGATTGTTAAAACACATGAAAACTATTGGACAAAAAAATGTAATACAACAATTTGAAATAATACAATAAGATGTAATAATTCAGTAAACAATTATACAATCATTTGTAATAAAATGGTAAACTGTAATAATAACACAATAACCTGTAATAATCAGGGCCAGCCCGTCCTATCGGTGACTAGGGCGCACCAGCCTGGAAAGGGTGACCCGTCAGGAGGGAAGCGCTTCTTCCTGCCAGTCACTCAATGTAGCGTGACCGGGCAGCGCGGACCGTAGTACAGGAAGACCACTAAGGGGAGGTGGGGGAGAGAGGACCACTAAGGAGGGGTGGGGGAGAGAGGAGCACTAAGTGGGGAGAGGACCACAAAGGGGGAGAGGGGAAGTGTAGTGGACCACTAAGGGGGGGAAGGGGGTCCACTAAGGGACAGGGAGGGGAGTGGAACACTGAGGGACAGAGAAGAGAGGTGAGAAACCACTAAGGGACAGAGGGCAGGGGAGAGCTCTAAGGACAGAGGGGACATCTTTAATGGAGGGGAGGAGAGAGCACTAAGGGGCAGATGGGTAGGGGAGATCACAAAGGAACAGGGCAGAGCACTAAGGGACAGGAGGGGAGAGCTCTGAGGGACGTGTGGAGAGATCAATTAGGGACAGGGGGGGAAAGGAAAGCACTAAGGGACAGGAGGGGTGGGGAGAGTACTAATTGACTGGAGGGGAGGGGATATCACTAAGGGAAATGGGGGAAAGGGAGAGCACTAAGGGACAGGAGGAGAGAGCACTAAAAAAAAGAGCTGCTCCCCTCTCAGCCCATATCTTACCCCACAAATCCTCTCTTTCAAACTACACACATACACAATGCATCCTTACATATACACAGAAACACACAATGCATCCCTTCACACACACACACACACACACACACACAGAGAAACATACAATGCATCCCTACTCGCACACAGAAACACAAAACACACAAATCATCCCTTATGCACACACACTGCTTCTCTTCTCTTACACACACTCAATGCACCCCTTACAGACACACACTGCATTACATTACATACACAGAAACCCACCTTGCAGTCCTTACACATGCAAACACAGATTCACACAATGTATTCCTTACACACAAACACACACTGCATCCCTCACACAAATTGGTATCCCTATACACTACATTCTATAAGAACACACACACATTACATCCTCTAGAATGACACATCCCCTACACACATACACTCCACTCCCTGTGAGAGAACTCATGGGTGGGCCATGTAGGTGGACATTTGGGCAATCCTTGTAGGCATACTCAGGGTCAGAACCTGGGTGCCTAGACATTGAGCTGTATAAGGGGCCCCAAAAAATGCTTCCTGTTCATTGATTTTTGTGAGCACTGTTACAAACAGTCTTCAGAGAGCCTCTTCTACACCAGATCAGTGGAGCCAGACTGAGCCCATCATCAGCCTCTTGTCCTCATCTGGTGGTAAGTAGGCAATCCAATATATTATTAGTGGCACTAATCTCAAATTTACCTCACATTAAAGTGCCACTATAGTCACCAGAACCACTGCAGCTTAATGTAGTGGTTGTGGTGTCTATAGCCTGTCGCTGCAGGCTTTTTAATGTAAACACACTGCCTTTTCAGGGAAAAGACACTGTGTGCAGATTGGCGTTGGCCAATATGGCAGATTATATGGGTGGGGTATTGTGATGTCACATGGTGCGCAGAACATATGGGGGTGGGGGGGGGATTTTTGTTTGTCTAGGGCTGTAAAAATCCTTGCACCAGCCCTGGTAATAATAATACAATAATCTGTAAGAATATAGTACAGTAATGACACAATACAGTAAGTTGCAAATACAATTGATTGCAATAATACAATTTTCTGTAATAATACAACAGTGCAAGGAGTTTTGAAAGATGTGAAATTTAGATGGGGACGCTAAGGAGAAGAACAAATCCCAATTAAGAGCAAATCCGTGGGCGTTTTCTAGAATCGTCCCAAGATAAAATATCCAGCCAGCGAGGTTCATATACAGGTAGGATAAACAAGGGTCAAAATCTAGGGTTAGAAAACAGATCCAAAACATAACACTGGAGAAAATTCACAAACACAGTCAGAGACCAAAGCAAAGGGTCATAAAGTTAACTAATCATGATTCCTATTATAATGATCCAGTAAATGGCAGGGTGAACATGTGTGTCCCAATAACTGGCATCCAAGATGCTAAAACCTATGCAGAATGCCTTCCATAAGATTCCCTCTATTGTTTCAGTCCCTTAAATTTATATGGACTTCATGAAATCTGATCAGCCACTACTGGAAAAGGTTGAAGATCTGTATGGACACTGGAGATCTAGGCTTCAATTCCATAGATATATTTGGCAAGCCCATGGCCACTCACTGGATGAGAAGATGATGGTACAGGAACAATCCTGGATCAGGAGCCACAAGCAACACATCTGCCCAATTATTCATTAAAAGAGCCTACATACCTAAACCCCATGAACAAAGATAAGAGGTCTTTGGTAAATCACATGCAGAAACCCCATTGTTTACATGGTGCTAGATTGTGTTACATTGTGTTTACATGGTGTTATATTGTGTTTCATTGTGTGTACATGGTGTTATATTGTGTTTACATGGTGTTATATTGTGTTACATTGTGTTTACATGATGTTGTATTGTGTTACATTGTGTTTACATGGTGTTATATTGTGTTTCATTGTGTGTACATGGTGTTATATTGTGTTACATTGTGTTTACATGGTGTTATATTGTGTTACATTGTGTTTACATGATGTTATATTGTGTTTACATGGTGTTATATTGTGTTTACATGGTGTTATATTGTGTTACATTGTGTTTACATGATGTTATAGTGTGTTACATTGAGTTTACATGGTATATTGTGTTACATTGTGTTTATATGGTGTTACATTGTGTTACATTATGTTTATATGGTGTTATGGAGGTTTATACGAAGGCTCAGGATAAGAACAGGCACCCTGGAAATGAACGATAACACGGGGGATAACACAAAGGTAAAAAAGAAACATAAATGGAGACGTCTTTAGCCATAGTCCAGTGAACAGTGACATGATGTGTATATATCACAAGCTAACAAAGACCCCCAGGGGCACTGCTAGCTAACCTACAGCACACCGTGACCCTAACACCTGGACAGCCTTCACTCTTAAACCTCATCTATGAAAGATAATTGTCTACTTATTAGGACAATATCCAGCCCCGTCCATGATTAATTTATAGCGTTCCCCAGACAGTGCGTGAAGTCTCAATTTACTATTTATTAACACACTAGTTTTCATGGAGTGTATCAGAATATTGAATCTTTTTTTAATCATTTTTTTGTAAGTACTGTATAGTGTTACCAGACTTAGCCCAGTGTCATGGACATTGATGGGTAGTACATGAAAGGTCTTACTCTGTAGCGTATAGCATTCACATGCTGCAGGGAAGAAACAAGTTAACTAATCATGTTGATTGATTTGGGATTTTTCCTTTTGGGGTGATTTTATCTGCTTCCTACTCCAGGACCTCACTATCAACGTTCTACCCATCAGCATGCGGAAAGCAATCTATGTCCTGGATAACATGGTAGGAATGGCAGTCCTTATTGGGTAAAATGTTTCTGTTGGTTTGTTTGCTATACCTATTGTACACCGCTGTGGAATATGTTGGAGAACTAGCTAGTCCAACTTGAGTTATGCAGGTTTACGCAAAATAGTAATATTTATTTTTGCACTATAGAAATTTTATCATATTTGGTCTCACCACAAACTTTCTAAGGGTTCCTGACACATGCCTCTCAACTGCCCCGATTTTGGCCGGACAGTCACGATTTTCTGGTCCTGTCCGGCCATCCCACCTTCCTTTTGGGGACACCAGGAAATTGTTCTCAACAATCATAGCACAAGCTCATCATAAGACTTGCTTGTGCTATTTCCTGTGCACTAAACCCTGCAAACAGCACTATAACAGGGCACCCTGCATGACCTGCCCTTAGTGGACTGGCCTGAGTGGTGGACAGGCAGCCTGGTGTGTGTTCACACCAAGTGGAACTTCTATTAACTCGGACAGTCATGCCCCTTTCTAGATGGGTCTGCCCTTTAAGGGTGGAGCTAGCAACGAGATTCCACCACTGTCTTTCCTTTAAATCCCACCAGCGTCCCAATTTTCAGGACGCTGGAGTTGGGAGGTATGCAACAGTCCCAATTTCGGATCCTGTCCAGCTGTCCAAATTTAGTTCCCAGGAAACATGCATCTGAGGACACCAGGGAACTGTGCTTGGGCAGCACAGCATGAGCGCATCATTAGACACGCTAATGATGTGCAGCGGGCACTTGGACCATGCAGAGCGCTCTCTGCATGATACTGGAAGCAGAGGTCACTGGCTACATCCCCTGGAAGGCTTACCCACCTGTTACGTCACTGGCCACATCCCCTGGAAGGCTTACCCACCTGTTACGATTACATAACTACCAATGTTGACACCATGGTTTTCACTAAGGAATGAATTGTTGGGAGTTCAAAATCAAATGGCAAAATAGAGAAATTCTCCAACTTGGTTGTAGTCACAGCTTGGCTATCTTAACTTCTGTCCTGCCAGTTGGATTTTAACTCACAAAATAAAAAAATAAAATAAATATATATATAAAACATACAAAATACACGATCCAGCGCACTGAATAGTATTTTTTGTTTTGTTTTTTTAAAAACACCTGACTATGGTAACAATAATGGGGGTTTAGTTACAGTATATGATCATACATTGCATAAACCTGCCACAATAAAAATGTGTTCAGAAACTGCAATGTTTACAATGCAGGATTAAAGCTAATCTCTCACTTTTCAGAATTTCATAAAGATATATTTGTTATGAAAAACTAACCAAGACTGTGTTGAGTTACCATAAGACATAGCAGAGACTACTTTGTCTCATGGTAGACAAAAGCGGGCAACCCCAGCTCCCGTATTGAGCCCACCCAAGCTCCCGTATTGAGCCCCCAGTTCTATTGAAGGCCCCCAGCTCCGTGTGGGGAGCCCACCAGCTCCCGTGGGCCCAGCTCCCGTGTTGAGCCACCAGCTCCCGTGAGCCCCCAGTTCCCATATTGAACCCCAGCTCCGTGTTGAGCCACCGGCTCCCAGGCCCCAGCTCCGGCATTATTGAGCCCCAGCTCCCGTATTGAGCCCCCAGCTCCCGTGTTGAGGCCCACCCCAGCTCCCGTATTGAGCCCACCCCAGCTCCGTGTTGAGCCACCCCAGCTCCGTGTTGAGCCCCAGCTCCGTGTTGAGCCACCCCAGCTCCGTATTGAGCCCACCCCAGCTTTCGATGTTGAGCCCCCCAGCTCCGTCGGCCCCAGCTCCCGTGTTGAGCCCCAGCTCCCGTGTTGAGTCCCCCCCAGCTCCGGTATTGAGCCCCTCAGCTCCCGATATTGAGCCTCAGCTCCGTATTGAGCCCACCCCGCTCCGTGTTGAGCCCCCAGCTCCGTGTTGAGCCCCCAGCTCCGTGTTGAGCCCCAGCTCCGTGTTGGTCCCCCAACTCCCGTATTGAGCCTCAGCTCCGTATTGAGCCTCCAGCTCCGTATTGAGCCTCCAGCTCCGGTGTTGAGTCCCCCAGTTCCCATATTGAGCCCCCAGTTCCCATATTGAGCCCCAGTTCCCATAATTGGGCCCCAGTTCCCATATTGAGCCCCAGTTCCATGTGAGCCTCCCAGTTCCCATATTGAGCCCCCGGTTCCCCACGTGAGCCCCAGTTCCGTCAGTTCTCATCATCCAGTTCCCATGTTGGGCCCCCAGCTCCCGTATTGAGCCCCCCCCGGTTTCCCAGTATTGGTGGCTGAGCACAGCGCCCCCCGCTGGCGGCTCGCAGTTCCCGTTGGTGGGAGGGGGAGAAGTTGGGGCTCTCGGCGGCGCTCGCTGATGACGTCAGGTGACGGCCGTCCTGCGCCAGTAGCGGGATCCCGTGTGTCGCCCTCCTGCTCACCCCCGCCGCCAGCCCAGCGCTCCCACTCAGGTAAGCCGGGCCGCCGCCCACCGAGCGGGCACAGAGCGGACACAGAGCCCCGGGGAGGCAGCCGGGAACATGGACATGGCGACCGGGCCTTACTTGGCCCCCCTTCCCCCCGGTACTGGGCCTCCCTCCCCCCGGTACCGGGCCTTACTGGGCCTCCCTCCCCCCGGTACCGGGCCTTACTGGGCTTCCCTCCCCCCGGTACCGGGCCTTACTGGGCCTCCCTCCCCCCGGTACCGGGCCTTACTGGGCTTCCCTCCCCCCGGTACCGGGCCTTACTGGGCCTCCCTCCCCCCGGTACCGGGCCTTACTGGGCCTCCCTCCCCCCCCGGTACCGGGCCTCACCGGACCCCCTCCCTCCCCGGTACCGGGCCTTACTGGGCCCCCAACCCTCCCTCCGGTTCCGGGCCTTACTGGCCCCCTCCCCCCGGTACTGGGCCTCACTGGGTCCCCCCACACACACACCGCTTCCTGCATCCCTGGGGGGGTACACTCAGTAATATCCTCATTATTGGGTCACTAACCAGGACTGATCTGAGAGTCACCAGAGACAGCGGAACAATCTCTATATACAGACACCGAATACACGGCGCAGACCCCTGCATCATACACACACTGAAATCATCATACAAACATGTCATGCAGACACTGAATACAGTTAGTTACCTCTGATAGTACTGAATGCAGGGATCAACTCCATGAATGCAGGGACACCTTCATCAACCCAGGTACTGAATGCAGTAACCTCCCCATGAGCCTAAATACTGATTGCATGGATAAATTTATCAGCCCAGGTGCCGAATGCGGGGATCGCCTCCCTCAGCCCAGGCGCCGAATGCGGGGATCGCCTCCCTCAGCCCAGGCGCCGAATGCGGGGATCGCCTCCCTCAGCCCAGGCGCCGAATGCGGCGATCGCCTCCCTCAGCCCAGGCGCCGAATGCGGGGAACGCCTCCCTCAGCCCAGGCGCCGAATGCGGGGATCGCCTCCCTCAGCCCAGGCGCCGAATGCGGGGATCGCCTCCCTCAGCCCAGGCGCCGAATGCGGGGATCGCCTCCCTCAGCCCAGGCGCCGAATGCGGGGATCGCCTCCCTCAGCCCAGGCGCCGAATGCGGGGATCGCCTCCCTCAGCCCAGGCGCCGAATGCGGCGATCGCCACCCTCAGCCCAGGCGCCGAATGCGGCGATCGCCACCCTCAGCCCAGGCGCCGAATGCGGCGATCGCCTCCCTCAGCCCAGGCGCCGAATGCGGCGATCGCCACCCTCAGCCCAGGCGCCGAATGCGGCGATCGCCTCCCTCAGCCCAGGCGCCGAATGCGGCGATCGCCTCCCTCAGCCCAGGCGCCGAATGCGGCGATCGCCTCCCTCAGCCCAGGCGCCGAATGCGGCGATCGCCTCCCTCAGCCCAGGCGCCGAATGCGGGGATCGCCTCCCTCAGCCCAGGCGCCGATTGCGCGGAGGCCCCTATGCCATCATCACCATTATAGTAAATCTGTGGAGCCTCTGCCCCCTTCCTCATGCCTAAATACTTAAAGGACCACCATAGGCACCCAGACCACTTCAGCTTAATGAAGTGGTTTGGGTGCCAGGTCCAGCTAGGATTGTTTTTTTTATAAACATAGCAGTTTCAGAGAAAATGTTTATAAATAAATGGGTTAATCCAGCGCTAGAGGCGCTTGCTCTCCACAGAGCCTGGTGGGACCCTCAGGCACTATAGTGCCAGGAAAAAGAGTGTGTTTTCCTGGCACTATAGTGGTCCTTTAATGACCGGCCAACTGGTCCCTTGTGCTGAGTTACATGTCTCCCTTTGTACTGAACTGCTGGCGTCCTGTCGTTCGGGTAGAATATTAAATTGGGTTATTCACCTAAGTTTAATTCGGTGTGATCTACAGTTTGTCTTTCTGTGTGTATGCACTTGAAACGTTGCACATGTGCACAAATGGGCTCATGGCCCCTTTTCTGAGCCATACCTCTTGAGGGGACAACCATGACCGATGCATCAAACGCTTTTGACTGATGGATTGTGGGTAAATTACCTTGACAACAGAAACAGAACCTTGCTTATGTCTGAAGATCACAATACATGTAATGAAAATATAGTCCATACTTATTTAAAGAAAATCTAGTTAAAGCTCAAAATAAAATTAAATCGACTAAATACAGGAACAAAAAAGATTAATGGCGGGGGACAACACCTAAAAAATAAAAATAAAAAAGCAGTGAATTTACATTGTTGCTTTAAGTTGATAGGAAACCATGCACTTTTTCTTCCCAAAGCTGTACTAATGGACAAACAAGTAATGATCTATATCTGCCCACTTCAAATACTTGTAGATCATAAGCTTGTTTGAGCAGGGCCTTCCTTACTTCTAATATCCCCTTTCTGCAATTGTAAAGCACTGCAGAATATGTTGTTACTATGTAAATGCTAATAATAATAATAATAATTTACACTTTAGGGCACAGTCTGACTTCGAATTGGGTAGTTAATTTGGAAATCGATGAGAGCATGATTTATTTCTGAAGAAGATACAGTTCGGCTCACACACATTGACCTGCACTGTGAAAGTGATGATCTTTGAGACTAATGTTCCAAACAGTTAGGCAGACCAACTGCTTTTTGTAAGCAAGACATGCGACAATACGGATCGATAAAACCGGTGTGGTGTCCTGAAACCTGCTCCTTGGTCATCCACTGAGCATAGAATGCTGTCCATGTGTTGGTCCAGAGGTGAGCTATCTCAAACATATCTCATTGGGACTCAACTTGCTTAGCCTCTGCTCTCTGAAGTAAAGAATTGGTAAATGCCAAAGGTGTTGTACCTAAGGTACAACACGCCGAGTCATGTTCAAAATATTTCAACCTGTTTCTCTTATAACTAGAGGCGTTATATTTTAGAGAAATAGGTGATGCATGCTAAACTTGAAATCAAAGCTCTATTGCCGTTCTCAACATAATACAATTTGAGATGAAATCCTGATTATTGATCAGAAAATATAAAGTTATTTACTGAAGCTTAAATTGTCATGAATTCAAATAAAATTTCCCACTTTAGGCCAAGGCTGAATTAAGACCCTGCATTTAGTACTTGGGGTAGTCACAGGGTCCTTGCATCCAGTCCTTAAATTCTCTTATTATGTCTCTTTTGGCCTAAATATATGAAATAATTTATAAGTCCTGATAAAGCTGATCTCTGTTAAAAATAATTATGTCCTGGCACATTTCATCTATATATTATGATAGTCACATGGCTAGCAATTGAATTACTTTAAGTGCTCTTGTTGGGGTACATTAAGTTAAGGTGTACCTGCCATGGATACACTGACATTGAAGGGGCCGTAGCAGAGGTATTAGTTGAATATTTTGTTTATGATGAGCTATTATATTCATTTCTTGCAAAGCTGTTATCTGTTAAAGCGGGAGAGTTTTATTTTTAACCTTTCTTTCCTTCACCACGTTACTTAGTGGTAACTAATAATAATAAAGTACTTAACCAGGAAAGGTACATTCAGATTACTGGTTTTCAAGTACGTCCTGATTGCTGGTGCTAATGGTAGATATGTTCCAAGCAGCCCAGGCCCAATCCCAGGTATAATGGATGGCATCCCTTAATGTTTAACAACTGCACATTGTGCTTTGTGTAATATTTTGCATTTCGTTCGAGAGCAGGGCGGCCACCTTGGAACTGGCAGAAGTTGTTTTCAGGTTACATAGCTGAAAAGAGACTTGCGTCCATCAAGTTCAGCCTTCCTCACATTTGATTTTTGCTGTTGATCAAAAAGAAGGCAAAAAAAACCAGTTTGTAGCACTTTCAATTTTGCAACCAGCTAGGAGAAAAATTCCTTCTTGACCCCAAAATGGCAGTCAGATTAAATCGATAAATATGATGAGGGTTTTTTACAGCACAACATATAGACCACAGCTATACCTACCATATTTTGTGATGAGGGTTACATAAAAAAAACAAAATCGAACATATATTGCTTTTGCGGTGCTTCTTCAGTCATATATTTTTGAGCTTGACTTGTTAGTTTTTTTTTGTTTGTTTTTTTTTTTTGCATTATGTGCATGAGTGTGTTGTATTTTTTTTATAATTTTCCTGTTATTGAGTGATCTAAATAATGCAGATGATTCACAGCTTCTGTTTTGGAACTCGTCTCATTCTTTGTATTTAAATTCTTGCAGGTTACAGATGGCTACACCAGAGAGTCCTGAACAGGACCCTCTGTCTCCAGATGAAGTACAACCGCCACTTACAGATGAAGATGATTTTGTAAGAGACAACTCTTCCGATCCCGAGGTGGATACAAGCGATGAGATCGAACCAGCCATAAGGGAGGAGAGGGATAAAAAAAAGATTAGTTCCCTGATCACCAACAAACAGTCAGACAGCAATGATAATGCAAAGTGGATGCATTCTTCTTCTTTCCTCAATAAGCAATCAGATGAGGATGTAAAAGAGATCCGTTCACCTGTAGGTTATAAACATTCAGATGATGATGATCTTAAGGAGATACATTCTTCTAAGCTTGACAAACATTTAGATGACCATCTCAAGGAAATCCCGTCACTTAAACTTGGTAAACATTCAAATGAGGATCTTAAGGAGGCTCATTCTCCTAACACTGATAAACACTCTGATGACGAACTAAAAATGAGTTGTTCTCCCAAGCCTGACAAATATTCAATTAAACCTATGAAAGAGAATAGTTCTCCAAAGCGTGATAAACATTCAGACGAAGAAGACCGCTTGAGTGAGACCAAGTCTCAGGACTCTGATAATGAGCGGGTCCTAGAAGATCCTACCTCCCCCTCCCCCAATCGTAATGAAGACGAGGAGGAAAGGATTACTGAACTTCATGATGAGGCTTCCTCTGCAATACGGGAGTTGGATGAGCATGAACTAGACTATGACGAAGAGGTCCCCGAAGAACCAACAGGACTTGCACAAGAGGATGAAACGGAGAAATTGGAAGCTGATGATGAAGATGAAAAGGAGAAAGGAGACTCTTCTGCTGATGAAAAGAAACCCGTTGTAAAAAAAGACCAAAAGGATAGCGTTGAACCACCAAAAGATAAAAAGGAAGATGATGATGGTGATATGGATGAAGGCGAAATAGATGTAAGTTTTAATTACTGTTTGCAATTATCCTTTTATATATCCTAATATTATTTTGATGGATTTAAATGCTTCTTAACCCCTTAAGGACACATGACATGTGTGACATGTCATGATTCCCTTTTATTCCAGAAGTTTGGTCCTTAAGGGGTTAATAAAAAGAGAAATGTTTTGGCTAAAAAAATTAGAAATTGTTCCCTGGACTTTCTTTCCGTGTGGATGCCCTACCATTTCCTTTTGGAAGTAGGAAACAATGGTGGATGCTTTCCTGCACCTTCAGTGCCTTTCAATGTCCTTTAAACTAGACCTCTGGTGTGATTGGTAGCTAAGCAGGAGAACAAGTAAAAAGTTTGTGAAGCACATGACTTCTTCATGTCTGCAGATGCATTGTGTCAATGTCAACTAATTAGCATCATGGAATCTATAGTCCAACAGCATGGAAGACCAGGGTTGAACATCTCTGATCTAATAGACCAGGGTTGAACATCTCTGATCTAATAGACCAGGGTTGAACATCTCTGATCTAATAGACCAGGGTTGAACATCTCTGATCTAATAGACCAGGGTTGAACATCTCTGATCTAATAGACCAGGGTTGAACATCTCTGATCTAATAGACCAGCGTTGAACATCTCTGATCTAATAGACCAGCTTTGAACATCTCTGATCTAATAGACCAGGGTTGAACATCTCTGATCTAATAGACCAGGGTTGAACATCTCTGATCTAATAGACCAGGGTTGAACATCTCTGATCTAATAGACCAGGGTTGAACATCTCTGATCTAATAGACCAGGGTTGAACATCTCTGATCTAATATTAGATGGATGGTTGTTATCACGTTTCATAGGGTTATGGGAGCTGTAGTCCATAAATAGCTGGACAGTCCTATCGTTAACCTTAACATTTTATTTTTCACACAGATGTCGGTCTAGTGTTACATTTTACAGAGACAATTTAAGCTCCATAACGTCTACAACTCACTGTGGTAGCACTATCAAATACTAATAATATTTTTTAATACCGTTAATGTAAAGTTCCACTTTAGTGATATCTGTTAAGAAGGCTGGACATGACGAATACAATGGGCTGCAGTGGTTATGCTGTTTAGCATACTCCTTTAACCCCTTAAAGACACGTGACATGTCATGATTCCATTTTATTCCGGAAGTTTGGTCCTTAAGGGGTTAAAGGAACACTGTAGTTTTAAGAATAACATGAATAATGTTTGTGTTCTTCTCCCTATTTAGATTCAGGGAGCCCCTATATGATTAAAAAAAAAAAAGTGTTATACTTTTTTTTTACTAGCAGAGACTCACACCGGACAACTGCTCTACTTCCTCTGATGTCTTTCTGCAGACAGTCTATTCTTCATCTTCTCATCCAATCCAATGCTTCCCATAGAAGCATTGGGGGCGAGATACACATGCACGGCGAGTGCTGTTGCCCTCCAAGGAAATGCTTCTTAGAGTGAAGCATTGAATCCAGTAATTCTCTATGATAAACACTTGAGGGCGTTCAGCATCTTTATGCAATGTGTGAGGAATTCAAACATCACATAATGTTATGTATTGTAGCAACAGAAGCACCCTCTAGTGGCTCTCATGAATATAGACACTGTACATATGTTAAAAGTAGTTTTTTTTTTCTTATTCTAATAAACACCCTTCCTAATGCTTTCCAAAATATTGTGACCAGTGGGGGTCTGATCCAAGCTGTAAAGAAATCCAGTGTACCTGCTGACAAGAACAGTCACAAGCTATGTCCTATGAGGGCTGCAATTTGGGGGCATACAGCAGTCCTAAAAATAGTTTTATGTACAGTATCTTTAACATGAAACTAGAACATGCTCTCATTAAAAAAAGTTTGCTACTATTCGTAGATGGAGATTATTTTTAAGATCTTCTTTTGACTTCTGAAGATTTTAAAGTGGTAGACTGATTTTTTTTTTTTTAAATTTATTAATTTTTTTAAATATTGCTCTATCTAAGTACTGCTAAATCTAAGCACTGTGTGTTGCTGATCTTATTGGCTGGAAATACCGCGACCTCTCACTGACAGGTGACTGGGTCTTTGCTCTGTATCCACTGCAATTGGTTATTTTTTTAATTTATTTGTTTTGGTGTGTGTGTGTGTGTATATTTTATATTTGACTCTCAGTTTCCATGTGACTGTGCCCTGTATTTAATGTTTCCTATGGGTGCATAATCTATACATTTAGTCTATTTTGAGTCCCCTTTGTCCTGTCCCTAGGGGGACCTGATAACACCACTGTGTTGCATCAGGTATCACAAGTCGCTGAGATGATTTTCCAGCAAAATATATTATAAAGCACGGGTGTCCTACCTTTTTGCTTCTCTGGGCCGCATTGAGCACAAAGGACTTGTCTTGTGCCGCACAAATAATATATAATCTAGATAATGTATATAAATAATATAACTTTAAGAGCTTTTTTCTTAATTTTGATATTTTTGTTGTTTAGTAGATAACTCCCTTATTTGTTATCCTTATGTGGAATTGGCATATTTAAGAATATCAAATTATGGAGCGATCTACTAAACACATACACCTGTATATACATACAAACATAAACACACACATATATAATCACAGACCTACTATACACACAATCACAAATCTATACACACGTAATCAGATATGCACAATCACAAATAGACACATAATCACATATCTACACATACAGTCATACATACACAATCACAGATTCACACACACATACATTTACAGACCTATACACACAATCACATAACTATACAATCCTATTAAGACACACAAAACCACACACCTATACACACATAATCATAGATGTACACTTTCAGACATATATACACATTCAATCACACACACAACTTATACTCATAATCAGACCCACACACACACACAATCACTTATATACATCACACACAATCAGACCCTCACACATTTACACATACAGTCACAAACATACACAGACCCCACACACACAATCACTGACAAAACATACCCAAGAATCATACACACACATTTACTACTAAAGAGGTTTACCCAGCCTCCCTACGTTGCTCTGGGAGGGCTGGAATGGATCCTCTGTCTCTGGTGGCTAACGATTGCTGCTGTGCTGGGATCTCTGTGCTCTTCCTGCACAGGTCCCTCGTGCATCCAGCAGTGATGACCTCATGACGTCATGCAGGGAACAGGAGGAGCACAGAATGTAAAAGGCTTTCTCTCCCTCGCCAGCCGGTAGCACAGACGGCAACCGGGCTGCACTGCTAGCAGTCCTGGGTGGTATGAGGGCCGCAGGTTGGACACCCCTGGTTTAAAGGGTCTGTCCCCTTTGATTATGTCCTCAAACTAGGATGATATACAATGGTTGTGGTAATGGGATACAAAACCTCTAATTGGAGCAGCTGTAACCTCGCTATACTAGAGTGTACCCTCTTTATCTGTAATTTCTCCACATTGTATATTGTCACTGGGAGTTGTTGAGTTTTTGATCAAATAATTTTAGCTTTTATAGGAATATAGATTTTGATGGTAACACTGTCACTTTTTCACTAGTGTGTTTTAACTATCCTCTCAATAGAGTTGGTTCTTTTTGTGAGTTTTATTATTTTGTTTACTTTGCAGTCCATCTCCTTTTGTTATACAAAGGTAGAAGGGGGTTAGTAATAGTGATTTTTCTGTCAGTCTTGTAGATAGCTTAAATCAAATGAAAATTTAGTATTTACTGAGGATTTGTTATTTTAGGATGATGACCTGGAGGAAGGGGAGGTGAAAGATCCCAGTGAGAGGAAGACAAGACCGAGGCTCACCTGCCGATTCTTCATGAAAGGTGCGTTACATGTCCTTGTGCGTTCTGTGCCAACCTGTACTCTGGCCTCTCTTGTGACTAAGCAGGGTCAGAGTTTTAGACCAGGGATAGGCAACCTTTGGCACTCCAGATGTTTTGGACTACATCACCCATAATGCTCTTACACCTGTAATGCTGGCAAAGCATCATGGGAGGTGTAGTCCAAAACATCTGGAGTGCCGAAGGTGGCCTATGCCTGTTTTAGACTATTGTCTGTGAAAGGCCATGGTTTGGAGAGTCTGAAATGTAATCTAACACTATTGTGGGAGTCACAGGATTATTTACTAAATTATAAATTGTCCTTGTTTGAATTCCTGACAATTCGTACTTTAGCTCATAAGTCAGTCAATACTCATATTGTGTGTGTGTGTGTGTGTGTGGGAAGTCTGGGTCTTCAAGCATTCCAGGCTTGGACATAAATGGATGAACAACAAGGTCAACTTCTGTAATGGAACTACATGCACAGGTTCCGCAATGTGAGTGCAGCATTACACGATGCTTCGCTCCCCATTGTGAGATAAGAAACATGCAGTATGTCAAGTCAAAGATGTGATTATTGGCAAGGTCAGCCTAGGCTTACATCATTCCTAGGTCAATGCAATGAGTACCATTAAATGGGCAGTCAAACCCCAATTTGCCGTTATGCTAGGAGGCTGGGGTCCTGCCTTTCATTTCTTGGTTAAAGTTACTTTAATTGATTTGACAAAACCAAGGTTCGCAAGGCACTCCGAGCCTGGCCCCAGCTTGCAGGAATTGCTAGTGCGGCCAAGTTCAGCCATATTTGGATGAGTGCGTGTGTCCCCTGTGGGGTTATTGCTATATTCCACAATGGAGAAAATGGTGATTGCGGTTGAGGTGGAACTTCCACATTAGCAGTTCTGTCAAATAGGGTCCAGACCTCTGTTATGGTCACTTAGACGGTTTGACCCAGAATTGGGAAGAGTCTCCTGCTGCTTTATTTGGTTGGATAATATCTAGACACTAGTACACTGTTAAAAAGCCAAGTCACTGTATAATTGTTATTTAGCTTTCTATTTGTCTGGTACATAATATGATACAGATCATAGTGCAGGTTCTTGGGTTTATACAATAAAAAGTAAATTGTCACTAATTCAACGTGAATTTCAAATGTTAGGTCTCACAAGCCAACAATTATTCTCCAGTTTGGTTAATTTAGCTTAGAATTGTAAATTCAATTTGGATTCCAGATATTTTAGTGAATAAGCCTGAAAGTAAAGCTAAAAAGTTTTAGCCATTTATCATTGAAAGGGCAGCCTTCCGTGAGGCACAGTAAAGGCTCTTTATTCAAATGAACCTTCCGTATTCTAAACCCCTTGGCTTTCAACCTGCAATACCAATCAATAGTTGTATTGCTTACCTCTGTGCCAGTAAAATAAAATGTATAAATGAAATATTTTATCTTCTATTAAATTATGCCATATTCACATAAGTTTGTCTCAAACCTTGTTTTTTTTTTGTGTATTTAATTTTTTTTAAAATTATTATTTTTTTGTCTGTATAGTGTTAATGCTTAATCAACCCTTTCTGGATTTTACACCGTGTTGTCTTCTAGTCCCAGGAAGTGGAAATAACTGTGGGATTACCCAATCCATCCTCTGCAATGCATTAATTTTTGAAAAAAAATAATATAAATTATTTGTGGCGTCATGAAGTAACAAACCACACCCCTTCTAAATATAACAGCAATTAAGTGCCGAGGTATTGCTGTCATTTTGCGGTGCTGGACTTTTTCTCTTTGATGATAGAAGAATTGTTTGTTCTCTGAGTAATCCATCTACTTCCTGCTTTGTGTTTTCACACCTAGTGGTGTCATGTGACCATACCTGGGCAGTTCCAGCCTCCATTGTACGGAGTGCTGTTTTATTGATGCAGCCTGGTTTTCCCCAATGTATGATTTGGATGTTTGTCTAGCAAACATACCGTTCTTAAACCTGTAACAGTCTTGCATGTGAATGGAATTTTTTTTTATTCAGTCACGTGTTTTATGTGATTAGCACCATCACAAATAAGAGATAAGTGTGTGACAATAGACTTTGAATACTTACAATTTGACACAATTCCTCTCACCAATAATGGGATCACTGCATTTATTTTTAATGTACATATTTATTTGACAATGCTTTACGTCCCCCCTTAGTGTGCCTGCTGAATTGTGGTTGTGGTAGATATGATTGCCGGACACGGTCATCTTTTCTTCTTGCATTCATTAGGGTTCAGAATCTCTGTGAATTATTCCACAAGTCCACTGGCAAAAGGCAACAACCAGAGGGGGCCTCTTAATAATTATAACAAAAGAAAGGGAAGGAAATTAGAGGGGGCCAGTCTCCCTAATTTGCTAAGGGTCAGCAGTGACCTGTGGCTTAAGGGATGAAGTGACCACCCTCCTCCAAGTTTTCTCTGTCCTCCTTCCTTGACATGTCACTAGCTGTCACCATGTCAACTAAAGTAAGGTGGAAATAGGGAGAAGTATCACAAGGAGACACATTAATGCCCCCTCCCCACAAACACACACACCGTGTTTCACAAGCACCCTAGCATAAACTCTTCTTACACACCTACCCTGTACACATCTCTAACCCACTCTTTTTCTAACGGCGTTGGGCTGCGTTATTGGGTGTCAGTGGGTTATTACACAGGGCTGAATGAAGTAGTTACAGAAAGACAATTCAAAAAGCTTAAGCAAAGAATAGGTCGCGTTATTACTAGCAGTATTGATCTTTAAAGCCGTCTGTATTCAGAGCCAGATTGCTGGTCAGGGAACCAAGTGAATTGGGTAGAGGGAAGGCACTGAGCCTGAACCACATGTAGACAATGTCTGACGTCACTGAGGTCCCTGGATTCTCTGTTCTGTTTATAGTTGTTGTGCAGTTAAGGGTGTCCCAATGCATTCAGTAAGAATGCACACAATAGGCCATATTTATCAAGGCAAAACTTGTGGAAAACTATTCTATGTGTGTCCGAGAACTGATCCGGTTTGCCCAACGTGTATTATAGGAGATAGTCTTCTCCAATCTATTTGTATTTATTTCAGTTCTACGAATGGTCTAAAAAAGGTAAAAAATAATTCTTTCCTGCGTTTTGCCATTTTTCACATACAAGCTCATACATACAAGCTCATCTTTTCTTTTTCCCACCAAATTTAGTGGGAAAACAAGAAGTGATACTGAACACGTTCTGGCTGAAATAAGTCACAGAAAGATTGATAAATCTTCAAAAAAAAAAAAAAAAAGCCCAGAATCTATTGTGCCAAAAAAGGTACAAAAATGTCTGCATCACCTTGATAAATCTGCTGCTGTATGTTCAAGTTGTTGATGTATGTAGTTCCACTTTGTATGATATCATGTTCCTCCTATGTCCCTATATGTAGAGGAGCTAGGGTGGAGATGGCAAGTGACTGGCAGCGATTGATGTGCGTCATACACAATGTGTATTCACACATCAATCCACGTTTTTATAATTTGTCGAATTCACTACATTGAACTACTGATTGACACTCAACATTTTCTTGTCCTTGTTGTGATTGCTCTGTGCAGGTGGAGTGTGAAATGCGAATCACGTGCTGTGAATGAATTTGATCACTAGGTGTCAGCAATTAGCTTATCCCAACTACATTCTATATGCATATTTATTTATTACAGGTATTTATAAAGCGCCAACAGATTCTGCAGCGCTGTACAATTAGTGGAGGACATAAAATATACACAAATACAAAAGGTAGAGAGAGCCCTGCCCGTAAGCTGAGATCTAGCCATTTAAGCCCTTTTATACAAAGTGCTTAGCTAGATAGCTTGTGAGCTTACAGTGTGTGTGTGTGTGTGTGTATATATATTTTTTTTTTTTTTCACTTTCTTACTCCTCCAGGTGTATTCCTCATTCTATGGATCTTGATTTTTAAGAAATTTTATCAGGATTTTAAACTGAAACATTAATCATGATAAAAAATAAATGTTACGTTTTAGTTGATCGGACCCAGAAGTGCTGACCATTCTTTTGGAATTTTCTTGTGAAATCTGCTGGTTACGATCACCAGGAATAATTGCTTTTGGGGAGCCCTCCCTTTATCCTGAAAGCATGTCATTATAAATTTCAGTTACTGGTATTACTGGTCAGACATTAAAAGATACTTGCAACAGCAATTGTTTTATTTCATTTTTATTTAAAGTGATACTATAGGCATCCAAACATCTTTAGCTTAATGAAGCATTTTGGGTGTATAGGTCATTCCCCTGCAGTCCCACTGCTGAATTATCTGCCATTCATGAGTTAAGTCACTGTTAGTCACACCTTCCCTAGCTGCGATTTCCTTTATTGCACAGTCTGCATAAAATAATGTTCATTTGCAATCAGATGTTGGCTTACTTTAAATGTTTTTAGCTCTCTTATATATACACACACACACACACACACACACACACACACACGGCTCCTGCAGTATCTAGTAGGCTATTAACAGCAGGATATAGGGAATCCTAAATTAAACAGACTGTGCAATAAAGGAAGTTTAAACATTAGATCTCTTTTCAGGAAGTGTTTAGGAAGGCTATGTAAGTCACTTACAGGTAGGTGTGACTAGGGCTGTATAAACAAAATGATTTAACTTTTAAATAACAGAGAATTTAATAGTGAGACTGCAGGGGCATTTTCTATACACCAAAACTGCTTCATTAAGCCAAAGTGGTTTGTTTGTGTTTTTTTTTTAAATTTTTTTATTCTTTTATTGAGACAGTGTTAATTATGTTACAAGAAGGAAAAACAAAATGTACCGGTAAATAAAGCATACATTGATATGACATTGGTCAAGGAAGTATATGAGGTTCAGAGTATTCTCTATTTCTCTTTTCTTAAATTTTTTTTTTTTTAAAAAGTAAGTATCATGCAAGCGTTACATGTAAGTGAAAACAAAGATAGTTTACAAGCATGGTCTAGACATATCAGCGTGTTTATCAGTGTTATTTAAGTGTACATGAAAAATTTAGGTTAGTGAAACCCCCGAGCAGTGCTGGGAAGCTAACGTTGTTTTGATGCCGTTGTGTCCCTTTAAGTAGAAATATATCTACAAATTCTACAGTGTTTTTTGCAAGTTAGGCTCCCAACGTTTATATCCGCAAACCAAACCTGGATTTAGGGCACAGAATTCCAAAGACTAAATATACCTACAGAAGGAGAACTTGAGATAAAAGCAATGTGGCGCCAGAAATAAAAATCTAGGAGATTAATTCTAGGTTTAGTAGTAAGGGCACGAGGGGCTTATGCCTAGAATATTTTGTTTCTCTGAAACCTTTCTCTTATTTATAAAGCGCCAGTAAGTTCCATAGCACTGTGCAATGGGTGGACTAACAGACATGTATTTATAACCAGACTTTCGACACACAGGAACAGAAGAAATGAGGTCCCTGCTCAATGAGCGTACGTACTAGAGGGAGTGGGGTATAGGGACACAAAAGTTAAGGCTGGGTAAAAAAAAGACATTGCCAGGCTAGTATTCATTGAAGGCTTAGTGTTTTGATGAGAGTTGCAGGAGAGAAAGCTGTTCTTCAGACACATGGATACACCAGAGGAAAAACATGGTTTCTGGAAGAGTACAAGGTCTGCTCACAGAACATACCGAGGGAGAGAAAGTGCCCTAAATAGCTCTTTACTTTGAAATAACATGTTTGGGTGAAATGATGGAATATTTTAACTCTGAACATTTACAGCACAAGAAAGAAGTGTTTGTAGCTCGAGGGTAGATCGAATGGGATTTTTTTGGTACGTTTTCTTTGCAGAAGTTGTAGTAGATGCATGGGGTAGCCAGCCAGTGGAGGTGTAAAGGCTAGTTTAATGGAGGATATCAAGAAACATGCTCTCAAGCAAAACCAGCAATAAAAGACAGAGCTTTTTAGGGAAATTAGCAGACTTGATAGACCAGTTGCTTTGTACCTTCCAGCAATATATTTTGTGTCTCTAAGTTTATTTGAGTTTCCTTGTACACCTGTCAAGGGCAACCCGAGTGTTAGGACACATAAGCAACTGCCTAAGGCCTCCGCTAACCTAAAAAAACAAAAACGAACCATGGATAGAGCTCTTAACTAATGCACAGATTTGTAGACTGAGGGGACAGCCTGCTGGGGCATCCAAAAAGCCCCAGTCTGTGCATGAGCATTAACCCTAAGTCCCCCTCTCTCACAAAGGTGTATTCATAGCCGCTCGCTGCCTGAAACAAATAAAAAGTGGGCTCCAATTAGAGGGTATACGAGCCTTAAACTGGATCTCGAAGTCAAGCTGGAAGAGAAAGGAGAATATGGTAATATCCAAGTATAAAACTGGATTTATGCATAAATTCGCATTTCATGAAATATCAGATATATATACACATAACATGAAATTCAGTTTAGTCAAACCTTAAGCTCTTGACAGTCATTAACAAGGATAAAACCCAGTAATCAAAAAAGACTTACCATGAAGTCAACTTACCCAGAGAAGACCAAACCTCCAGGGATGGGAGGGATAATACTCGCCTCAGTGTCATTAATAAAATCATGATTTTACGTCATGTTAATGGTAAAATCTGTAAATTTTAATAAGACACATAGGCTCCTATTATGCTAGTTCAAAGCTGTGAAATGTTGAATAGTTCTAAAGTAGAAATCATGGAATGTAGACTCCGAAGACCAGTCGCTCTCATAATATCCTCCAAGCGACAACCAATCGAGGAAGCCTTAGAAGCCATTTCCCCACAAACCGAATGAGGCACAGAAACATATGTATCAATACCTGCTAGAGACATAACGTATTTGACCCACCAGGCTAGAGTAGACACTGGAAGATGCGACTTTTGGAAGGAGGTGAAGAGTTCGTCTCAAAGGAATCCGTAACGTAGTGAAACGATGTTCACGCACCCATTAGTATGCAACAGGGCAAAGGAGAGATCTATCAAGGAAAACTGGGTAAAATTGATTTTAAAGGAGGTTTTTGTCCTCTGTGAAATGTCAAAGAGGACACCTGGAGTAAAGGAACGAGCAACCACCTCAAGAGCTCGTATGTCGAAAAACCTCTTGCAAGAAAAAAATTCAAGACAATAGAGACGTCCCGCAAGACAGAGTATCGTAGTATGGGTGGATGAGCAAACCATATTCCTCAGAGAAGTCAATATATGACAGGATGTCAACCGACAGGCATCCAATCGAAACTTTGATGGCCAGCAGAAATGGACGATCGGTAAGGTCCACAGTGCGATATGCTTTACCTTCATCATAGAAGTCAGAAAAATGGAGGACATAAAAGGAACCGAAATGGGATTTAACTTTAATTTCATGCACCAACTATGCCATCTGCTCCAAGCAGATTTATACGCCTGTCTCGTGTTGGGTGCACCCTTGATAAGTTGGGGAGTTGATTGCGAAACTCCTTTGACCGACCAAGGTTCCCTGAAATAGACTACACTGAGATGCAAGAGACCTTGGAGAACAAGGGGATGAGGTACACCGTCTGGATCCTGAAGAAGGCACTCGAGAGATGGAAGGTTGATAACCATCTCCTGAAGAGGAGAGAACTATGGTTGGAACGGCGATAGAGGAGCCACGATCACCAGGTGCCGGACTGGCGATGTAGATGGAAAGGCAACAGGGAATCAGTGCAAAAGGCAGAAAATCGTAATTCCTTGGAGAAAACATTCAACTGAAAAAAGTTGAGCATTCAAACGAGAAGTGAAAAGATCTATTTCCAAAAGACCCCATTGGTTCCAGATGTCTTGGAAGACCATGGAATCCAAGTGCCAGTCGCTGGAATCGCTGAGTTGTCGTGAATACCAGTCCGCCGTAGTGTTGGAGAGACCTTGAATATATTCTGCCGTGACTGAAATGCTGTGTTTCAGGCAAAATTGCCAGCAATCACGAGGCATGTAGGTCAGAATTTTGTATTTTGTGCCTCCATGTGATTGATGTAGCGGACTGCTGACACGTTGTCCATCTTCAGAAGGATAGCGCATTGGGCTTGAGTTGGGGAGAAACTGTGGTCTGCAAAGGAACCGGCCAGATGTTCCAAACAATTGATGTGTTCCAGGTTTGATTATCTGCCCTTGGTGGAAATAGTTCCTCATTGAGCACCCCAACCGTGCAAACTTGCGTCGGATTTGATGATCAAATCTGGAGCTGTACAAAATATGGTGCGCTTATTCTGAGCTTCCGTGTGAAGAAGCCACCATTGGCGTTCATCCTGCGCTTCTGAATCCAGAGTTACCATATCTGTGTATGATGCGCTTCCCTTGAGATGAAGTTTGTAATCATTGTAGGGCTCGATAGCCAAGAAGACCTGGAAAAATAGCCTGTATAGATGCCGCTAGAATGTATAACATTCTCAACAGTTTGAGAGAGAGTTGAGAGGTTGCTTGTGTTCACCTATCTCCTTCTTGATATTGGCTAATTTTTGCCACCAGAAGGTGTAGCGTTTGAAGGGTAGAATCTACAATAATCAAATGTAACACAGAAATTTGATTTGTTGCGTGGGAACGATAATGGATTTCTCCCAATAGATTAGCAAGCCTAGGTTCTCTAACGGAGTCAAAGTCCATGCAAGGTATGTCCAGATTAATTGAATAGACTGAGCCAGAATGAAAATGCCATCTAAATATATTATAAGACGTGAAGCACTGTAGAGCCGAAAACCGTATGAATGGGAGGCATCTGAACCTCTATTTACTGCCCTACAATGTAAATTGCAGGAAGTTCTCGATCTTGATGTTGCACTGTGAAATATGCATCCTGCAGATCCAATTTGGCCATCCAATCTGCTGGTTTGAGAAGATCCCTTAAACAATGTCCTCCTTCCATCTTGGAAGTGCTGATATGCTTATAACTTTTGAGCTGTCTCAAATTTATCACTGGACGGATACCTTTGCCTTTTTTGGGAAACAAGAAAAGGTTGCTCACGTAACCCAGGTTATGGGACGGAATCTCTACGATTGATTGTGCACGGAGACAAGGTCTGCTTCTCATTGGGAAAAAACAATTTCCCTTGATGGGGAACATTGAACAGGTAGAGAAAGGAAGTCTATGCAATACCCTTTCACAGTGTGAAGTACCTAAGCATCTGATTAAATTAGGGATCATACATGGTAAAAAATGTGTGAGCCTGCCCCCCACTATCAGTAAGGAAGAATGGAAATTGTGAAGACTTCTTAGGAGCACCTCTTAGGCCACTAACAACCCAGGGTCAACCACTTTGTGGGAAGGAGGTTGGTATAGTGCATTGTTCAAAGATATCGGCTAGGCAAGTATACGTGCCTTGGTTCTGTCTAAATGAACTTCTGTTTGTTTAGCCGGACAAAGGAGCCCAATTCTTTTACAAAGTTGTCCCCAAAGAGAGAACCTTTTGCCTGTGTTATGTGGCTCGTTCAGAGCCATAGTTCTGTGACAACCGCATTGTTGGCGTTGCCAACTTAAATCACTCTCTGGATCTAACCACTTAAGATGGCGCAAACTAATTCTAGATCATCCTCTACTGCTTCAAAGATCTTGGCTGCTGAGCCCAAGATGCCCAGGGTTTTATCCCGACAGTTTTGCAATGAAAATCTAAGCCTTTAGATGGCTTCCATCCTGTCTTATTCAGGAATTGAATGATCTTAGGATCGACTGATAGCGTTTTACATGAGTCATCAGGGACTGTTCGGTGTGGCCACTCAGCCCGCAATTTATTTCACTTTGCCTTCTAAAAAGGCTTGCGTACTCTGGATGCAATATACTTGGCTACATTGTCTGAGGAGACCACTGGGTGACATAGGTTGTCAGGTTCGAATAGGGGTTCACATTTAGTGTCCAAGATCCTATCGGTGTCCCTGAGTCTGCATAATCTACCTAAATCTTGGTATGTTTAACAGGACGTGTAGCCCAAACTGGATTAGTATCCTCTTCATCAGTAATTTCATAATCAGGATTAGAAATATCCTCTGAATCCTCCATATAGTACTCGGGGAACTCCTCAATATCACTGAGCTTAGATTCAGAGTTCAATTGGGCTTTTGCATTTTTCCAAAGTCTAGTCGATTTTGCCCGACTAGTAGCACTTTTGCGCGGTGGTAAATTAATCGCACAATCCGTTACAGGTATAGTACTGTCAATCTCTATTGTTTTGGAGGAGTGTTTAGCCTTATATGAGGTATTGCGGCATGACACCAGCGCCTTGTCATTGCTTTTGCCATGGAAGTGTCAATTAAAGCTTGCATGTCAGCCGGATCAGTAAAGCAGAAATTCAGCCTCATCTCCAGAGATACTTGGAGAGGCTTCTACATTAATCTGCATGTTTGCTGTAGGCACAGAAAGATCCTGTCAGACTGCATCATAAATATAACAGAACTAAGGGAATGAATAAGGCAAAATAATACCAAAAGGAAAGGGTTGAGTAACCCTCAAGTAAAAAATAAATAACTAAACAGGATAAAGAAATTAAAGTACTCACAATAGTGAAAAAATAGCAATTGTAATATAAAAACACAGGAGCTGCCACTATAACTAAACCCCAACTTCAGGCAGTTGGGGGCAGAGCAGCAGCCAGATAGATAAATGAAGGGGGGGAAACAGCACAATAGCCCTGTGCGGAGGATAGAGATCCTCAAAGACGTCCCTGAGCCCCAATTGATGGTAAGCTTGGGGCCAGGGAGGTCAGAGGGGAAATACATTATCAAAGGATATACAATAAAGCATATAACTGAAGCAAATGAAGTAAATAAATCAAATTAAGTTAAAATGAAGTAACTAAATATATTTATAAATATGAAAATATTATAATTAAAATATAATAACTATATTAACCGCAGTAATGATATGAATAAAGTAAAGTAAAATATCCCACGGTTAAGAACCATGGGACCCAGTGTCACTTAAAGGGACACCGTAGGCACTGTATCTGCTTCATATCATTCAGCTGGTTATAGTGTATGGAGTCCCCTGGTGCCATCATTTCTTTCAGCATTAAGCAGTTTTTAATGTTGTAATGTTTTAATGCTAAACAAGAGACCCTGGCAGTCCATCCCCTCTGTGTTGCTTTGGCTAATAAGGAAGTTTTACCCTGAGCAGCAATGGTCAGCTGTGATTGGCTGAGTGTCAGCTGACTGCTTTTAACCTGTCAGAGCTCCAACTGACAGTATGAGTGGGTATAACAACAAGGAAGTGTGTAATCTCTGCCTTAGCTACACATACAGAAGGGGCCGGACTGTGGGTGGCCAGGGACTCTTATTTTGTGGCATACTACACAAACATGGTGCAACACTGAATGGAGGGACAGTGCCAGGGCACCAATTCAAAGAGACAAAGTGGTTATAGTGACTACAGTGTCCCTTTAACTGAGGGAGCAGCAAAGAAAGAGGAAGTAGTATACTGGACACCGCCTATTATACTATAAAGAGGATGCTGATTGGCTGTTCCTGTTGCTAGGAAGATATACCTCATGTTATTTACTGGTTTCTTCTATACTGAGATTTCAAAAAACATGCGTATTCTGAAAATGTTGCAATCACTATTGAAACCAAAGAAATGTTTCTGCTGATTCCATTGGTTTCCATGGTAATCCCACCACCTTTTTAAACTATTAATTTACACATATTTATTGGAGATGTTGCTGATTAAACACTGGGTTTGTATAGTTTAGGACAGAGTAGTTCAGATTTGAAGGTTTCCTGTAATGCTGGCCTCCAACAAACTGATTAAACATCAAATCCTGAGTCCTCCAGCTAATGATACTGCTTGAAATGTGATTAGCTCAGGGAAAGGCTGGGGGGAAGTAAAAGTGAATTGCTTTGTCTCACTCACAGATCTGAGTGCTGCGTCTTCTTGCACAGCCTACGCTATATAAATGGAAGGACAGTACAAAACGTAAAATTTTATAAGAAACTAGTCAGTACGTTTATGTTCCACTTGTAGGTGATTCCTTATATGAACAGCTCTCCAGTCATTGGGGGGAAAAAAGTACAAAAATAAATAGTTAACCGAATACTATTTTATCAATCTTTATATCGCTGCTGAAAAAAAAGAAAAACAAATGAATGGAAAGTGTTTTGTTGAATAGGTCTGACTGTGCCTCACACACTTAATGAATTAAAATCACAGGATACGGAGTATTATCTTTTATAAATACTAACAATATATGACTCTGATTATAAAGTGTTTGTGTCACACCATATTGTCACTCCTATAGTGAGGATATCCACAAACCTCACATTGTATAATATGTATCAACAGACATTTATGAAAAACTCGCAATTACAATCTGCACTAAAGGTTAATTCACTGTACTACTGCGTTAAATCAACCTTTAGTGCATTTTTTTATTTATTTTGTGTACATTTGCACCAACATTCCAGTTGTGCTATTTTTCCTATGTTCAAGCGAATCTGTAATTTTTAAAAGGTATAGCGTACAAAAACCTGGTTGGTCCATGTACTCTGCCCATCTCCTGCCTAAACCCATCGGCTGTGTTCTTGTTCCTGCCCAGGATAGCATTTTATCCTAATTCCTCCTGCCACCTCTGCTGTTCAGCTATTCCATGCGTCCACTACTTCCTTTAAATTGTCCCTGAGCTCCAGCGTGTATATGTTCTCATGCTGTCTGTGTGCTTTTAATCTTTCCCCAAAAAAACCAAAACCAATTCTGTGCTGGACTTAATCCTTTAGCGATGCAGTTATGCAAGAGTGTGCGATCACGCAGTTTAAACTGCCTGGAGTGGATGACCGACTACATATCTTTCAGTACAGCTTTTGTGTATTTGTTTTGTTTGTTGTGTTTTTGTTTTGTTTTTTTCTTTGTTTCCTCTTTTCTTTGCCATTGGCAAATACTAAGCTCTGGTGTGGAAAGTCCCCATGATCAGTGAAATCTGAAACATTATCGCTCTTAATAAGCTGTAAAGGGACAGTCTGCTCATCTTAATCTATGCTGGATGTCCAAAATTGCAGTTTAGTCCATTAACCCTCGGTCAGGCGCAATGTGAGTAAGAACAGGATCGGGCGCATTGTGCCGAATCGGCCACTTTTACAAGACAAACTTTTTACTCAAATAAAAACATGTTTATTATTCCATTTGCTCTACAAAATTGGCGAAAGCAATTTCTGAGCATTTATTACAATAATAAGTAGCATGTTCCATACATAATGCACATTTACACTTGGTAGGACAAAACAACAAACATTGGCTGTGCCTGTTGGATCAGTTGCACCTGACCGAGCGTTAAGTTCAGCTTTTACTAGTTTAATGGCATTTCCATATTAAGCGGAGAGTCTGTGCAGGCGGTGTTGGTGTGTGCTTGCAGCAAATGCAAAGTCATTGAATGAGGGGATTTAATTTTTAATTTAATATTATTTACTTATTTATTTTAACACCATTTTCATATGTTTTTACTTGATTTCGAAAGCCGATCTTTATTATGGGTTTTCATGCAGTTGAATCTATGAATCTATATCATTCTATCTATATAAATGACTAAAGGCAGAATCTTGCTGTCTAATTTTAGTGGCTCTGTCTCTTTGGCTGCTGGGTTCTACAGAGATCTCCTCTTCTCTCCTACTAGCACCCAATATGGGATCATTTTAATAAGTGTACAGTGTTTTCTTTACAGTCTAATCAGAAGAAAAAGAAAACTGTTAATTAACCAATTCAACAATTATTTAGAACTTGGCTTGAACTTTTATTATTTAAAAGTAAGGTGAAAAAAAGTGTATGAAGCAGAAAAGTGCCGTTTTACAAATAGTTACAGAACGGGCAGATTAACATAAAATCAAGCATGGAAAAAAAAGTTATGCACGCATTTAGCTGGTAATGGCTCTTCAGAGAGCGGTATTTTCTTTGTGGCCCACGGATATTCCTGATTCTTGAACCTGATTGATTCATGTCTTATTGTAGCAATCTGGCCGTGAGAAACACTACTCTGATATGGAATATATTTTTAACGTTGGCAGATTTTGCAAAGGTTCTGCAGGTAAAATATATAGGAACCACATTAAATTACAATCTGTGGCCGACCAGATTAATGGCGCACTCAAAGCACCATAACCATTAAAGCGTGTTGTTTGTGCTGCTTTGATTTTGAGCTCTGTATCCAGGTTTTCCCATAAAATTGTTTGGTAGTGCTTTGTCCAAAACTTTGGCTCCACTTGCACCCAAAACCGAAAAAAACTATCCCACGTTACCTTATTTCTAACCATGACCACAGTAGGCTACAAACACTGGTTGGTTTTTTTCAGCCTAATTACTGTCCCAAGTTGGACAGACTTGTACTTTAAAGAGCAATGTGTGTGATTAGATAAATTTACAGAACAGGAGGGAAAAGCATCTAAAGCAAGTTAACATCTGAAAATGAAACTTTTTTTTTTTTTTCATGCATGCTGTGTGTCACAGGGGAGGTGTGGCTAGGACTGCATAAACAGAAACAAAAGTGGTTTGACACCTAAATGACAGAGAAGTGAGCAGTGAAACTTCAGAAGCACGAGCAATACACCAAAACTGCTTCATTAAGCTAAAGTTGTATTGGGGACACTAGTGTTCCTTTCATAGTGCCCCTTTACTATGTTTCAACAGAACCAAAAAATGCCCCTTTTCCATCATGGACCTGTTAATCTCATTCAGTTTTCAAACCACCCTCCTTTTTTGCATTGTTATTTTGTAATTACATGTTTATTCTAGTACATATGTCCTGGTTTGTGTGATGAAAATAATGCTTTATCTGTATGTGCTTTTATTGAATTCCAGGTAACTGCACATGGGGTATGAATTGTCGATTCCTCCATCCTGGAATGAATGACAAGGGGAACTATTCATTGATATCTACCCAGGACCCTTTTTCCTCCAATGGCACCCCTCAGGCTGGTACTCAAACTGCTGTACCACCTAACCCATGGGTAAGATCTACTTTTACACAATGCTCTTCTTCCCTATATATAATCTGAGTTCAGTTTACAGTGCCCAGCATGATTCTACACCAACCCACACCAAGAAATATTGACTACATTACCACCAAACGCAGGGGACAGACTTAACTGCTTTCTGCTATTAAAAAATAAATAAACTGACCTTTTTTTTTTTTTTCATTTCTATGCTTTGCTGCAGTTTTCCTTGGCCAGCTGTTATTCTGTTGTGTAAGACATTGTTAATGATTCTGTAAGCTTTAAAGTGATTATTTCATTTTTTGATGGTCTCTTTGTGCTCATTTTGTAGGGGACTCCAGTCACAGATGGTATGCTGCCACCACCCATACCAGATCCTCCAACCGAGAGTGCCTGGGAGAGAGGACTCCGCCATGCTAAGGAGGTGAGCATATTGGAACAGGTGGCTGTAAGGATATTTAAGCAACACATGTTGTGTGCTCTGTGCATTTAAATGCTCACAAAAGGGGTTTTATGGGCACATCCATTGTTCAACACCTTAGGCTGAAAAGAGACCTGCATCCATCAAGTTCAGCCTTTCTCACAAATCGGTTTTTGCTGTGTCAATGGAGACAAAAACCTCAGTATGCAGTACTTTGCAATTTTGCAATAAACTAGAGAAAAACAATTCCTTCTCGACCCCAGAATGGCAGTTCGATCTCTTCTTGGATCAAGACGTTGACTGAAAGAATTCATCCAGTGTCTGTTTAAAATACAGACTGTAATATGCTGAGTAAAAGGCCACTTAAGACCCCTTTTCTATGCACAAGTCATTTAATTCTTGACTATTACGAATTGCTCTACCTTCCAGAATCCATGACCGCACGATGACTTCGTAAGGGTTGTTCATGTGCTTTGTGGATCATCTCTCATCTCTCTATGGTTTTCTAAGTTGATGCCTTTCCTTATCAGACAGTGTAATTCAGACATACATTGTGAATATTATTATAACGCATTGTAGGAGTATGGTCTCTTAGAGAGTAAAAAAAACTCTGATAAAACCACCTCTCCAGGCAGAAAATTCACACCCTTATTGTTCTTACTGTGAAAAAAACAAAACTTTCCTTTGCCTTAGACTAAATCTCATTTCTTCTAGTCTAAATAGATAAACTCCTATGTATATTCTTGTTTATGGATAGATTTCCAGACAGCGGTTTGTATTGGCCCCAAATATATTTGTATAATGTTATCATATCCCCTCTGAGGTGCCATTTTTCTACACGTTTAAATCGGTTAACCTTTCTTTATTACTAATATGTTCCATTCCTTTTATTAATCTTGTATTCCACCTCTGCACTTTCTATTGCTGCAGTATGCTTCTTTAGAACAGGTGCCCAGCATTGCACAGTATATTCAAGGTGTGGCTTTACCAGTGAGTTTTATAAAGAGGCAAAATTATATTTTTATTCAGAGTATGAATGCCTTTTTATACAATCCAATACCTTACTGGCCTTTGCAACTACTTTTTGACATTACGAATTGTTGCCTAGTTTTATTTCTATAACGACTCCCACATCCTTCTCAGGTGTTTTTTTTTTTGTTTTTTTTTCGAGTCACTACCATTTAGGGTGTAAGGAGCTTGTGTGTTCTTTAGCACGTAGTGCATAACTTTGCATTTATCTGCATTGAATTTAATCTGCCATTTGGGTGCCCAGTCCCGCAGCACGGTAATATCCTGCTCACATTATATTGCATTATTGTTGCAAGATCATTAATAAATAGCTTGATGGACCTTGGACCTTATATCACTAAGAGAACCCTGCCAACCCCACACATACATATATACAGCTTGACCTTTTGACAAGCCACAAGAAATGTTTGTACGGATTATCATCATGGGGGCTAAATTATTTAATGGGAAACTCTAGGCTAGCAGTAAAAAATTCTATTACCAGCACTGTAGCTTCCTATAGAGCCCTCTCGCTTGTGTTTGGTAGATAGCCACTAGAGGTGGCTCAATAACTGCAATAATTACTATTGCAGTGTTCAACTAACAGGGGCACTTCACCCAGACCACTTTAATTAGCTGAAGAGGTCTGGGTACCTATATGGTCCCTTTAAAGGAGCACTCCAGGCACCATGACATCTTGTAAATGAAGTTATTATGGTGCCAGGAGGCCCCGGGCTCACTCTTATTATAAGGGGTAAACGGTTTAACCCCAAGTTGCCTCCAGCGCCGCTCTCTGCTCCTCCCAGTTCGGCATCCGGCTTTTGAAATTTCACTTTTCAGGAAGTGCGGAGTGTCACCAGGTGAGCGGTCTGCTGATGCTCTCAGCCAATCGGTGACTTCCCATTCAAAAAAATTCCTTTTGCAAGCCAGTTTTGTGAAGAGCTGACATTAACATCCTTTTGTCAATCACAAGACTCTGCAACTTATTCAGTTTATTTTACTCTATTATTCTGGGACATTCCGGGACATTCTTTCTTTCGTAATAAAACTTTCAGAAAAATCCACTAATGTGTGGACTATCAGGAATTCAAAGTGAATTCCAAATAGTGAAACTGTCCAAAGCCTTTGTAGTCTGGGTCCCCTGCGTGGCGAAGATCTGGTAGTTCCATATGGTGGGTAGAATATGCTGTACCTCCTGGTTTTGCAATTTTAGAAGTTTGAGATTTGTTTTATTCCGAACTGCAGTTTGTCTGTATTTGGACCGATTGGGTGATCAGTCAATTTTCTGAATTCAGAGTTAAAAATGTCGCCGAAACATGAACGGATGATCATGTGTTGATTCGTGATTCAGAATTTAGCCTGTGGCACCAAAGCAAGAGATAACTGATCAGGGAAAAAAATATTAATGGTGCTGTGGCTCAGTCACTAAGTGTTGAGTTTATTCACAGATCAAGTAAGAAGCAAACATAGAAGGGGGAAAAATGGAGCAATAAAAAAAAAATCTATTTTCATATATTAAAAATGTATTAAAAAAAATCTTTTCTTTTTGATATTTTTTTCTTTTTTAAATTGCCCCTCCTTTTTTCCTCTCTATTGGTTACTTTTTGTCACTTGATCTGTGAACCAAATGGTGGGAATAGGCCCTGATTGGCCCGTTCTCAACTTTTTTTGTTTTGGAAATTCTGCCATTTGGCCACAATTTGTCTGTCCCAATTTCTTTTTAATGCATTTATTTTTATTTATTACTTTTTCTTATTTCAGGGGAAAATGGTTCGTCCAAAGTGAATATTCTCGTATGCACATGTCTAATTATATGTTTAATTTTACTTGCTAACGGTTTTTAGTTTCAAATCTCTATAAATGGACGAATTGGCAGGATGTTTTGTTTAATATACATAATAATGGTATTGAAAGGGTTTATTTTTATTGCTCACCTGCTTCCTCTGTAATCCTTCTGTAATCTCTAAAACCACTGATTTGCCAATAACATGTAGTTCTGTTTGGTTAATTAAACAATAGATTACTCAATCCTCACTTTCCTGTTTTTGTTGTGGTTAGTGGGAGAGACTCTCACAGGATTTCTCAAGAGCAGCTCCATTTATTCAGAACAGCTTTCCTCCTCCCATCAGACCTTCCGTTAGTCTTCAGTCCTTTAAAGGGACACTTAAGATCCCTAAAGCACTTCAGCTTGCTGAAAAGCTTTGTGTAAAGAGTGTCCCTTTTTTAATTTTATTTTTTATTTGTAAAAAGTGTAATTTCAATAGAAATTGGCACTTTTTATAAATGAACACTGTTACACCACCCTGGCTGTCAATCAGATACCCGGTCCTGTTCCTTCCTGGTTTGGTTAGCTCAGTGGAACTAAACTCCAAAGGCAGCAATTGTCCAGAATACCTGCCTTGCAAAGACTTCTCATTAAGCTGCATTGGGAAGTCTGTAATTGGACAGTTACAGAAAGTGTGGGCGGGGTTAGAAGGGAAGGGCTTTTGTAAGCATTTTTTAGATTTACTCCCAGTGCAATTTATAATTTGGGATATATCTATTATACAGTGATTTTTCTTAAAATTTTTTTAATTTTTTTGCATTTGGGAAGTGTCGTGTCCCTTAACACCAGTATTTTCAGAGAAGCTTGAGATTTCCGTGTATAACTATAATTCTTTAAATCCATCTCTTCCTCTCTTCAAACTGAATTAGTGTCCGCAGAGTCCACATCACTCTCACCTTCCAGATCACATGTTCTCTCACATGTTGAACATTGCAAGCACCATAACCACTACAACATCTTGTATTCGTACAGCTGATTGCATTAATATAACTTATTGTACATATACATTTACAGTTGATTGTAGTAGTTATGGTGCTAATGGGCTATGCCATTTTGTCCTATATTGCTAGTCTCCAAATTTGTGATGATTTGCTGACCGCAACGTGATGCAGGTGTCTATTTCCATAGACAAGGCTGCAGCATTGCATTCATTTTATTATAAGTTAACAAAGCAGCAAAAGTAAAAATAGTAAAAATAAAATTTCAGTGCCAATTTATAAGAGGTGCGTACTGTATCTCCCCGCATTCTGTATTTCTAAAGGTAAAATGTATTTGCCTTCCTTAAACCTGGATGTGATCGATGCTTAGTGGGCTTTCTCTAGCAATGCTGTATAGGCATTTTCTGAGCGTTGAATTTAAATAGTCTGTTTTCTGCTGTAGAGAACTTTGTGCAGGAGTTTGTTGGGTGGCAGGGGGTGGGGAAACAAAACGAAATAAGTCTGTAAAAAGGCTGGGCTTGTGGGACAACATTTTTAATTTTTTTTATTATCAACAGTTAGACTGAGGGGGAAATAAACTATACTCCTGAATAATTGTAACTTAAAGTGTGTATGGCACCAAGCACGTTGGTACCTAGAGTTCCCCTTTAAAAAGAGAGTGCATATTGCATCAAGCACATTGGTACCTAGAATGCCCCTTTAATAAGAGCGTGCATATTGCACCAAGCACGTTGGTACCTAGAGTGCCCCTTTAATAAGAGAGTGCATATTGCACCAAGCACATTGGTACCTAGAATGCCCCTTTAATAAGAGAGTGCATATTGCACCAAGCATGTTGGTACCTAGATTGCCTCTTTAATAAGAAAGTGGATGTTGGGTAACAGGAGCCCTTCAAGTTTGCCTTGTTTGTTAGTGTCCGTGCAGTAAATATTTCTGTTACTTTTTCTGTTTTTGTTGTCCACCTCCAGGTGCTTAAAAAAGCCACTATGCGCAAAGAGCAAGAACCTGACTTTGAGGAGAAGCGACTGACGGTGACCATCGGAGAAGATGAACAGGATTTTGATAAAGAGAATGATTACTTCCGAGAGTGGAATTATCACATCACTAGAGAAGTCCACGAAACTGGGTTTGTAATCTAACCTTCTTCAATGCTGCTACCATCACCACACTGCTTCCATTGTGATTAAACATTTGGTGCTGCAGATGTTGTGGACTATATATATTATGATGATCAGCCACCCACTACACCTGGAGCGCCAAAGCCTCTGCCATCTGCCTGTTATGTGAAAAATAAAACCAATACTAAATAGAGGCATTCGTTCCCTCAGAATTGTTTAAGATTTACTGGGGGAGGGAATTTCCCGTTGCACACTTTACTTCTGTGCTTAAAGGAACACTATAGTATGAGGAATGTATTCCTGACACTATAATCCTGAAGTGGCTGTTTAGGTGACCAGTTTCCTTCCGATTTTCACAAAAAGGTGATTTTACTCAGCGTTTCTCCCACGCCGTGCTGGTCTTGTCATGGCTGGCTCTGCCTCCATGGCTGAGATTATCAGTCTTGATATTCTCAGCCAATCCAATGCTTTCCCACAAGAAAGCATTGGAAGACTATTGCGCATGCGTGCCTAAACTGCTGCACTGCGCCAATCAGCGTCTCCTCATAGAGATGCATTAAAGGGATGCTATAGGCAGCTAGGCCAGTTTATTAAAGTGGTCTGGGTGCACTGTCCCAGTCCTCTTAACCCTGCAATTGTAATTATTACAGTTGTTGATAAACTGCAATACTTATCTTGCAGGGTTAGCCATCTAGTGGCTGTCTACCAGACAGCCAGTAGAGACACTTCCGGTTCCTTAGCGGACTTTTGGTCTGCTAAATGACGCTGGAGGTTCTCATGCTCTGCATGAGAACATACAGCGTAATCTAAAACCCTGTAGCTCAATGTGTTCCTATTTTGTAGTCCTAACGCGAGCATTTCTCCTTGCTACGCATACACATTAGGTCCCCGCCGCAGGTTTACGTCCGTGAAGAAGAGGCCTAACGCAGCGCCGAGGGACATCGGTGCTGCTGTAATCAGCTAAGTGATGCATGAGGTGTTTTTTTGTTTTTTTTACTGTTCCAGCGCCCGGGAGGGGGGCATTATGGGTAAACTATAATTTCCTTTTAAATCAATGCATCTCCATGGAGATTGCTAAACGCCAGTACTGACCCAGGAAGAATCTGTAGTGGCCGTCTCAGTTACTGCCACTAGAGGTGTTCCGAGGAAGCAATGTGAATACTGCATTTATTTATTTATTTATTTTAAAGGAAGTATTTACAATGCTAACACTGCAGGAACGCGATATTGACACCAGGACCACTGCATTAAGCTGTAGTGGTTCTTGTGACTATAGTGTCTCTTTAAATATCCAGAGAAGGCCAAATACAAGGTCATTGTATTAAAAAAATAATGGTCTGAACGGAATGGTGTAGTATTTGTTAATGGTCAGATGAATTTGTTCATCCTGTTTTATATATTATTATTATTATTATTTTACTATTTATATAGCTCCAGTAAATTCCGTAGCGCTGTACAATGGGTGGACTAACACACGTAATTGTGACCAGACAAATGGACACATGGGTACAGAGGGGTTAAGGGCCCTGCTCAATGAGTTTACATGCTAGAGGGAATGGGGTATAGTGACACAAAGGGTATAAGTAGGGGTAATGAAATTGCAAGAAAAGTATTCACTGAGAACTTAGTAGGTTATTTTTGACAGTTGCAGGAGAGGGGTCGGGGGGGTGGGGGGGCGGGAAGAGATGATAAAAACCTGCTAACAGTTATACATGATATGTTTTCCTGAAGAAGTGTGTTTTCAAAGATTTTTTTGAAGGAGTGGAGACTGGGTGAAAGTCTAATGGAGAAGAGAATGGAGTTCCACAGAAAAGGTGCAACCCTGGTAAAGTCTTGGAGGCGAGCATTAGATGTGGGAGTATGGACAGAGGATAGGCGTAGGTCTTCGGCAGAGCTCAGAGGCCTCGACGGGACATATTTGTGTATTAGGGAGGATAGGTAGGTTGGAGCAGCATTATGTAGGGACTTGTAAACAAGCACCAGAATCTTAACTTGAGCCCTATATCTAACTGGAAGTCGATGCAGGAACTGACAGAGTGGGGAGGCGTGGGAGCTGCGGGCGGACAGGAAAATGAGCCTTGCCACCGCATTTATTATAGATTGCAGTGGTGCAATCTGGGAACACGTAAGACCACTGAGAAGGAGATTGGAGTAGTCAAAGCGAGAAAGAACAATGGCATGGACCAGCACCTTAGCTGTGTCTGGTGTTTTTGAGATGGAAGCGACCGGATTCGGCGATCGACTGGACTTGACGGGTGAAGGAGAGCTCAGAGTCGAAGTGAACACCTAGGCAGCAAGCCTGTGAGGTAGAGGTGATGGTGGCGCCATTGACTTGAAGGGACATAGACAAGGGAGTAGCAAAACTTGAGGGAGGAAAGACCAGAAGTTCTGTTTTGGACAGGTTGAGTTTAAGGAAGTGAGCAGCCATCCAGTTGGAAATCTGACACACAAGTTAAGATGAGCAGAGAGAGATCAGGAGAGGACAGGTAGATTTGTGTGTCATCTGCTTAGAAATGATAATGGAAGCCAAAGGAGCTGATGAGTTTACCAAGGGAGGCGGTATAGATAGAGAACAGTAGGGGACCAAGGACAGAACCTTAGGGGACACCGACAGAGTTTTGTTGGGGGCAAGATGCAGAGCCAGAGAAAGAAACACTGAAAAAGCGGTGGGACAGGTAGGAGGAGCACCAGGAGAGAGCAGTATCTCATAGACCAAAATTATGGAGAATGTGGAGAAGCTGTTGATGATCAACAGTGTCAAAGGCAGCAGAAAGATCAAGGAGAATTAGGATAGATTAATGGCTGTGAGATTTAGCAGCGATAAAGTCGTTGGATACTTTAGTCACAGCTGTTTCAACAGAATCCAGACTGAAGCCGGTCAAGCAGAGAGTTTGATTCGAGGAAGTCTGTCAATCTCGCATACATAACTCTCTCAAGGATCTTGGAGGCAAACGGCAGTCGCGATATAGGGCGGGAGTTTGTGTCAAGGTTGGGCTTTTTCAGAATTGGTGTTATGGTTGCATGTTTGAAGGGTGAGGGAAATGTGCCAGAGGTTTTTGAATTAGAATCTGAGCATTATTGGTGTATGAACTTGTATAATCATTTTCATCCTGTTCTTGTTCTGTGTGAGCAAAAAACTTCACAGCAAGAATTCTAGGGTACTCGGTTAGCCCACCATTTATTGTGCACAGGGCATCATATTTCTGTTTTGTTAAAGGGCTGTCTTGGCATTTATGCGTGAATATAAGAATGCATCTGGTGTGTCCCATGCTGACATGAAAAGTAGGTGGAGTGCAGTTTGTTCTTTGGTTGATGGTATTAATGAGAACTGTAACAGATAAAAAACAATGCCAGATCCTAGTGCAGTACAGTCTGGTATAAATGTATACACATATGATAATCCTTAAAGGACCCCTATAGTACCAGGAAAACATACTCGTTTTCCTGGCACTATAGTGGGGTCCCACTCCTGCCGGACTGAAGGGGGAGAAAGGGGTTAAACACTTACCTTTCTCCAACGCAGGGCTCCCTTGGTGCTGGAGACTCTCCTCCTCCTTTCCCCGTCATCGGCTGAATGCGCATGCGCGGCAAGAGCCGCGTGCGCATTTAGCCAGTCTCATAGGAAAGCATTCTCAATGCTTTCCTATGGACGCTGGCGTCTTTTCACTGTGAAAATGACAGTGAGAAGCGCCTCTAGCGGCTGTCAATGAGACAGCCACTAGAGGCTGGATTAACACTAAAGTAAACATAGCAGTTTCTCTGAAACTGCTATGTTTACAGCAGAAAGGGTTAATCCTAGGTGGACCTGGCACCCAGACTACTTAATTGAGCTGAAGTGGTCTGGGTGCCTATAGTGGTCCTTTAAAGTCTTGTACTCACAAATATAGAGCCACTATGATAGGCTCAATGTGTAGGCAGATGGGAATGTTAGAAGGGATCCCACTCCCTTATATGATGCTGGTGAGATGTCCGTTTATATCATATAAGGGAGTGGGATCCCTTCTAACATTCCCATCTGCCTTCCCATGTGTATACATTTATATCAGACTGTATTGCACTAGGATCTGGCATTGTTTATCTGTTACAGTTGTCATTAACCCCTTAAGACCGGAGGGCGTACTATTACGCCCTATTTTAGGCGGCTCTAAACGCCGCCGGGCGTAATAGTACGCCCTCCGGTCTTTCTATACTTTCCCCCGTGGGATCGCCGGCGATCGCGGTTGGGGGGGCTCCCAGGGAGCCCCCCCGCGGCATGTCGACCCCCTGGCAGCCCCACCGGCCATGTGAGAGTGAAGTCCTTGCGAGGACCTCACAATCACATGGCCGGGATAGCTGCCTCCTGCATTGCCTCCTGCATACATATACATACACACATATACTGTCTTGGTGTATTTTACTATATATTAATATCACAATACAGTTAGAACGAAATAACATCTATATTTATTTTTTAACACACACACACATATATATATATATATATATATATATATATATATATATATATATATGTGTGTGTGTGTGTGTTAAAAAATAAATATAGATGTTATTTCGTTCTAACTGTATTGTGATATTTATATATATATATATCTCAAAATACACGTAGAACAAAATATATATCTATATACATAAATATATACATATATAACTGTATATAAATAAAAATATTTGAAAATTATATATACATATATTCACATATATGTGTGTGTGTGTGTGTGTATATATATATATATATATATATATATATATATATATATATATATATATATATATTAATTCTACATATATATTTATATAATATTTTTACATAATTAGGAATCTTAATTACAATTAGCGGGACCTGCCTGACAACCCATGCCGAAAGTAAAGGGAATTTAATTTGCTAGCACTATATTTAACCCTATAACTTTCCAAGACACCATAAAACCTGTACATGGGGGGTACTTTTCTACTTGGGAGACTTCGCTGAACACAAATATTAGTGTTTCAAAATAGTAAAATGTATTACAACGATAATATCGCCAGTAAAAGTGATGTTTTTTTGCGTTTTTTGTGTTCAGTGAAGTCTCCCGAGTACAATAGTACTCCTCATGTACAGGTTTTATGGTGTTTTCAAAAGTTACAGCATAAAATATAAGGCTTGTGTTTCATTTTTTTTCACATTAAAATTTGCCAGATTTTTTACGTTGCCTTTGAGACCCTATGGTAGCCCAAGAATGAAAATTACCCCTATGATGGCATACCATTTGCAATAGTAGACAACCCAAGGTATTGCAAACGGGGTATGTCCAGTCTTTTTTAGTAGCCACTTAGTCACAAACACTGGCCAAAATTGGCAGTTTTTGCATTTTTCACACACAAAAAAATACTAACACTAACTTTGGCCAGTGTTTGTGACCAGATGGCTACTAACAAAGACTGGACATACCCCATTTGCAATACCTTGGGTTGTCTAATATTGCAAATGATATGCCACTATGGCTGTAAATTTCTTTCCTGGGCTACTATAAAGTCCCAAAGGCAATGTAACCAATCTGGCGAATTTCAGTTTCAAATGTAACATGCTATATTTGACCCTGTAACTTCCCAAAACGCCATAAAACCTGTACATAGGGGGTACTGTTTTACACGTGAGACTTTGCTGAATACAAATATGTTTATTTTATTGCAGTAAAAGCAAACAGTATTATGACATTGACCGTTAAAATGTCTTGTAGAACTAAAAAAATCAAAAAAAATATTTTCTCCCAATTTTTTCATATTAAATTATGTTTCATAGCTAAATATTTGATATTAAATGAAAGCCCTGTTTCCCTTGAATAAAATGATATATAATAAGGGTGGGTGCATTTAATATGAAAGAGGTGAATTACGGTTGGACAGACATGTAGCGCAAATGCCAGGTTTTGTTTACATTTTGTTTCGTTCACAACGTGTACATTTGGCACCGTCCTTAAGGGGTTAATACCATCAACCAAAGAACCAACTGCACTCCGCCTACTTTTCATGTATGTATAGTTTATATTTTGTAAGAATAGAGAGGTAATCAAACAGGTGTTTTAGAGTGTGTTGGTATACATTAGGGCTGCACACGAGGACTTTGTATATATTGTTGTTTTTTGTCATATCCCATGCTGAAACCGAGATCAGGCAGGATTGATTTAATTCGTATGATGGCAAAATCTCCAAAAACATATTGTACCTTAGCTGTGTCCTCTTCCTAAAGGAAGTATGGTGTGACATGATGAAAGAAAATATAAATAATTTGCAGAGACTTTTTGTCTGTGAAATGCCAGTTAAATTTAACATAGCTCGGTGTGGAGCAGCCTCTAATCTACATCGATCACATCAAACGTGAAAAATTCCAACTTCCTCCTTTTACTCCAGTGTGAATATTTATTGTATTTACATATTTATGAATACATAATGCATGGAAGATAGGAAACATTCAGAGTAATAGTGTAGTCATTATATAAAGCATGTTTTAGCTATGAGGTAGGTAATTGTGCATTTACACATCATTGATCAGAGGGTTGTTCATATTTATAACCTGTGATCCAGGGTTTCCAGTGTGTTAGTGTATAATATTATCCATATGTAGAGATTGGAAAGAGAATGTGTCAAAGCACATTACTGAATATTGTATAGATACCTTGTGGGTCAATAAGTGTCACCACATCCTTTAAATGGGGAACTGTCCTTTATAGAATACTATAGCTGTTTGATAGAAAGAAAAATTACAAGATCTACAGGCGCCGTAGTAGGCCTGTGCACCCACCTCTGCTCCACTATCCAATGCCCAGCCTGGGCGTCTATGAGAGACAAGCAGGTGTTAACGTACTGTTAGTGTTTCTTCAGCTGTGTATCTTAGTGTGATACCTACCTAACTCTGATCTAGACATCCATGCCCTACCTAACTCTGCTCTACCTAACTCTGATCTAGACATCACCTTTATATACAATTGTCTACCTGGAACCCTCGTTCAGTGCGGGAAGGAGCCAGTGGTCATGCGGAAGGTAATCTTTCCCTATGCCAAACTGCATATGAGATATGGGAAATAAGGAGGGTTCTGAGACCTGATCCTCGTTGGACACCCATATTGAGGCTACCTCCATACATGACTCTCAATAGTTTTTTATAAATGTTTTGGGATTTTTCCTAAATATTGCTATTGGAAGCCACTTTCAGAGTGTAGTGAATAACCCATTGAGGTGTAAGAGCAGGATGTCTATAATAATAACTAGTATTTATATAGCACCTTTCTACCTGTGGGACTCGATGCTTTTCAACGCACGCTCTTGGAATTAACCAAATTGGCAGCTGAATAGTAATAGATGTTATTATTAGCCAATTGATGGGACTCATTTTAGTTTAGTTTCTGAGTTGACCCTGCCAGGATTTGAACCTGTGACCTTGCATTTTTGAACAGGTTTTTACCTGTTTTTTAGTCAGGGAATTTACCACTGAGCTACCTCATGACAGTTGTTCGTTAACAAGGGAGAATTCCAGAGACCGGTTATTTCATCTTCTGGGCCAAAATAGCTGAATAGGAATAATTCTCCAAGTCAGGAATGCTAAATCTGAATCCTTGGGCATGCACTTGAAATTCACTCTGACTTTCTGATCACACTTTAGGGAATAACACTGTCTGTTTTTTGAACCAATGTCAAACCACTAGAGCAGCTTTAGGATTTGATGGCATAGGGGATTTGCAGATAAATGTGTAGCCAACAAATATGATGTCCTATCAACATGGACCAGAATCTCCAATCAATGTTTCCAGCTACGTACTGTTGGGAAGTGTTTTTGGTTTCACATACATGAGCTGATTCTAACTTAATTACACGGTTTATAGAGTATCACAGTGCTGTACGGTATCACACATGTCTACACATACTCTACCTGAGATTGTGCAGCACCTTGAGTTCTACACGTGTATAGAATTTATAGAATGAAAACACAAGCAGATAACCACGTGCTCTTGTTGGTATTGTAACCTTTCTGGCATTAAGCTGTTTAAGTACATACTATAAAGTTATAAACTTAAAAAGTTTGCTCATTCTGGACTTTAAATAGGTTTATGACCCTAATTTGAAATGACAAGAGGCTTAACCTGGAATTTTTTCAATGGGGTTAACCTTCACAAAGAAGACCTACATATGTATATTTGAGTCTATAAAAAAACAAGAATGTCATATTTCTGATCTTATATCTGGAAAATATTGTATTTTTCCAGTCAATGTCTGTCACTTTGCAGGTTGGAAAATTATATTTTGGCACAAAAATGCAAAACTGTTCAGAGCTCTGTGTCAAAGCCCATCCATACTTATTGCGCCATAATCTCACACGTTACCATTGTTTTTCTCACAATATTTGTTGAGTTGGCTGGGCCTAAACTCCCTTAAAGGGACACTATAGTCACGTGAACAACTTTAGCTTAATGAAGCAGTTTTGGTGTCTAGAACATGCCCCTGTAGCCTCACTGCTCAATCCTCTGCCATTTAGGAGTTAAATCCCTTTGTTTATGAACCCTAGTCACACCTCCCTGCATGTGACTTGCACAGTCTTCCATAAACACTTCCTGTAAAGAGAGCCCTATTTAGGCTTTCTTTATTGCAAGTTCTGTTTAATTAAGATTTTCTTATCCCCTGCTAAATGGCAGTGAAATTGCAGGGGAATGATCTATACACTAAAACTGTTTTATTTAGCTAAAGTAGTTTAGGTGACTATAGTGTTCCTTTAAAGCAGAAATGTCACTTCCCAGGTTTTTTTAATATATTTGTTTTCCTATATTTAAGAAATATGAATTTGTGAGGTTTGAAAAATAAAATGTCGAAATCAACACGTCTTTATCCTGCAAATGGGCGCCTCCCTCTTGGCTTCCTGTCAATCATTGTTATAAGCTCTGTCCTCTGCACCTGGCAGTCTGCACAGAGAGAGCATACAGAGAAGAGGAGAAATGGAACAATATTTCCATTTCATCTCTTCATTTGCATTATGTGCCCTGGCTTTGCCTTGTTTGGACTAATTATGTAATATTTGCAAAACCATTTATATGTATTGCAAAGAACAATGAGCATCTCATGGAAAATGGTTAACACGAGTTATGTGATATTTCAGTGACCGTCCCTCTTTAATAACAGCCTCTGGGCAAGTTACATGTTCACTCTTATAGGGGATCTGATTAGAGCCAATATGAAGCTTGTTTTTTTTTTTTTTTTTTAAATGTTGTGTATTTTCTACAGAGCAGACCCGTATGCAGATCCGTACTACGACATGGAAATGGACAGATTTTGGCGCGGAGGACAGTATGAAAATTTTCGAGTCCAGTACACAGAGACCGAGCCATACCGCTACAGGGTAAGTGATCCCAACCATAGCTAGCGATAAAAAGCATAAGCGTAATTGCCAAAATGTAAGGGTTTTACAAAAAAGACAATTGCTGGCAGGTCTTTATGGGGTTAAATAAATTAATCTGTGTTTTGTAGAAGATGCAGAATGGCCATTAGCTTATTTTCCTTTTGTTCAAATAATTGTTGTATTAGAAGTAGACCTAATGGCCACTGTCGTCATATTCTGATTTCCATAAAGGAACGAGAGCGTGACAAGGATAGAGACAGGCAGCGTGACCGAGAAAGGGAACGAGAGCGTGATCGAGACCGGGAGCGCCGACAGCGGGAGAGGGAGCGTGAACGCGAGCGAGAGAGAGATAAGGAGCGTCAGAAGCGGAAAGAAGAATGGGAAAGAGACAGGACCAAAAGGGACGACAAAGATCGTCCGAAAGATAGGGAGAAAGACAAGGAAAAGGACAAGGAGAAGGAGAAGACCAAAATAAAGTCACCTCTCCTTCCAAGGTAGGTCATCCTCATAGTCTGTGAATTCACATTGTTGGGCAGAATTCTATAGCAGTGAGTCTTTTTCATCGTATGATTATGTATAAATGCAATCTGCACAACATGCACAGAACATGTACTGTGCCTTTTAGTTAACGTAAAGGGTATGACATTTGTGGTATATATTGTGCCATGAAGTTGTTATAAAGAATAAAGATGTAGGACAGCGTCTGAATTGCTTTGAATATTTGGAAAAAGATGATGCTTTAACAGAACATGGGCAGAGTTTCACAGATACGTATGGTGTATGGTACTAACAATGTTTATTACAGATTATCTTTACCTTCAAGTACCTGTTTAGGACTATGATACATAAGAACAGAAGGTTTTTAAGAGTACACTCGATCCCAGTATCCACTACCTTTATTTTTGGTCCTCTCTCTTCCAGTCCTAATCTGCTTAGTTGTTGTTATATAGTACTATATGCCGAAAAAAGTTAATAAAGTCCATAAAGTTAGCTTTCACACATCCCTTACTGCTTTTGACCATCCATGGGCCTCTTCGATTGATTTGCTTTCTAGCTAACTTCCATCTTCATAACAGACTTCCTGCCATCCTAGCACTCACTCACTTTATATTAGGGTGTCTTCCTCTTACATACATATGGGGCATCTTCCAAATCCAAAGACTCGCTCCCTTATTTATAGGATTCTTCCCATCCCAGCACCTGCAGTTTATTTTAGGACCCCTTGTCTGTGTAATTACGTATCAAACTTGCAACATAAGGGTTTTCGGCTGAAGAGGAATTTTTACGTAAGCTCTGCTTGTAACAGTACTGTCCAGTCATGGCCCACCAGTCGGTTAACAAAATTTCCATTATTCTGTGATTGCCGAAGGTATTTTGGTAAAGATAGTACAAAGTTTTGTGCATTGGACACCCCAGCTCATAATAAGATGGGCAGCATCTTGTCCAATTCATGATTTATTAAGATTGTCTTGTAATGCTTTGTTGGCCCCACTGCATGGTGTATGTGTTCTCCAGAGATGCTGTGTTTAATGAGTGGCCACAAGGCACATCCCACCTATTGTTTAGCTACGACCCTCGTGATGTTTTATGAGGTTGCTTATAATGAATGACTGATTCCAGAATGGCTTCTCTTGGTTTCTGTAATGTTGTGCAGCAGAGGGTTGCCTGGCTGCACTGCCGTGTACAGTAAAACTTTAGAAGATTCCAAAATAGAATATTGATTGCCTACTCCCATCTCTGACAGTCTAAACAGTCTATCTGTTGTGATGGAAGATTACTGAACTCCCAACGACTTAGCTTAACGGAGCTGCCAGCAAACTTTCCCCAGTCAGGTCAATCACTGCTATACGCGATCTGTACTTTCCAAACATATTATGTGGCTATTATAGACTTGCTGTGTTTCCCCTTTGCACAGCTCTCATTCATTGTTTGACAAGTGAGATTGAAGGACTTTTTTTCTTTTTCTTTTTTTTTCTGGTCAGTCTTCCTGGTGCTGTGATGTCATTAGCATTTCCTCTAATAGTTTCACTTTCTGACTGAGGCCATGTGATCGCTTAGTGACCCAGCAGGTTTTTAAACGAATTGCAGCTTTATGGAGCTGTCACTAAAACCTTTTTTAAAAAAAAATTTATTTAGCATTTTATTTACTTTCTAGAAATAACAGACAGATTTGTTTTTCTCTAGTCCAGCTATTTTAGCCTCAAATTTGTAATTACCTCATAACTTCCAGACACATCCTGCTTTTGGTAAATAATTCGGGTACTCCTTTAATCTAGGGTTTCCACCAGCCAAATGTTCAGAATTCTGCAAATGGTTGTCCTGCTAGGCCTGCCATGTAGTCAGCAACTTGCTGGGCAGGTATAACTCTGTCCATGCCGACTGTGTCTCTAGATCGTCCCGTAACCATCTATCTACACATTCATATAGAGTGAAAACCAGGCCAGCCTGATCCATGACCTCTCATCGCACTGTTACATGATACACATTGACAGGTTCAGAGCCTTCATGCCTGGAGGGCAAATGCATAGGTAGTCTGGGCATCTGGGAAGAGGCCTAAAATAGAATACTTTATAGAGTAGTGTGTAGCCTTTATTAATTGGTTGCATATATTATTTAAAGAGCCTATTGCATATTAACCAAATTTGATGATCTGAACAATGTCTAGCGCCGGAATCCCCAGAAGGAAGAGGTTAATCTCTTTATGCTGTTACAGCGTTCTATGCCGTCCCACATTAAGTGGGCTTAAAAGTCTCTACGGCAGTGTAGAACGTTGTAATGGTGTCCAGTTCCTGAGCCCCCTTACCTACCCTAGCGATCTGCTTCTGGGCACTAGGATATAGATATATATATATATATATCAACTAATGAAGTCCTTGTTTAGTTGCACCAGGTGTGCTTGAGTTGGAACACTTGAAATATCTAAACTGGCTAAGCGTTTGTTGAGTATCGTGTTTGTTGAGTATCACATTTGACTGTGTGTTAAATATATGGCTAAGTCAAAAGAATGGTACACAAAGTTAAAGGAACACTATAGGCACCCAGACAACTTCAGCTCATTGAAGTGGTATGGGTGCAGTGCCACTGTCTGTTTAACCCTGCAATTTTAATTATTGCAGTTATTGATAAACTGCAATAATTACATTGCTTGGTTAACTCCACCTGTAGTAGCTGTCTACCAGACTCGAGGCTCTTCAGTGTCAATTAGGCAACCAAAAGTCACCTAACGATCTGGGATGTCCTCGCGCTTTGTATGAGGACATCTATTGTCCACTAAAACCCCATAATAAAGCATTGTTTCAATGCTTAAACAACAAAGTATGCTCAAACTACTGGATAACCAATCCAGAGATATGAGTATCAACTGGAAGTCTAAATAGATGGAAATAATATTACATAAAGTATAGGATAGTAGATGAAACGGTATAAGTGTATAATCGTACTCCCAAGCTAAAGGTCAGAAAAAAGTTACAAATCACTACTGCCAAATGGCTGTACCTCCACTGCTTGTGTCTCTATGGTTATCTGTACTAACTCAGACTCCAGACTTTAATTATATATACTCGGTCAATGTCGGAAAATAAATAGTAAAACATATATACACACCATGGACCTCAAGCCTGGTCTGAAACCCGCAGTGTCAACTTCCAGTTGATACTCGTATATCTGGATTGGTTATCCACTAGTTTGAGCCTACTTTGTTGTTTTAGCAATAGGGGTTAAGCCCCATGACACTTCTGGAGTTTCAATTAAGGTGTTCTTTCTACGAGATATGTGGATTAGCCCTGTGTTTGACAACCACTACTCGTAGATCTAGTTTTCCTTTGGATTGTTTCAATGCGTTCCTATGAAGTTGTCCTAATGCGATCACCGCGCATACGCAGTAGGTCCTCAACATTGTCTGAGGAGAAGATGCGGAGCCTGACCAAGCGCCAAGGGACGTCGGCACTGGATTCAGGTAAGTAACAGACTGTGTTTTTTTGTTTTTTTTTTACCCTTTCTCCGGGGGATCATCGCCCTTCACAGGCAAGGAACAGGATACAAGGAGATAGCGAAGGCACTGACAGTTCCTAGCAACACCGTTGGAAGCGTAGTTCACAAGTTCAAAGTTGAAGAATCAGTGGTTATACTACCTGGATGGGGCAGAAAAAGGAAGCTATCAATGGCTGCAAACAGATTTCTCAGAAGGCAGGTAGTGAAAAACCCTTGAGCGACTGCAAAAGACCTGTAGCAAGACTTTGTCACAACAGGCACTGAGGTTTCAGTAACTACAATAAGGCGTGTACCAAACACAGATGTTTTCCATGCCAGAACTCCGACATACACCACTACTGACTCAAAAGCACAAAAAGTTCGCTCCAATATGCTCAAAATCAAATACGCAGAAGTTTTGGAATTCTGATATGTGGAGCAATGAAACAAAACTGGAACTTTTCTGACCAGTGGAACAGCTGTATGTCTGGAGGAAGAATGATGATGAATATATTGAAAAGAACATTCTGCCTCCGGTAAGCATGGTTGTGGCTCAGTAATGCTATGGGGATGCTTTGCATACTCTGACACTGGAAACCTGCAGTGTGGAAGGCAAGATAGATTAATTGAAATATCAGGAAATCCTAGGAGAAAATATCATGCCGTCTCTGCGTCATTGGACCTTCCAACAAGACAGTCATCCCAAGCATACCTCAAATTCCACTTAGGTTTGGTTGCAGAGGAAGTCCTAGAAAATCCTACAGTGGTCTTCATATACCTGACTTGAACCCCATAGAAAATCTCTGGTGGGGTTTGAAGAAGGCCGTTACAGCATGCAAACCCAATAATATAACTGAATTATGAGCAATGGGCTAACGTTCCTCAGGAACGCTGCCAGAAGCTGGTGTCTGGCTATGCATCTCATTTACAGCAGGTCATAACCGCAAAAGGTGCTCCACTAAATACTGACGATGCTTGCCATGTAGAGGTTGAATAATTTTGAGACTGGAGAAGGCATTATAAGTTGCATTTTCAATGGGATTTGGGGAAACCACTTGAAGCATTCATTGTGTTTTTAGCAATTTCAGTTGCTTTTGTTTGATTTGCTCACTGCAAACAGCAGAAAGTCTGTAAATTTGGGGGTTGAATAATTTTGATTGCAACTGTGTATATATTTTTACACAAATATAAATATACATTAACCCCTTGTGGACAACGGATATGCTATGCCATCCTAAACACTGCTGGGCGGCATAGCACGTCTTTGCCGTCCTTTCTACTTACCTGACCGTCGCCATTCCCACTCTGACATCATCAGGCAATCCCCCTTTGGAAAATCCAGCCTTCCCGGACCTTGTGATCATGATGACTTCACAATTCCATGGCTGGAATAGCAGATTTCATCACTGCCTGGGATGTCAGGCAGTCCCCCAAACGGTAAAATACAGGTGGTCCTCATTTAGCGACCTACCTGTTTTACGACCGCCGTCGTAGGGTTTCCCTGCTCTGGTGCGCATGTCTACGTTTGGGGAAACTTCCCTGAACATAGATGAACACACCAGAGCAGGGAATCCCTTAACTCCTCACTTACCAACCAATTCGTTCTACGACTGGGTCGTAGGAACGGAATCCAGTTTGTAAGTGAGAAGTGTCTGTAGTCAGAAAAAATGAATTGCACACATTTATTGGTAAAATCTACTTAGATCATATACATATATAGACCACGCTGGAGATTATCTATTTCCCTTCAGCGTGGTCTTGGCCCTCATACTCCTGTCTTGTTCCTGCTACGGTGCAACCTTGTGCCTTGTAAATAATAATTACAAAAACGTATTTATTTTTTTGTACAAAAAAATATTTTCTTTGTGCAGAGGGTATACACATTATACGGTCAGCGTCTCAGTCCCACACTTTAGATTCGTTAAGTATAAAACAAACTTGGTGTACCTCTTTGTGCTTGGGTAGATATTACCTTTTTATGCATGAACGCTACTTTGTAAAGGTGACCTTTGGCATTTCATTTATTGTTTTGGTTATTTAAATATTTCTTGACAATGAACAGCTTATATATACATTTAGAAAAAGAAGGATATATAGACACTCTCTATATATTTCCTAGTACTTCTCCCTAGTATTACAGCAATCCATTTTCAAGTACATTAGTGGACTGCAGTGATATTTAATTAATATCGATTTAGTTTATTGAGGGATTTCTACTTTTGTCTGTTTTTTCATAAGACTATTGTACTCTATTACATTTCCTCTGTAATACTAATTACTCAATTATTTTGAGTTAGACTATACCCAGGTTTTTAATGGGTGTTGGCACTTATCACGTTTTTTGACATTTAATTTTCGTATTCAATAAAGATTTTTATTTTTATGTGACACTCGACACTAGGAGGTATTTTCCTATGGGTCGGCATTTCCACTCACTAGTTGTGAGCGGATCTTCCGCCCCATTCTTTTTCTAATTGATATAAGCGTTTGGAGTCAGGCCCCTTATACCTCCTGTAACCTTTATAGGTAGAGGATGTGATCTTTCATCCCCTCTCCTTTTCTCTCTTTTTCAGCTTATATATACATTTTTGATGCCATCAAGAGCCTAAATATTTTGAGCTATAATTATTTTTTCATACATACACCTTGTGCCTTGTTTCAGTTGGTCTCTGCAATTACATTAGGTGCATTGGCACAACTTTTCAGGTAGTGTCCGTTTGGATGCACATTTGGGCGCTCACTGAGAATTTATCTATTTGGCGTTTCAGCATAGTTCTGGTTCTTTCTCCAGCCTCCTCTATTGATTATTTCTTTATTTGTTTTTTTTCCATGACTTTGCAGCCTGTAAATAGTTTCGTTGTTCATTTCAAACTTTCGTTTCTTGAATTTCCCCATCTCACTTAGGGGATTACTGGCGGTTCCTATTTATCAGTGGGTTTTATTGACACTTATCTGCATGGGTATACTGACTTATCTGCATGGGTATATTGCATTGGTATACTGACCCTGTTCTATTTTTGCTTAGATTAGCGACATTTAGTGAATCTTCCTCAACGTGGCTATTGCAAATGTATTGGTGTTTCAAATAACATGTAATTAATTATGCTGATTGATGAAACTTTGTTGTAAAATCACTTCGTTTACTGCCTGTATATTTTGTTTCATGTTTCAATGTGGTTGTCTTTTTAAAAAATAAAAAAAAAGTGTACCACCTCTGGACAATAAAGAAAATATTGATTGCACAAGAATATAGAATAGAATATAGAAGAAAAAATATATAACATACAAAATACACAATCCAGCGCACTCGCTTATTCACTAAACCATGGTTTAAAATCTTAAAGAATGTAATAATTTTATTTAAAAACACCTCACCTAGGCAAAAAATAATGGGGGTTTAGTGACATTTTATAATCATACATTCCATAAGCCTGCCACAACGCCAATGTACCCCATTCTTGGCAGGTCCTACTCTAGCAGCCTAATGCTTGCTCTTATGAGATTAATCCACTTACTCGGGAAATGGATCCATCTCATAAAGGCAGGCATTGGGCTGCTAGAGTAGGACCTGCCAAGAATGGGGTACATTGACGTTGTGGCAGGCTTATGCAATATATGATCATATAATGTAACTAAACCCCCATTATTTTTTACCTAGTGGAGGGGTTTTTAAATAAAATGATTCCATTCTGTAAGATTTTAAATCACTGTTTAGTGAATAAGCAAGTGCCCTGGATTGTGTATTTTGTATGTTGTGTATATATTGGCCCCAGCAGCACCCTATACTGTTTGCATGTTCAGGTGAGTGCAGCCCTCTTGGTTGGTTGTGTCTGTCTGTCTGTGTGTGTGTGTCTGTCTCTGTCTGTGTCATTCTGTCTGTCTCTGTGTCTGTCTGTTCGTGTGTTTTCTTTTTACATAAGTCATTTTATTAATTACAATTTGATGGACCGGCCTGACAACCCAGGCAGAGAATTTAATTTGCAAGCCCCATATTTAACCCTGTATGATTCCAAAACACCATAAAACCTGTACCCGAAAGGTACTAAATTAATATGTATCATGGTGATATTATCATTGAAAGTGACGTTTGTGTGAAACAAATATGAACAATAGCTTTGACCAGGATGTGTGACTAAGTGGCTACTAAAAAAAGACTAGACATACATTTTGAATACCCTGGATTGTCTACTTTTGCAAATGGTATGCCATAATGTGGGTAATTCTCATTCCTGGGCTGCCATATGGTCTCAAAGGCAACTTAACCAAACTAGCAAAATTCAGTGTGTAAAAATTGAAATGGGCAAGCTTTATATTTGGCCTTGTAACTTTCCAAAACACTATAAAACCTGAACATGTGGTACTGCACACAAATATGAGCATTTCAAACCAGTAAAACGTATTTACTATGCGATGATATCGTTTGGTAAAAAAAAAAAAATTCAAATATGAATGCTAACTCTGGCCAGGGTTTCTGACTACGTGGCTACTGAAAACGACTGGACATATATCCCATCTTGCGTACCATGGGTCGTCTGCTTTTGCAAATGGTATGCCATAATGGGAATAATTCTCATTTCTGGGCTGTCATGTCTCAAAGCCATCATAGGACCAACAAACCATACTGGCAAATTTCCTATATTTGACTCTGTAACTTTCCAAAACACCATAAACCTTGTACATGGGGGGTACATTTATATACAATAGACATTGCTGAACACAAATATGTATATTTTATGTCAGCAAAAGCCAACAGTATAATGACATTCACAGTTAAAATGCCACGCAGAACTAAAAAAATAAACACAAAAACCCCAAAACATCTCACACTTATTGATATTAAATGGTTTCATATATTATGTGATGAAATGAAAGAACAAAATGATATATATCAAGTGTAGGTGCACTCAATAAGTGGTGGTTGAACAGACCTATAGCTTAAATTCCAGGTTTAGTTTTGATCAGAACTTGTACAATTGCCTCCGTCCTTAAAGGGAAACTGTAGTGCCAGGAAAACAAACTCTCTTTCCTGGCACTATAGCTTCCCTCTCTGCCAAGGCTCCCTCCTGTGGCGCTGAAGGGGTTAATAACCTCTTTAGTCACTTACCTAGGTCCAGCGTCGATGTCCCTCAGCGCTGGCTCCGCTCTGGCAGGTGTCGGCGGGGGAGACCTAATGCGCATGCGCCGCAGTGGCCACGCTCGCATTAGGATCTCCCCATAGGAAACCATTATTCGATGCTTTACTAATGGGAAAATCTGACACTGGAGGTCCTCATGCAGAGCGTGAGGACGTTCAGCGTCTGATAACGGACCAAAAGTCTGTTTCGATTCCGGAAGTTCCTGTAGTGGCTCTCTGGTAGAGCAGGAGTTAACCCTCAGATGTAATTATTGCAGTTTATAAAAACTGCAATAATTACCACTACATGGTTACGGGTGATGGGAGTTTGCACCCTGACCACTTCAATGAGCTGAAGTGGTCTGGATGCCCACAGTGTCCATTTAAGGGGTTAAGTTGTAAAAGTGCCAATTTCTATTGAAATCTGCACATTTTGAAAATATGAAGGGGAAAAGACTCGCTCTTCACACATGAAGAACTTCCCAAGCTATAGTGTTTTATGTGTTTGCAGTGTTCATGTGTATGTTTATTGTGTATATTCGGAGCATATTGTCGCTGGGCTGTGAGCACCCAGTAGTTGTCCAGCTGTTTGCAGTGGATATAAGCATATTGTTGGCAGGGTTTGAAGATGCACCTGGTATTACATTTAATGTGGCCAGGAGTGTCTAGAGCACATGTGCTGGTAGTATGTGGTTCATGTGCAAAAAGTCTCCCCTCCTTGCTCTCACACGAAGGGCTCTGTATCATACACTTCTCTACCCTCTCTGTCTGATTGGTTGGGTAGGTGGGGAGTTGACATGTTGCACCATGCACCCCCAAACATACTGTCTGCTGGTAAAAGGTCCTGAGAGTTGCCGTTTAATAATAAAGAACTACCTGTTCGTGCCCACGGCTACACATTTGCAGAATACAGTTTCCATGCACTACCCAAAGACACAGTACATGTTTGCAGAGTTTAGGGAAAAGGGGTGCACTTGGCAATGTGATAATGGGGCAGGGATAGGGAAGCTGGTAGATAATTCTGCCTGAAGGCAATTTTCAAGCTTCAGAGATGCTTCATAAAGTCCTCCAGGAGGTCGAAACGTTGTCACCTATTTTGTAGGAGCTAATTAAAGGCTGCTTACTTCACCATTACCTGTGATATGATTGTAAAAGAAGTTGGTTAGATAGGTTTAATCATTTCTAGATGTAAATATATTGGCACTCCGTGTCGTGTTTCTGGGATTCCAATCATTCCTGCACGTTAATGTGTTTTCCCAAGCCTTCGGGTGTTTAAAGAGTGCTACTATTAATAGGCAGTCTATTAATATCCCATTGGGACAGTTTCTAAATATAACTCGGGCTGTTGTGTCAATAAGAAGGCTGTTTACCTGTAACGAGCCTGTCAGCCTATCTACAAAAACCAATGGCTGCACATACAGGAATGTTTGACCAAAATAGACATATTTAATTCCTTAAATTATATATGAAAAGAGGAAATGGATCTATAAATTTCTAGTCGCTGTCATCTTTTTAAATCTGCATTCAGGGCAAATAATGCCGTCCAGGGTTCCTGGGGACCATATAAAGCTGCTGCCCAGTAGTATAACTCCCAATAATCTCAGTAAGCTCTGCCTTGAGGTTAGTGCCCCCTGTACTGAATGGTATCTGCCATACACCAAGGTTAATAAATTATAGATGGCATCGCCCATAGTGCTACACGGGGTTCGATATGATGTCATTTATTTTAGTATTTTGCCATTAAATTAAAACACTGTGGGGTTATTCACTGAACAAGGATCTGCAGATCCACTGAAATTGCACATTTAGGCACATATATATATTATATGAAACCCATCAACCTGTGCTGTTGAGGATATTCAATCACTAACTTGCAAGCACTTACCTGTGGATCCAGATTGAATTGCAATATTTAGTGAATAGATACGTTTTGTGATTTTTCAAAAGTAGGTGAAACCACTATATTGATGTTTATTTACTTCATAGACCATGTGCAGCTGCTAACTGTGTGTCCGTGCACTGAGCTGTCTCTGCACCACTCAGCTGTGTCCGTGCACTGAGCTGTCTCTGCACCACTCAGCTGTGTGTCCGTGCACTGAGCTGTCTCTGCACCACTCAGCTGTGTGTCCGTGCACTGAGCTGTCTCTGCACCACTCAGCTGTGTGTCCGTTCACAGAGCTGTCTCTGCACCACTCAGCTGTGTGTTCGTGCACAGAGCTGTCTATTGTCTGCATTGTGCTGTCTCTGGTATATTACTGTGTCTCTTGTCTGTGTGTCAGTGCATTGAGCTGTCTTTGGTTTCTCGCTGTGTTAGTAGACTGAGCTGTCTCTTGTCTGTCAATTCATTGAGCTGTCTCTGGTATCTTACTTGTGTCTCTTCTCTGTGTGTCAGTGCATTGCTCTCTGGTATCTTACTGTGTCTCTTGTCTGTGTCAGTGAATTGAGTGGTCTCTGGTATCTTGCTGTGTCTCTTGTCTGTGTCAGTGCATTGCGCTCTCTGGTATCTGACTGTGTGTCAGTGCATTGAGCTGCCTCTGGTATCTTACTGTGTCTCTTATCTGTGTGCCAGCGCATTGCGCTGTCTCTGGTATCTTACTGTGTCTCTTCTGTGTGTCCGTGCATTGAGCTCTCTGGTATCTTGCTGTGTCTCTAGTCTGTGTGTCAGTGCATTGAGCTGTCTCTGGTATCTTACTGTATCTCTTGTCTGTGTCAGTGCATTGAGCTGTCTCTGGTATCTTACTGTATCTCTTGTCTCTGTGTCAGTGCATTGAGCTGCCTCTGGTATCTTACGGTGTCTCTTATCTGTGTGTCAGCGCATTGCGCTGTCTCTGGTATCTTACTGTGTCTCTTCTGTGTGTCCGTGCATTGAGCTCTCTGGTATCTTGCTGTGTCTCTAGTCTGTGTGTCAGTGCATTGAGCTGTCTCTCTGGTATCTTACTGTGTCTCTTGTCTGTGTGTCAGTGCATTGAGCTGTCTCTGGTATCTTACTGTATCTCTTGTCTGTGTGTCAGTGCATTGAGCTGTCTCTCTGGTATCTTACTGTGTGTCTAGTCTGTGTGTCCGTGCATTGAGCTGTCTCTGGTATCTTACTGTATCTCTTGTCTGTGTGTCAGTGCATTGAGCTGTCTCTCTGGTATCTTACTGTGTGTCTAGTCTGTGTGTCCGTGCATTGAGCTGTCTCTGGTATCTTACTGTATCTCTTGTCTGTGTGTCAGTGCATTGAGCTGTCTCTGGTATCTTGCTGTATCTCTAGTCTGTATGTCAGTGCATTGAGCTGTCTCTGGTATCTTACTGTGTCTCTAGTCTGTGTGTCAGTGCATTGAGTGGTCTCTCTGGTATCTTGTTGTGTCTCGTCTGTGTGTTAGTGCATTGAGCTGTCTCTGGTATCTTACTGTGTCTCTAGTCTGTGTGTCAGTGCATTAAGCTGTCTCTGGTAGCTTACTGTCTCTTGTCTGTGTGTCAGTGCATTGAGCTGTCTCTCTGGTATCTTACTGTGTCTAGTCTGTGTGTCGGTGCATTGAGCTGTCTCTGGTATCTTACTGTATCTCTGGTCTGTGTGTCAGTGCATTGAGCTGTCTCTGGTATCTTACTGTCTCTTGTCTGTGTGTCAGTGCATTGAGCTGTCTCTGGTATCTTACTGTGTCTCTAGTCTGTGTGTCAGTGCATTGAGCTGTCTCTGGTATCTTGCTGTGTCTCTAGTCTGTGTCAGTGCATTGAGCTGTCTCTGGTATCTTACTGTATCTCTTGTCTGTGTGTCAGTGCATTGAGCTGTCTCTGCTATCTTGCTGTGTCAGTGCACTGAGCGCTCTCTGGGCCAGTTAAACAATGGTTTCTGGGTAATTTCTAGCAGACAGATGGGAGACAAACCAAAATAACCAGACAGCTCACAGCATTAACAGACAGACCTACCAGGAGTCTGCTGATAGGTCTATATGTGACTATGTCAGGGGCACTTCTCCCATTGTATTGTGCTTCTGGTGGGCATTTTGGACAGACCTGTATCATTCATTTGCTTCCCACAGTTTATTAATACATTAATTTTTGTAGATTGATTTATCAATACTTTATATAGGATTGTTTATATAGATTGATGCCCTTTATATCCGCTCCTGGTATTAACTTCTAGTATTTTTGTGGCTCTGTTTTTGTGCTTTATTTTAAGGTTTTCTATGTTTTTAGAGCAACATTTAGTCGATTTACCACTCTCTACCTTTTAGTGAGATCTCTGTACATTTTTTGTTCTCTTGTCACATTATTTCAAGGGGTACTTTTTCATTTTATGTTTACATATAAACCACACTTAGTGTCACAATGAAAAGAAGACATTTTTTGATTCGGTTAAAATGTTTTTGGGGAGGAAGGATAATTTTTAATGTGGATTTGTGATTTTTAAAGCGAGAACCGATTACCTTTTTATGTTTTTACGTGACTGGTTGATACTATTTACATGTTGCCAACATAGTCACTTTACAATTTAAATATGGGAATCTAAATATAGAATATACGTGCACATTAGTATGACGTGGGCCCTGCTCCAAACGAGATAGCAATCCTGAGGATGCTAATTAACATATGAATGTTTGAGATTGGGCTTGACATTGCCAGCCTGTGGGCACCTTGTTGAACAATAAAACAATGCACGGAAATTAGGTTTGCATGCCTGATGTAAGATGCAGAAAGGGTGTGTGTCCCTTTAAATATCCAGCATGTTCCTTATGTGCGGTTTGCTAAATTTGGGAATTTTACGGACCTGTAGGTGTGCCAAAAAATCATGATAGTCCTTTATCTTCTGATGTAACATATATCCTGTGATGTCACACATTCACTATACCGGTTTTTTGGTTTTTCAAAGTAAGAGGAAATAGTAAAATTGGTTTCTGTGTGTACATCAGACTGTAGACTATGAAACCGTATTTCCTTTTGCATTTGAACATCTTTGCAAGGGCAGTGTAATGCATATATGATGCAAGATACTCTGGGCTGAATAAATTGAGATTTTTACTGCTCCGGTCAAAGGTAGGATTTTGATAGGTGTGGCTGGATTTTACAAATCTTGGCAGAGTTTTGAATCCGTGGCGATTATTTCAGGAGCTGTTTTATGAGAAAAGATTGCTTGTAAAATCACAGACTTAATCACTAAAAATAAGGCAGTGCAGTTATTTATTTTTTTTTTTTTATATATATAAAGTAGAACATTGAATATAACATTGAAAATCAGCTTCCGTTTGCATACATTTTATTTTCCCCCCCTCAATGTACATTTAGCAAAGCTTTTCACCAAGGTGAGATTTGCCAAGGATTCAAACGCAATTTCAAAATTTAGGTTAAAAAAGCCAAGTTAGAAAAAAATCAGTTTTCAGCTGAGCTATTTTGTCCTTCTAACGCTGATTGACACGGAGGCACTCATGATAGCGCACACACTAAATCTGTGTGTTACCTCTGTCTTTTTTTTTTTTTTTGGTTGCATTCTGGGTATTGAAATAGAGGATACGGGCTGGAAACCTTGGACACAACTATAATCTATAAACCACTGTTTAGAAGTGTATGTTCGACTACAATTTCCTAGCAAAGGATTATGGGAGTGTAGTGAAATTGAGAGTAAAGTTCAGGCACCCCATCTGACATAACAGCACTGTTATTAAAATTGCCACAAAGTCTAGTGGAATACATGATTGACTGCAATTACAATAGACACCGGAACTGGGTTGCAATCTTGTATTGTGTTACAAGATATTGTTTATCTGTTTCTTAAGGGAGGAAATCAAACCAGAAAACCAGGTGCAATCTGATATTATTCACTGTATGATGATTATAGACACTACATCCTGTGTTCAGACTGGGTTTAAACCAGAGGTATACCCTCTGACTGTAAATAGTCAGAAATGAATCCACTAAAACCGCAAGTGTAACGTGTTTAAATAGACACCTTAATAACATTATTTATACATATATATATATATATATATATATATATATATATATATATATATATATATATATATATATATATATATATATATATATATATATATACACATACATACATACATACATAGGGGGGCGTGGCCTGACTGTGAAGCTGTGCAGACGCACAAACCAAGGGCTCTTGGGCCTAAGGTCAATTACTGGCTAAAATCAGGGGGAAAATAAATAACCCTAATCCCCAACTCACCACAACTTGCTCTGCAGACACTGGTGAACAGGGGGATACCTCACATGCCCAGAAATAACGCCAGAATGACCAAGCTGAGGCCTGGGGCCTATACTAAGCAGGGCAAGGGAGAGGCGGCCGCTCTCCCGGCCCATAACCACATGCAGCACTCGCAGCAAATGGCAAACCCCCCTCCCTTAGGACCGGTGGGGGTTATCCTGGTCCCAATCGCCTCAACTGGCAAGCCCCAACAGACCCTAAAAGCGGACACCGACCCCATCCACGCAACGAACTTGCAAGCAGACCGCCGTATCAAAATGGCGGACACGCAGTCTCGTGGACAATCTGGGCCGTCACTACAAAACCCCAACACAAACGACTTCCTCACTACCCGCCTGGACAGCTGTTTGAGGCCTTCTGGGCAAGGATCGCGGCCCGACATAAGGAAGAGCAATCCATGCTGCTGGAGATCAGAGGTACGGAGGGGCGACACAGACCGGAGTGGGACCAGGCTGCTTTCGGGCAAAGCCGTGCAAACACAGTCCAAGAATCATCACACCAGCCCATCTGGGCTGAGGGCCAACAGGGGATCAGCCCCGGAGCCCAAGGAAGCCATCAGCAGCACGGAAGTGGGAACTGCCAAAGTACAGATCTCAGCCCTGCATCAAACCTTGCAAGCCATGGAGAGCCGGGTGACTGACCACAGAACAGCACAGCCTCAAACCTGGGACTCAAACTGGTAACAACATACCCTTCCTAATCTGGCCCATTAGAGGCATAGGCTGGGAGATACCGGAGAGATCCTCGCTTAGCTCTGCACTGGACTCTAAACACTGCAGCACTGCTGTTTCTCCTCAATACCCCCAAGATATTGACCCTCAGTGGCCACACATTTGGTTGGACATTGACATTACTTTTTATGTCTCCTCACTTTTACTCAAATGCCAGCCTAGTTTAGCATGGTTCCTACCCTAAGCATTTATTTACCAACCACCCACATGTCTAGTATGTACAGCAAGTTTGTATAGTCGCTATAAACTTGAACTACCCTGATTCTGATCAGCTTACACCTTACTATATAGTCAGACATGTCATAATTACCGAAGTCATCTGTGTTATATTCCTACATAATTTACTAAATGTTTTGGTGTTTTTTTAGGCCGGTTGCCCTCTTATCTTATATTCTTCTGTTACCAATATGATGCTACTATGCCACTATAATGCCCTCTAACTAAGCTCACTAACAAGGCTATTAAGGCATGTATGCTAGCCCAAGGGTCACCTATCGCCCTAAAGGGCCCCAGTGGTTTAAACCAGCACCACATCTTAGAATAACCATTGCCGCAGCCTCACTACTCACAATTCACTTATGTTTTGGTATGCTTACCACTATTAATCCCTGTGCCTCACAACCCCTAGGATGTGTATAATCTGCCTGCAATTACTTATGTCTATGCTGAAGCTTAATTGACGTTGCAAAATAGTTTATCTTGACTTATTAACCTTAAAATGTGCACTAATATGTTCAATTGTTTCTTGTTATAGCTGGTGAGGCAAAGCGTGAAAGCTTGTTACCCTCATGCGCCTTACAAACAAAGAATAAAAAAAATATATATATATATATATATATATATATATATATATATATATATATTAGAATACTGGGCCCGCTTCTTAAAATAAAAAAACTGCTGAACTCACGTAGTTACACTCATCTTTCCAGCGCAGTTTCCTCGCCGCAGCCCGATCCTACCACAGTTCGGTCATCATCCTTGACGACTAAACACGTAAGGCACGTGGACAGCAATTCCCACTGTGTGTCAGACCAGCGCTTCTCCTAGGCATGTGGTGAATCCAGTCCTTCCCTGTGAGAAGAATTAGCTGCGTTTGTGTTGTGGGTGATGATGCTGAATGTGAAAACCTTTGGTTTTTGAAAGTACCTCTAGTGGCTGTCCAGTGATATTCAAATGTGGCACCCTTACACCTTCATCTGGTAGTAGAGGACAATGTCCCATATATTATGCTGGGAGATATGGTCAAACAGCAAGATTCTGATATTATTTGGGTTTATAAAAACCCTAACCCAATGAATGGTTATTGTTTGTTTTTTTTGGTTTATTTCATGGACTGTACTAAATTATTTGTTACGTACTTGAAACAAAAAATCAACAAAAACATATTTTTAGTCTGTGACCAGTTTGCTAACTCAGCAGGAAGTGTCCTGCAAGTAGCTGTTTGTCTTTGGGTTTTGCGTAGTCCGCTCTAAAGCCTTCATTGATGAACTATAGGAATAATCTGCTGAGGATATAGATAGGAGCGGTGCCCTTTGACAGGTAATAAAATGTCTAGCTATATTATTGAATGACGTCTATCTGTAGTTGTGTTATGACCTTGTCAGGACTTCAGCCAAAACCTAATTGTTTGCGTACACCTAGAATGAGTGCATATTGCATCTGGTGATTAAACGGGCCAAAATTAACATTAACTCTTGGATTTCCGGCTCTACATACATCTATATATGGGGAAAAGTATCCTTCGCCTTAGGAGTCCAGGTTCACCCAAAGTTTAGAAGACTTTTTTTAATAAAAAGCATTTTTAACCCAATTATTGAATAGAGCTAACGTTTCTGGACTTGGATGTTCATATCATTGTTAATTCATTTTACTGCTGCTGGGTCGGCTGAACTCTGCATATTGCATTCTGTTGAAGGATACCGCCTTGGGCAAGTGAACCCTGAAGTTTTACAAAGGCTTCAGTTTGTGATCTGCAGACTCTACACTACAGAGAACATACTACCATGAGATCTTGCCAAGTTCATATAAATCCTGCAGCTCTCAATAGACATTGCCTTGAACTTTGCAGAGTACATCCTGCCATGCTCAGATAAACTCTGCAGCTCTCAGTAAAGTTTATCTTGAACTCTGCAGAGTACATCCTACCATGGGATCCTGCCATGCTCAGATAAACTCTGCAGCTCTCAGTAAAGTTAATCTTGAACTCTGCAGAGTACATCCTACCATGGGATCCTGCCATGCTCAGATAAACTCTGCAGCTCTCTGTAAAGTTAATCTTGAACTCTGCAGAGTACATCCTGCCATGGGATCCTGCCATGCTCAGATAAACTCTGCAGCTCTCTGTAAAGTTAATCTTGAACTCTGCAGGGTACATTCTACCATGGGATCCTGCCATGCTCAGATAAACTCTGTAGCTCTCTGTAAAGTTAATATTGAACTATGCAGAGTACATACTACCATGGGATCCTGCCACGCTCAGATAAATTCTGCAGCTCTCTGTAAAGTTAATATTGAACTCTGCAGAGAACATACTACCATGGGATCCATCCTGCTAAGGCTGATCTCGCACTTCATTGTATTCTGCAGGGATCCTGACAAGTTATGGTAAAGTGTGCAGTTCATGTTGAGCTCTGCAGATTACACGCTGCCGAGGGAATCCACTAAATTCACTATGAAGATATTGAAAAGCTATAGTGTTTACTTGAACTTGGCAAATTCCTCCAATTTGTTATCTGCTGAGTTCTTTGTATAGTTTGAGGAGCTGCAGTTCCTCTGGCTGCACCAAATCTCAGAACCCTGTTGTGTGTAAAGAGCATCAGGGTTCAGGTTAATTTCCCAGTGTTTATTCTGCAGATTGCAATGCTAAATGTATGGTGAGAGTGTATGAATGTTTTGCTGTTTGTTGCTGAATCCAGTGCTTTCACTTCAGTTCTCTCTCCCTGTCTAAACTGGGTGATGCTGGCGATGTCCTGGAAAGAGTGTAGGGAACTCTATAATCTGCTCATGTCTGCCAAGACTTGGGTTTAACCAAACTTCTGGAATAAAAGGGAATCATGACATGTCACACATGGCATGTGTCCTTAAGGGGTTAAACAATGGGCTGATGGAGGATTTTGAGAAATAATTTTTCTCTTCGTTCTCATTTTCTTTGTGTGTTTGTTTCTAACATTGAATTACTTTTCTTCTGTGATGGAATCGCACAAGTTCTTGACGCAGCAAGTGTATAATGAAAATATTTTGTTGTTTCCTGGGCCAGGCATAGTCTCCAGACGCCACCTTTAATTTAATTTAGACTGCGTTGCCTCCTGCTAATGCCATGCCAGGAAAACTGTAATCTAGTTGTAGATCTTTCTGTGTGTGTGTGTTTCCTTTAGTTGTAGACAAATTCCATAGAACGTTAGAACAGCCCAAAGCAACAGCGATGACTTCCTCACTTCTTCTGCTTTGAGAAGACGACTTATTGATCCTCATACTTCTACTCCTACCCCTGGTTTGGTGGCATCTTATTGGAATTATTTCTTTTTTTACTTAACCCCTTAAGTACCAAACTTCTGGAGTAAAAGGGAATCATGACATGTCACACATGTCATGTGTCCTTAAGGGGTTAAAGGACAACTTTTAACTCAAAACTATATTTGCTATAATCCTGTTAAGTCCTGAAAGAAAATAGATATTTTTTTGTAAATTTTTTTTTTTTTTTAAATGAAACATAGAATGTGTCGGCAGATAAGAACCATTCGGCCCATCTAGTCTGCCCAGTTTTCTAAATACTTTCATTAGTCCCTAGCCTTATCTTATAGTTAGGATAGCCTTATGCCTATTCCACGCATGCTTAAACTCCTTTACTGTGTTAACCTCTACCACTTCAGCTGGAAGGCTATTCCATGCATCCACTACCCTCTCAGTAAAGTAATACTTCCTGATATTATTTTTAAACCTTTGTCCCTCTAATTTAAGACTATGTCCTCTTGTTGTGGTAGTTTTTCTTCTTTTAAATATATTCTCCTCCTTTACTGTGTTGATTCCCTTTATGTATTTAAATGTTTCTATCATATCCCCCCTGTCTCGTCTTTCCTCCAAGCTATACATGTTAAGTTCCTTTAACCTTTCCTGGTAAGTTTTATCCTGCAATCCATGAACCAGTTTAGTAGCCCTTCTCTGAACTCTCTCTAAAGTACCAATATCCTTCTGAAGATGCGGTCTCCAGTACTGCATACAATACAACAATACGTGCAGTATATGTAAAAATAAAATTGGAAATACCCATCTGTACTTTTAGTATATTACAGAATCCTTTAACAATATACATGCACCTTTGGTCAGGCAGTGTTTGAAAACAAACAGTCTCAGTGACAGTCTTATACAGGTATAAAAAAAAAAATAAACTATTTAAGCATTTTCCAAGTTATAATTAATCTCTAGAGAAATCCAAACATGTCTTTTCTGATAAAACTTTCACATTATTCTAACACAAATTGTGCCGCATGTGCTGCCCAGCTATGTGTGTGTTATTAGAGCACACTGCCATTCTGTCCTCCTATGTGAATCGACAGTCAGTTATGCTTTTCTTCAGCCATAACAGTCCTTTAACAGGTTTTAAATGGCTGGTTCTTTTTAATTTAAATGTTCCTATATTAAATTCTTGAAGTAAATTTTTATACAACAAAAAAAATATATATATATACTCGAAGGGTTAATGTTTGAGGTTATGCATGCAGACAGCCTAATGGATTGAGAATGTATGTGCCTGGGCAGTCACTGTAACATTGGAAATTCTCCTCTCTCATATGAAAACAATAAGATAGCCGTTTGTGATGTCAGAGCAGCCACAGGTGATAAGCTGACCATAGACAGGGCTCTATGCAAATAAACAAGGGAAGCAGGTTGTGTAAAGCGAGGTAACGGCTTGTAGGTGTGCAAGTGGAGATGGAGCAACCTAACTTCCTGGTTTAAACGGCAACTTCCTAAAAATAGCTGCTGCTGGCACACCTCCTGCAAGGGATAGGCATTCTCCTACACTCCAGAAAAGGGATTTATGTCACCGTGTCTGCTGTGGAATACAACTCCCATTGTACCTTTACTACCTGGATGTGCATGATGCCAGTTGTGTGCTTGACTCCACCATCCATGTGTGCATATCTGTGCATATGCTTCATAAATTCCATCAATTAGCACGAGTAGAGAGTAGTATTCTTACATGATTGGTGGGAAATGATTCTTGCAAACGTATTTGCAGCCCGTGTCTCTGTAGAGGGTTACTATAATATAGATTCACACGCAATTAAAACCAATAATGTCTGCCTGTGTCTTCATAACAAGCTGGTTTATAAGAATTCTGTTTCAGAGTGGTATGACCCACTCAGAGCTGTATTGAACCTTATGGGCTGGCAGAGAATTCTGGGAAATCTAACTTGGCAGCCCAAAGCCAGCCCATAAAGTGGACACGACCCCTGTTCTTATTCTTGTGGTTTCTAAACTCCTTGTGTTCGTGTTAATAGAACATGGTTTTGGGTAACTTATAGATCACTATTTCTATTTAGAAACATTTTATAAACTTACAATAAAAGATATGTTACGGTAAATAAGTAAATCTATGGATTATACAAGCTAACTGTAGTAGCAGATTGCTTTTTGTATAGCAGAGCCATTTTAATGTGATGCAACATAATTCCTGAATGGTGGGGCCTGCCACAAAAACCACTGTGGCTTTTGTTAAAGAGGCACACATCTCTTGATTGTCCCAGTGACTTTTTGCCATTGTTGGACTGTGGGTCCCAAATGATCAAGCCTTTTTTTTTTTTTTTTTCTGCTGGATGAGCCTCTGGGAGATGCAGTCTATATAGCCTGGGGTGCCAAACAGGGCTGAGTAGTCACAGGAGCGTAAATAAGGAGACTAAAAAGGTATAGAATATAGTGCTATGGCTCCTTTATTGAATGGACTTTCTCCACTACATACTTCCATTCCGCATGTAACAGAAGTGTGGGAATGTTCTGTTCTGTTCCTGCGGCATTTATTAATGGCTTATATTTTCATGAACACACTTGCCGTACAGGATAGTTAAAGGATAGACTGTGGCAAATGTATTGCTCCTTTTTATGTTTCTCAGAAATGCTGTAATTTTTTGCGATTCTCTCTGGTTCAGCAAATCTGCAGGTTCTGATCTTTTTCCCACTAGCCTATAGCTTTCTGTGGGAGAAAGTCCCACAAACTGCTGCCCCCCCATTTTATATTACCCTAATGCAGGCATAGGCAACCTTAGGCACTACAGGTGTTTTGGACTACACCTCCCATGATGCTTTGCCAGCATTATGGGGGATGTAGTCCACAACATCTGGAGTGCCGAAGGTTGCCTATCCCTGCGGTCTAATGTGTAGAGTCATGTGATAACCTTCCAGATGTTTATTTACAGTTAGTGGTCTAATCTTGCTGTCTGAGACAGAAAAGGGGTGGGGGGGGGGGGAATAGTTTAGAATTGATGCACATTGTAAAAACAGATATATATCTGCATTTTGATTGTTTTTCTTTCCTCTGGTTATTTTAAAGCATGTCACCGCTGCTAAATAGCCTTTTCAATTCCCCCTAATCCACTAAGAAAAACAGGGCACCTTTGTCATTCCGTTGTGTTCTAACTTTTAAAATATTGTATATACATGTCTAAATGGCAGCCCATCACTTGGGGGTGTACATATTTTGTTTGATGAGATTTAACATGCAAACACAACCCCAAGCATCATTTATATTTTACATTCTGATGCCATCTATCATGGATATACATGCAGGGTTATTTAATAAAGTGAGAATTCAACGTGAATTTCAAATTTAAGGAACAACTAGCCGAACTAAAAATCTAGCCGACTTTAAAATGATTTTTTGCATTTCAGCTATTTTTTACCTTAAATTTAAAATTAACTTTAAATTAGAATTTTCGCTTTAGTGAATAACTCTGATGGACTTACTAACTAAACTGTGAAACAAAAGCAGACTGGCAAAAACAATATAACTCTATTCACAGTTTGACATTTGAAGCTTGTATTTCATAATTCAGTTTTCACCATAATTCACGGTTTAGTAATAAGCAACATTAGTCGTCATGTTTCATATTAAAATCCTCTCTGCATAATTAGTGTTTAGTCTTTTTTATTTTTTTATTTAATGTTTCATCTTTAGTGAAGATTTTTCAACAACAAAAAAGGTTACAGTAGCACAGTAAGCCATTTACATTGTGTGGACAGTAATCTTTGAATACAAATATAAATTGGGTCTCGGGTAGACCAGTTATATCGGTTTGTCATCCAGGTTCTCTAATGGTAGTCTAGAAAGAGTGATATAAAAAAAGATAAATGAATAAAAATGTAATCTTAAACTGGATGGTGGTATTGGAAGGAGCGGGACAGGAAATCCTCAGAGACTTTATGGATTCCAGGCAGTCTCCTTGTCCTATTTACCATAACAGCTGTCTGTCGGTGCAGTCCTTGGAGAATTTCTGTAGAGTGCCCTGATTTATATGTGCCATTTCTTCTTGTATCTTTGTAGATTGGAGCACTTTTATCACTAGGGCTATTGAAGTAGCTGGGGATTTCTAGGAGATCGAGAGCATGTAAAAATGTATCCAAGACTTGGAGTCCCGGTACAAACCCGGATTGTTCTGGTGATAGCAGGCTAGCGATAAATCTGTTTCAGCAAGTGGCCAGTATCTTTGCAAATAATTTGGTGTCCGCGTTTAGCAGTGAAATTAGCCGAAAATTGACACGTGCACATTTCTGATGGGACAGTGCCAGTATCCTTAATTCTGTTGAATAGTGTGGTCAGTTGTGGGGCAGGCATATCAGAGTAGAGTAGTATGGGTTCAAGAAGCTTTCTGGGCCAGGGGACTTAAGATTCTGTTGCTGGCGGATGACCATCTGCATGTCCTCTAGCATGATTGGAGTTTGGTACACATACCGACACAATCATCAGAGATTCATTATTTAATCCTTCCAGCAACAACATGCAAACTCCATATTTATAGTTTAGCTGAAAAGACCAGTCCTTGTTGAATAATATAGAACTCCTTTTTGTTTTGTGCATAGACATGGTAGCTATCTGGACATTGATTAGAGAGAAGGAAAGGGGGTGACTTTACTAAAATGTGTGTCTTGTATGAAGAAAGAAAACACACTACTGCATTAAACTATGTACATTTCTGAAAAATGCATTTACACATGACTAGTGAATGCAAGTTATTGTAGTTTTCGTTTAGAGAAAACATACTATAATGAATTCACAAGAGGAGGAAAGCTCTATGTAACACATATGCGGTTCTAGTCGCAATGTCTAGTCCTAAGAACACGTTTCGAAATGAAGCTAAATAGTGCCTTAACTTGAATATCAATAGAGTAAATTGTCCTGTAAAACTTGGTGCAAAAGGTATTGACCCTGGTCTGCTCTAGACGTCTCCTGTAATGGCCATTGGGGTGGGGTGTAAAACTTGGCTGCATCTGGTATGGTTCAATCTTCCCAATCACCCTAAACTTATATAGGGTATGTTAGGGGGGATACACCTAGCAGGACCCGGCAGACCAGAGTAACACAAACCGGTAGGATACTTCAAAGACTCTCATCTACCATAATCAGGTAGACGTTACCGGTTTCATCCGTTGTGGGTCTACCTTGAAATGTGGAGAGGCCTGGGGGCTCCTTCAGGTGTCCGCCGGGGCCAGGTTCCAAGACTGCAGCACTTAGATTCCCTCTTGGGTTGTATTTACCACTTTGGTGGTTCCGTTATGCCAGATGAAAAGCTTTGTGGGATAACCCCACCTGTAAGCTATGGTATTCTTGCGAAGAAGTGAGGTAACTTGGGCAAATTCCTTGTTCTTCGCCATGGTGGATGCTAAGTCCATGAAAAGGGCTAATCCTGTGAAGGATTCAGGCATTGCTGTCAGTTTCCCATCTGCAGCCATCAGTGCCGCTTTGGCTTTATAGCAGTGCAGTCGCAACTCTGTGTCTCTGGACTCTTTGCCTGTGATGTTCCATGGCTTGTGGAGGCGGTGGGCTATGTCAATGAGCCACTCACTGTTGGAGTAGTAGTGAGTGTAGTCAGTTAGTCTTACCTTTCCCTCATCCTTTTGGGGGATTTTGTCACATAATGTCAAAACATTTTTTTTCCATTAAACTGCTCACCCAGGTGACTTGGGCAGGTAAATTCCAGTAACAGAAATCTGCTCCTCATCGCTCTGGGGGTCCCCACTTGTGATTTAAAACACCGTGTGCGGTAGTAATATAAATACTGGTTTAATAACTGAAATGTAAATTATTGGAAAATGACCTGGCGCGTTCAGATTTTCAGGAAACCGTAGTGGGGTAACTTTTTCAGTTTAACTGTTTTGATCAGTTCTCTAATGAGGGGTTCAGTTACTACCCTGAAAGTGTTTTCTCTAAGGTGAACAATGCTGCTCTGAAATAGTTATGGGCTCTTTATGATTGCACCCTGCACTCTGTATAAGAAGGTAATGTATGTAGCCAGTAGCAGGCCATTTAAAGAGAAAGGATGGACATGTCATGTAGTGTTATGTAGTTATTGTACTCTCTCATCCATTCACTCAAAAACACGTACAATGAATGTTTATTTTTGGGGATTTTAATGTCTATCATAGCTCCCCAATTATGTAAAGCTGTTTTTAACAGTAAAAATGGTATGTGAACTGTAAAATTTAAGCCCAAAATGGTTTGGTTAAAATAAAAACTTTTTTTTTTTTTTGGTTACTTCATCTAGGGTCTTAGTTTAGTTTGGTTAATTAGCTGGCCATTGTCCCCTATTTAATCCTCTCTCCGGGTACATCAGTTTAATGATGGGTGCACACATAGATTGTCTGCAGTGTGGCTTCATTGAACACAACGGGGCCAAGGAATAAGCAGAGAACTTTACCTGTTCATAGTGTAGCTATACCCCTTCCCCTCTCATATCATTGGAATTTTACTGTTGTTTGTGGATTGTAAAGGCATAGGTAAGCCCTGCACACTGATACCTGTGACATCAAGCACAAAGCTTATTGAAACCGGTAGGAGATGGAATGAGCTACAGCTAAGAGTCGTGTAGGTGGGGAGATAAATTAGGATGTTTTCATTCTTTATCAACCAATAAAATATGCCCTTTGTGCCATGGAAAAACTCTATGCAACATTTTTATTTTTAAACTTAAGAGACCCAGCTGATGGGCTGTTTGAAACCAATCGTCTGTAGAAAGGGGGACTTGGGTACCGCTCTCCGTTCACCAGCTGTTTGAAGAACTATGCCTATCATGCTTTGCGTTGGTCATTTCTGTTAAATAATGTGCTTCCCTCTTAAGTCCTAATCTAGCTGGGAGCACCAGAATTGGTATACAGTGATTCACTTCATGCAGAACGTTAGTTTTGGGGATTACCTTTGACTGTTCAGGAAGCCCTTCACAGAACGATTTATTATATGTGGACCTTCCACCTTGCAATAGATCAGAGAGCCCATTAGAGTCCCCACCAGTATTGTCACCATCCATGGTAATTTGATAATTCCAATTAATGATACAGAGATGGCTTCAAAAGTTCAGGGCTTCAAGCACAACATACCATTAACAAATAGTCTTAGTACCGCACCCACGTTTTTACATTTTGTGTTGGTGTATGCAAATATAATATTGCACCTGTCTAGTTTCTGTACATTGACCTTAGGCCCTCTTATTGTTTGGGTGAATGTTTTAAGTGCATAGATTTTGAGTTTCATTGAGTAGGTTATTTGCCAGTTAGTTCTGAAGTATGTGTAATTCATTCAGATTCAATGACTTCCTGAATGGAGAGCAAATCAGGAGAAAGACAATTCAGTGACGACTTGGTATAAATGGTTTTTAGATAAAATTGGAATAAGTTTGTCTCTACTTAAAAATAACAAGTATTATAGATGAGACTGACAGCAGAGGGTGTGTTATTGATTGACTAAAATATTAAAGGGATACTATAGTTGCCAAAACAGGCTTAATGAAGCAGTTTTTGTGCATAGATCGTGTCTTTGAAGTCTCATTGCTCAATTCTCTTTCATGTAGGATTTAAATCACTGTTTCTGATTGAGCAGTCCTAGCTACATATCCCCTGGCTGTGACTGGATGACCTGCATGAAAACAAAATGGTTTCATTTTCAGTTGGATGTTAACTCACTTTAGAAGATAGGAAACGTCCAACAATGCTGAGAGGGGAAACCTTTCAACAGAGTTGAAATGGTTGTGGGATACTGATGGCATAACCCAAAATTAACTAGAAAAGGAAAGGCTGGGAAGGGTAAGCCGAGCAAGCGAACCCAATAACAGACTTGGTATCCTCAGAGAAAACCGCTCTGTCAGTAATCTGCTACAAATACCTATTATAAAGAGCAAAAAATACTATAATTTTATTATATCCCTAATGAGAAGACAAACAACAACAAAAAGTTTCAAGTGAACAGTGTGAATACAATATAGAGAGAAAAAAACACGATGATAATAGTGAATAAAATAGGACTAACTGCTTACAAATGTATCCAAGATAATTAAGTACAGACAGAGACTGGTGTGCTAAACACAATGTTGCAAAGTATTCAATTGCAACAGTTATTTTGTCTGAGTCTGATACTATGCTAGACACTATCAGATAGGTATACTGTTAGATATTGTCCAAGTGAAAATAGAGTAGAGATCACCCTTTATGAGAGGTTGTGGATACCTGTGATTAAGGGTGTTTCTAGAAGCATATAGAAATATGGACATCTGTATACCTGGGGGTAACCAGTGAGTACGTAAGTGACTGAAGATAGAGGGATATTTGGGGGAGTGATTGAATATATACAGCAAACTGGAAGCTAGGGATATGATGCAAGAATACACTGTGCACGTATCCCCAATTGTAATATTCCAATTTAGCTAGTACATTGGTGTGAAGCAAGCTACAAATGCGACTCGTTAGCTGATATACACCACTAAAGGTGTACTTATACATATAAAGTTAAGTACCGTGTATGATAAAATATATTAAAGTGTATGGTGTGGGAGCAGGGAGAGAAGATGTGGTATACTTAATACATTAGTAGTCCTGACTAACGATCGTGATATCAGGACCATGGAATAGCAGTGTAAGTAACCCACACTGTCGTCAATGCTAAATGCTGAAGCCATCTAACCTTACGGAGTACCTTACTATAGCGAATACCAATGACTTTTGGTCAGAATACGGCATACCTAATCTAGCAAGCTATTAGCAGTGCAGGAGAGAAATTCCTAATTTAAACAGAATGTGCAATAAAGAAAGTTTAAACATTATAGCTGTCTTTGCAGGAAGTGTCTAGGAAGGCTGTGTAAGTCACATGAAAGAAGGTGCGCCTGGGACTTTATAAACAAACGTAATTTAACTCCGAAATGACAGATAATCGAACAGTGAGACTGTAGGGGCATGATCTATACACCAAACCTGCTCAATAAGCAGAAGTCTTGAAGCAACTAAAGGGACATGGCGGGACTGTATCTTATTGAGGTGGTTATAGTTTCTTGAGACCCTTTAATAGTAAACAAGAGTCCCCAGCAGCCCATCCCTTACGGTTGCTTGGACCAATAATGAAGCACTCATTTGAGTGTGAGTGGGCGGCTGTGATTGTCTGGTGACCGCTTTCAACCTATCAAAGCAAACATGAACAGGTACGGCTAAAACGTGTGTAATCCCTTCATTAGCCATTTCTCTCAGTAGGGGCCATCCTGTGGGTGCCCAAAGACCCTCATGTGATGTGGTTATACTTGTAACATAAATACAAAAACATGGCTTCACGTTGCTCACAAAAAATGTAGTTAATTTACTTAATTGAGATGTAGTTTCACTCAACTCATAAATATTACATTTAAAGGCAGATTGGCCGTTAAGTACCATCACTACTGTAGTGATCTTAAATATGTGCTAGTGGAAGTGTTTCAGTAACTGTAAACCTATAATTATGTCTTGTTTAACTCTATTTATTTATTGCAGAGGAATGGTACTGCCATGGGAGCAATATTTGCACTCTTATTTGCTAACGTGATGGGAGTTGTCCCACATATTTCTGGGGAAGCAGGGCTTCCTTAACAACCTTTTACTTGTGTCAGAATAGAGAATATGATCAAGAACGATTTGCTGGGGCCATCTTTTATAATTCTCTTTTGATCTTCATAAAAACATATCTACAATCAAACCTATGTGCAAAGCATTGAAGTGGGAATAGTAATCATCTCAACCTCCCTATTATACGTGCTCAAATGTCAGTTACTGACCAGTGATGAGGGACTCTAAAACTACGTGCATGGGGTAAATCATTACGTCTGCACTTATTATGGCTCCATACATCCAGAGTGCATAGAATAACTTTGTTGTTTTCAATTTCTGTGATATCTTTGAACTCTGTGTTATAGTCATATAGTCAAGTAGTCATAATCAGGTTAATCTTTGTAGGGTTCATAGACTGCAGCTATTGTAATGACGTGCTTTTACTCTAAGCATAGCCTTGGGTGTTATCTGCTGTAAGCTCAACTAATTAATTCAATGTATTGTAAAGCATCAAAACCCCTCTGGTGTCATATATTGAGATAGTTATTGCTATTTGCTGTCATCAAGACGTAAGAAATTACCGCTGCTTTTCTGCTGCTGCCTTCATGGTATAACTCTGTTTATTTTGTAGTTCAAGCATTGCAAAACTCCAAATACCTTCTCCCTGCAGTTTGCAACCCACCTTTAACCCTTTCTACACTGCTCTCTTCTACATTGTGAATTAATGGTGATTTGTTGTTGGTGCCAAGAATCAGTTGTGTTGTGGTGCAGCCACATTTCCTTTTGTCTCTGCATACTTTAATCCTAATAATTCTAATTGCAATCATTGAAACCCATGTAAAGGTTTGGGCCCTATTTATCTTAAATGATCTTATAGCGTTCCACGAGAGCACCTATGCTGCAGCTACACACATGGTCCAGTGCAAATCTCTCCATCAGAAATTGGAGTGACTTTTTATCTTGCAGACACATACCATTTAATCACTGAAAGAGTTCAAAACTATAAGCAGTTAGATCAGAGTATTCATTATTATTGGACCGCATAAAATGGGCAGAATCTTGAATGGGTTACAGCTGTTTTCCAGAGAATAGAAAATAAACAAACAGCTTTTCTGGGGCTAAGTTATAAAATTGGGGCAGTTTTCTTGGACCCAATGGAATGTTCTCCAGATTTTTCAACTTTTAGATCTTTACCAGAAAGCCTTAGTACTTTACTAATGAACCTTATTGTATTACCTGTCTGTCACAAAAGCTAAGTTAGGGACACAAAATAATCTCTCTATTGCAATACCGTTTGCTTCAGCTTGTTTGAGTGCGTGCGTGCTTGCTTGCTGTGAGCAGAGCCCATCCGCAGGTGGAATGGGTCAAACTAAACTGCTCCTCTTCGTACAGGTAAGCATAGAGGTGTGAAATCAAGCTTACCTGCCCTGTGGCTAGGATACTGAAATACAATATTAGGAAATAGTTTGTACCATGATCCTCAATGAATACTTTCCATCCGTGGATTCTCTGCTAAGCAGTTACATCTGATAGGTTGTATTTTAATTTGTCAATCTAGGCATTGTTTGTCATGGACCTGTTTATTTTCTAAAGATTCCTGTAAGGTTTCGGTCTGTCATTATAATGAAATATAGTCCGTGGCATTACAACGACCATTGCCAGGGCATTTAATGCAAACGAATAAAACAGAAAATCATAATTTACCCATTGTGTCAACACTGTGAACGTGCATCGCCCATGGAAATAATCTTTAACTGTAATAATCACAAGTATATGTAGGAATTGAGCCCGAGTTTAGACATGCAGTATCATAAGACTGGCAGCACATGTTTACATATATGAGCTGGTACCTGTTTTCTCACACATAAGAGACTGCTATTATGGAATAAAGATAAGACCTGGTGTGCTCTAGGCACCCCCCTAAAAGTCACTTATCTCTAGTGATACAATGTAGTGGGTTTTTTTTTTTGGGTTTTTTTTGTCTCTTTAAATCCGCAGCACTACAAGCAGCATATCCCCAATTTTGGTCACACGGTTTATTGGTTACTTGACCGAATGTGAAAACTAAGCCCCGTTTGACGCAGAGATATTGAGGAATCCAGTCCAAATGTGGACATCGGTGATAGGCTGTGACTGTGAGCTCTGGGGGCTGTCTGTTTGGATTTGTAAACCCCTTAATCTATATAAATCTGCAGAAAGGACAATCAGGCACATGTATTTAAGAAAAACAAAAAAGCAGAGAAGGCATAGGAGGATTCTGTAGGGCTCCAGGTAGGGGGAGCCCCCACCCCTGGCCTTCAATGTTCACACTGTGATGAATCAAGATCATGTTTCCAGGCCCCTGTCTAACATTTGGGCCCTAGATGCCTGCCTGGGCTTACTTTTTCATCTGGGACAGACCCTCTCTGGGAGCCAAATACCCAGCCTATTGTATTTTATTGTTTTTCAAGGACGAGTAATAACAGCAGTTTGAGTTTGTCACGGGACTCTGCAGTACCATACAGTATATAGGAATGTCACCCCAATAATGTACCATGTGTATGAGTATCATAGAACTCCATAATAGTAAAATTCACTGTACTATGCAGTGTGTGAATGTGTGTAGGATAGTATTGTATGGTTGTAATATTCATACTAGTATACAATGTGTAGGAGTGTATCCCAGAACTAAAAGGGGCTTCCTGCAGACCATCCTTCAAAGAATAGTATCCTCTTCTATACCCCTTCCACAACTTACTTTTATTTCTAGCTCTTTTTTAAATCATTCTTTATATATGTTCATAATATATATGTATATAAGTGAGGTGGTATAGGAGAACAATTCCTGGAAGGAGCTTCCTCCTTTACATGGTGGGCAGAAGGTGGCTATGTGGCATCCTCTCTCAATCTGCCACCACTCGACTGGAGACATGCTGGCTAAGCACTGAAATTAGGAGAAGGTTAAGATAGAATTTAAATGAATAAACTGCTTTTCTAGTCCAGCCAGTCTAGAGAAGGCAGCCTTTATACATTGCTATGGGCGATATTGTGCCACCAATACATGTTCATGCTCTGATGTCATTCATGGAGGGAGGATGCGTTGGTTGTATTTATTTTGTCTTTAATTTTTGCATTTACATGACCACTTAAAGGCATGAATGACAATGTGTGGTTTATTTTTTGTTTATTTTCTAGCCGTCCAAATGAAGCATCCAAGAAGGACGCCCCCTCTCCAGCTCTGCTCTCTGCAAACCCTGCTGCTCCTGCTGCCACAGCCACCCCAGCTGTGGCTGGCTCTACACATGCCAAAAGGGCTGACGAATGGAAAGATCCATGGCGCCGATCCAAGTCACCGAAAAAGAAACTGGGCATCTCTACATCGCCCAGCCGAGGGCGGCGAAGGCGGCATACATCAGGCTCCTCAGACTCTGGATCCAATTCATCAAGGTAGGAAAAGCCCTGGACTATGCCCAGCATCCATCACCTGGTTTGTAACCATGGCCAGGGCTAAATGGCTCACAGTGCTGCTTCTGCACAAATTAAGCAAAATAGTCAGTAGACTTAGTTTGTTCCTTTGTTTTGTCATTCTATTTATGTTATCTGATCACTCGCTGTTCATCCAAGAATTCCCCAGTGGTGATGGAAGGGACGGGTGTTGATTGGTGGTAGCGAGCCACGCACCATCTGGATACATGTTATTTGGGTGAAGCCAATCTTTAAGCTATATTTATCATAATGTCTGACACCAGAGTGATTGTGCAATGGTATTGGCACATTCATCCTGCAGGCATAGTGCACTGAGGATATGACATAACTTTCTCTGACGTTGAATTCAATGTAGCAGATAACAAAAATAAACTTCACCTGTTAATGTAAATAGTTGGGGGTTTTTTTTCTTGGTGTGAACACACTTGTCCAACATTGATTTATTGTTATTTTATAGCTTCCCTTTTCAAATTTGTGCCAGAAAAACATTATACCGGTATTAAACGTGCCTTCTAAAAAAGCAGACAGACTAAATCGCTTTTTTTAAAACTTATTTATAAAACAAGGCACAGCGGTGCATTGTGTGATATGTATGGGTGTGCTCACTGGTGTATATAAACAAAATGTAATTTCGTATACCATTAGTAGCAGTTAATGCTGACTTAACACGTCGATACTTGTTAAATAGGCTTAGTTACAAACACAATGACTGCCGTAGCACTATCACTTTAAATATAGTATTCATTAAAACGGGAGTTATGTATGCCAAACGTACAATATTTAGGCTGAATTTTAACAAAACCCTACCCCCCTTTAAAAAAAAAAATTAAATTAAAAAGCCCCAATTCGGCAAAATTTCCAGTGCTTCTGTTTTGTCTTACTTTCAGTCTGTCATTTCACTGCAAGTTGCTGTAAATGCTAGAAAAACCGGTTTTTCTCTTTCCCCCTGTTTACGATGAATGTGCAATTTTGTGGAGTTCAAGGGAAGATGTAAAACCTTTTTTTCTTCTTTTGGACTTTCTCCACATTTCTTACATGTTTACACAGAGCATGACAGGTGACTTACTACCTGCCTAGCTCTACTGCATTCATCAATATGTTCACAAGTCTCATTAAACCCCCCCAAATTTTCTTTGTTAAACCCTTTATATCCTGCGTTTATGGGAGCAGTCCCCTCCAAGGATTTTTAATAGTCATTCCCTGTAGAAGCTCACGCTGCTGTATTTAGCTATTTCCCAGAACCGGGCACCTAAATCATAGCTCCCTATAAATCATTTTATAAGCTCTGTCCTTGGCACATGGCACAGAGAGAGGAGGAGAAACGGAACCTTGTTATGTGTGCCTTGGCTGTGCCAGGCCTGAACTGGATTGTGATTTATATTGCTAAAAACATAATTGATATTTACAAGAAAACTGAGCAGAACGTAAAAAAAAAAAAAAAAAGGTTAACACTTGTTGTAGAGTATTTTTAATATTTTATGCAATAGTGTAATTTCCAGAGAAGTGCCCCTTCCCTTTTAAAATGGCACATGGGTCAGTGTTGTGGACTGGGATTTATCACTATACTGAGTATTGTTTAGAGTACACGAGAGTATTGCAAAATTTAGGCAAATATAGGTAAATGGACTACATTTTTCTAAGTTGGCCTTTTCCCCTTAGATCTTAAATTCCCAGTTTCGTGAATAAATCTTGGAGGTTTTGTTGTGTGGAAATGCTGGTACTTAGAGCAGCTACTTCCAATACACAAGTAAATATGGTGCCATGTGCATTTCTTTTTCTTTGTTTTTGCTCCAGATCATCTTCTCGTTCTTCCTCGTACTCTGGTTCTGGATCATCACGTTCTAGATCATCATCGTATAGTTCTTATTCCAGTAGGTCTTCACGTCATAGCTCTTTTTCAGGGAGCAGATCAAGGTAAGTGCCTTTCAGCCTGGACAGTTGGATATAGGATTCAGATCCTGCCCTTTTAGATTGTTGCTCTTGATATATGAGGTTCGATGTGTATATACATTTAATAAAACACGTACACTTGTTAAATCCACAAAAACAAACCAAAATTATCATGTGGAAAGCCAATATTTATTTATTTAGTCAGGTTCACTTTAAATATACTATGAACATGGCAAGGATGACAAAAGCTTTCTCGTGAAAGTGGAAATATTACCTGCAAGACTAGTATTTCTTGTTCCCGGAAGCGGACGCTTTTTTTCTTTCTTTTTTTTTTTTTAGGTGTTTATGAAATCATGACCTCTGTACAGAGATGCGATTTATATCTGTCTCACTTTCCATACTAGCATAAAAGCCATTTACTACTTGTTCCATTGAATCTATGGGGGTTACTCACTCAATTGAAATTGCTGTGAACTGAAAACCAAAAGGCAAATAGATCTTACTAAAGCCGAGTTACACAATTTAGTATCTCTGCTTTTTTTGGCTAAATTTTGCAGTTCAGTTTCCTTTCAGCACAGTATTTATTGCTTAGTGAATATACTACGTGTAAAATGTCTGTGTTGTTTACACAGAGAAACTTACAAGATCTATACACTATGTTTATACTTTCGCTAGGAAAGTGCTGTGATATTTTAACCCCTTAAGGACACAACTTCTGGAATAAAAGGGAATCATGACGGGATATTTCTGTCATGTGTCCTTAAAGGGTTTAATTGCCTACTTTCTGTATATTTACATTTTATCTAGTAATTCTGGGCATATAAAGGTCCTTTTTGTCTGTACTGGTTCCACCCTCCTCCCATCTAACCATACTGATGTGCTATGTGGAGCTCTTTGGGACTTCCGGGTCTACTTAGGCACAGTGGTCTAGAATTATTTACTAGAGTGTGACTGTCAGTTTAAATAAAACAAAGTGACTTTTGTGAAGCGTTAAGGAGTCCATTTATGCACTATATCCTAATGGCGCAGTCTCAGAGTATCAAACCAATTTCTAATGGTGTATCGGTTTCCCGATTTCCCTGGGAACCAATAGATAACAATTTCGTATCCAATTTTGGTTGAATTTATTGATTGAGAATCTCAATGAGTGCCCTCAGACACTGAACAGCATCCAAACATGGGCGGAATTAAGGTCACTAATACAGGAGTTGGAGCTTGTGATATCAGAAAAGGAAGTCCAGGGGGGCAGGGGCTGGCCATCATGGTGGTTAGATGCACATGGTGAGAGCTCCTCACATAAAGCTTCGATTTCACTACTTAGAGGGGGGGATCATACCTATAGCGAACACTCAAACAAGTACATACCTGACCCTGAATGCTGGGGTAACCTCCTGACCAAGTTTGGAGCTCCGCCACATAGTCTCGTGGCCCGAAAAGCTTTTGCGGCCTAGACGCCTGGGATACTCCACGGAGAGGAGAAATGGCCGATCTCCTGGCCTGGACATGCCAACGTCCAGAGAACCGACCCTAGCACTCTGTCGTGTCCCCCCCCTCTTTGGACCGGTGGGGGATATCCCGGTCCCCACTGGTGTAATCTTGGAGCTTACCCTGCACAACACAGAGAAACTACAGCTCTAAAAGAAGGCAGCCTGCTACCCAAAATGGCGGCACCACCAGGGCTTACTGCTGCTACTCACATTGCACAAGCAGTGGTACTTCGGATCAGGTCTGCAGGCGCATCTCGGCTCAATCCCCATGCAGCAGCAGCATGGAGAGGCAAGCAGCGGGCACACAAGCGCCGAAGCAATGGCACCTGGACGCGAGGGTCGGGAAGATCGCAACCTCTGCTGCACTCCCTGATAGGGAGCCACGGCGCAAAACGACCAAATCCCGGGCCTTCATGCCGCCCCCCAGAGGGCGAAGACCCTCATCACAGAGACTCCTCACGTCCTGAGATCAGCTCGTATGAGCACCTGGAGAGGGACACAACGGCGGACCAAGTATGCAGACATGGAAAGAGACTTACCAGGCGGCACTCTGCCCTTGACAATCAGGGGAATAAGCTGAACCTGGTATTAGCCCTAACGCCTGCACAACACAGTCACCTGTACAAGTGGTTGCCACATTGCACACTACACATTACACCCTTCTCTTACCTATTAGGAAATCGTTATTGTTATTGATAGTAATGTTGCACCCCACAAATCAGCGACACACTGCAATGCTAGACTATGACTAGTCTTATCACCAGTGGTTTACTTTTACTTTTTCGAGTAAAGTCTCAGCAAGACATACAGAAATATAACAAATGAGCCTATAACTTGCCTATTGAATGTTTCGTGATTTACCTCCCATGTCTAGCCATTTAACTGTTTGCTATTACTGTACATGCCTGTTACTCATTCGTGTTATTTTCGTGACTACAAAAGAAAAAAGAAAGTGCAGCACATCTTGCCATTTATGTGTTCAGTACATGCTGTGTCATTGACAATTAACGCCTTATGTAACTGTTTCTGCACTGAGAAAAATAAAGAATAAAAAAAAAAAAAAAAGTCCAAGTAAATTCAAATCCTTCAAAAAACCGTTTGACGCATTGCTGTCAGCATTTTTTTCTTTCCTATGTGTGGAAGGGTGGCAGGTCAAACTTAAGATTGACCAACTTGTCTGATCCAAAAAGTTGGTAGGCCTTCTATTCTTTTGTAAATATTATTAGGCAACTCAGCTGCTCCAGATAATTGGATGGTACCAGAATGGTGCTCCAGAACATTAGCCTAGATTGGCGTAGGCTGTAGTGAAGACAAATTAAAATTTGTCTTGGCAAGAAGATGCTTTGCAGATGTTCTTTACGGACCAGGACCAAGATATTGCACCAAAGCTCTCTATGTGCAAGGTATCAGGAGTCTAACTTTAAGATACTGATTGGTATGATACACTCCCAAAAACTACACAAAATAGTCCCCAAGGCCTCTGACCAATGTTGGGGTGGTTGGATAACTGTTGCATTTATTCTGGGAGTACCCTATTATGACCCATTCTGGAGGTGGGTTTACATCACTATGATTTCATTGGCAGAACCAAGATCTCCATATATAGATACAAGGAATCACTCTATAATTATCTCCAGACTGCAGTTTGTTACTAATTTCTGCCCTTTGCATGTGCCACGTACACCCACATTTCAACGTTGGTTGGGCCAGGTAGAAGAGATTCACAAAATTGAGGAACAGGTGTCAGCACTTAAGGATAGAATGGAGAAGTACCTCCCAATTTGGAGGATGTGGTTACTTTTTTAGTAATCCAATAGGAGAGCCCCATCTTCCCTTTGGCTTCTCGGATGCAAAAGCTCTCAGTCCTGTATGCTATACAGACACATTTGTTGTGTGCTTCGAGGCTGGCATTACCTCCCCCCCTCATATCCCTCTCCGCTTATCCCCTACCTTCACCCCTCTTTTCCTCTTCATGTCCACGTTTGTCTCCCTAACTTTGGGGTCCACACACCATGGGCATGACACTTTGAGCAGGCGATCGATACTTTGTATGCCTAACGCTTTATGGTTTACCTTCAGTGCTTCTTTTGTATGTTCAAACATGTTGAGCTTCCCATCAGTAATATGTTTGCAATGGCACTAATCATACATCCTTTGTCACCATATATGCTACTGTACCTTGGCAATGTGTGTATTCTCCAGTTTTTTAAAAAATCTTTGTACCAAAAAAAAAAAAACTGTTTAATCATTACCCTGGTGATGGCACCAGTGGACTCCTGGCACCATATCCAATTTGGGGAATTGTAAATCCACTGCTTAGAATAGTAGGCATTTATGGTAAAAGCTTCCATTTAAACGCACAGTGATTTGAGCGCTATTGGAATGGAATGTCCAAACACACATTTGTGTCAACCACGTGTTGAGTTAAAGTTTAAAATATAATTAATCACTTGCTTTTCTCTCATGTCACCAGGTCCCGGTCATTCTCCTCCTCTCCTTCCCCATCACCATCTCCCTCCCCTCATAAAGCCCCTCCAAAGACAAAAGGGGAGCCGGCTCCTATTGCCGCTACAGGGTGAGTACAGCCACTGTAATCACCACTAGTGATCTATATGGTCTTTGAGCTCCGTAAAAGGCCTGTTTGTTTGGGGGCTGTAGTACTCAACCAGATGATACAAACTGGAAGATGGAGTTTAATGTCAAGCTTGTGAACACTATTGAGCTCTTTAAAATGACAGTTGCAGCTTGTGGCCTGTTTAGAGTCTTTGCCTACATTTTATTTGTTATTACAGGACTTTCATTCTGACATTGGCAGTCAGACTGCACTAATGGGATCTGGAACAAAGTTAATGGCGGAATAATCCAAAGCATAGAAGTAACGGTGTTAACTGTAAAAATGAATAAACAAACCACTTCCAACAGTGTAGACATGTTGGCATGTGATGCGGTTATCTGTAATATTAAACAGGGCACACCATGCTTCCTATACTAGAACGTGAAATGAGGACATTTACCGGCCTTGGTATTTTGTGTGTGCCATGAGTGTGAGCACAAATTAGCATCACCGTGAAAGATTGTACATAGATCCATAGGGGAAGGGGAGCTTTCCTTATTTGCCCCCATGTAGACTCTGTATTTTTCACATGACTGCTGGCAGTTGAGATACCAACGTTGCTTCTGGTTCAATACCTGTATTCTGGAGTAATCTGTATTGGTTAGAGATGACAGGTCCTATTTCCTGCTGCTGTTGTCTCTCATGCATACTAGTGGTTTCTAAAATCACTTTTGATAATTTAGGGATAAACAAATTGTGAAGAAGCCTGCACCATCCCCAGTACCGACCGCAGCCGTAAAACCGGTGAAGGCTGCTCCAGATCAACCAAAGCCTGGGGCAGAAAACCGAATTGGCCGGCCAAAAGAGATCACTAGGAAAGCTCCGCCGAGGAGGTAAGAGAGCCTCACCCAAAGCAGGAGTCAGTTCATGCCGTCACTACCACATCCCTCTGATCCAACACTTTTCCTTTGTTTGTTTAGGCGGACGATAAGCGGTAGTATCAGTGGAAGCGCTAGCAGCTACAGTGGGTCTAGTTCTAGATCTCATTCTGGCTCTCGCTCGCTGTCCAGATCTTCCCGCTCAACTTCTGCCTCTGTTTCTCCATCTCTGTCTACAGCCCGGAAATCGAGGTATGGAAACTGTCTTAAGAAATGATCAAAAATATTCAGTTATTCCTTTTCATGTTTTTAGCAAGTATGGTGAATACTTACCAGGGTGGCAATACATTCCTTTAAATTACAACTTTAATTATTATCGAGAATAAAATGACATGTATGTATAATCAGATTTCATTCTACATGTCTATTAGATGGCAAACGTGCTCATCAATGAAATACTTGTAAGAGGGCAGCTATCTGCCAGACCACCACTGCTGTACCACTCTCCCATACCTTTTTCTGAGTATCGGTCTGTGACCCTTGGTGGTCTAGTAGTAATGCAGCAATGGGATAGCTCTGTTCCTAGCTACTGGCAATGATGCTGCCAGAGCATAGATCTCTGCTTAGCAACTACTGGACCACGGCTCACAGACGGTGTTGCATGTTTGGTAGTTTTGGGTCTAGTTCCTGCTGTACCAACAGCTACTCTTGTATTGTTCTGCCCAGTGCAGTCTACCTGATCACTTTGTAGTCTTTACCTTTTGGCTTTTCAATCTAGAATGTCCCCAATGTGTAAAAGCTTATCATGTGGGTTTATTCGTTCCGCTGCTAATATTTTCCTTTTTTTTTCTTTTCTTTTTTTTTCTTCTTCCTTGGAATCGCACTAACTCGCACAGGAAAACAAGGTACAAACAAAAACCCGTAATTTCCAGCTAAATGTGTGGGCCCATTGTGAAATTCAGAGCAATCTAGGAAGTATTAATTTCTGTAATCTCTTTCCCTGCTGATGAAATATCAGATCACATGATACACATTTCTTTTTTTGAAAAGTATACTGATCTAGGCAAAAACACCTAAAAGATATTTTCATTTTTTTTTGTTCTTTTTTTCATGTTTGATAAGTTTTATTCAATTTTGTTGCTCTGGTATTCTATGGTGCTTTGTTATGGCATGCACAATACCATTTTTGCTGTTGATTTTAACAGTGTCTTGTATATAATATAAACAGCCCACAATGAAATGACTTCATGTTTACCCACGTTATACATATGTTTCAGGTCCCTAAGTGTCAGCAGCGTTTCCTCCGTATCAAGCGTCTCGTCTAGCAGTAGCTCTGTACGAAGTGCAGACTCCGAAGACATGTATGCTGATCTCGCTAGCCCAATATCATCTGCCAGTTCCCGATCTCCAACCCCAGCTCAAACCAAGAAAGATAAAGGTAGCTTCGAGATTGTTGGCTCAGAGAATGCTGGGCTTGAATCCGGAGAGTCTGTGGACAGGGCTACAGTGGGCGTCAGCAGGAACAGATTAACTTGGGAGAGGAGGCATGTTCACTCTAGCACAGAGCCAACAGTCTGAAATTGGTTATAGAAGTGCTGAATTGTTTATAAATTGCTATTAAGACAAGATGATCCTCACACACAAAGCTTTCCTTTAAAGGAGACACTGGTGATGAAATGCATATAATAGAGAAACTTTGCTAAACATTATATTGTTTAAACTGAAAATAATCTAGTAAAATTCTCTAATCGGTAGATACAGAGCTGGGATATCTTCATTTTGCGGCCTGTTTTGGGTTCAGTATAAAGAAGTGTTTATTGAAGGAACCGCTTTATTATCCTGCAGGCTTCCCTCCTGCACCGTAACACTAAACTAGACGATTGCAGAGTGACAGATTAGACTCCTTCAACAGAAACAAACTATTGTTTATTCACAAAGCTACAAATTGTGGAATATTGACCAGGGAAGTCCAAACTTTAGGCCAAAATTGGGAAAATGCTCCATCTCTGCTTCCTTGGCATAAAATTGGGAGTTTCCTGGTTAATTCTCTACAAGTCCCATTTTAGTTCATTAACCCCAGAATATTTAAATTGATCTATTATTTCCCCCCATATTCTGTTTTTGTTCTTCAGCTCCTGTTGAGAAAGTAAAAAAAGAAGAGCATCGTATTAAAGAAGACAAACGTGTGCGTGAACCCCCAGCACAGCCCCCTAAAGCCACCCTGGCAAAAGTCTCAAAACCAGTCACAGGGGGTAACAAAACTGCACCGCAGCCCCCTGCTCCGCAACCAGCTGCAAGTGGCTTTAGCGCTCATAAGGAGATTAAACTGACTCTGCTGAATAAGGTGATGTAAAGAGATGGCTATATGCAGAGATTACAACTGCATGCTGTATAGGTGATCCATTAGCAAGGGCTTGTTTAATAAGTTACTTTATCACATTCCTGACATTCCTTATCCGTGCAGTACTTACTGTGCTCTCCCATTGGCTAGAAGGTGAAAGTCCCATCTCCATATTGTACTATTAACCAGAATAAATGGCGTATTGCTTTGACTCTTCGCCAGGCGTAGCTTCTGTTTTGACAAGCGGAACAGGTGCCTACACTGGAAATCCCATTAACACCTTCATTGCCAACAAACATTGATCACTGTACTTTCCAGGGCAGTGACATACAGTTTGAATGACAAGGAAGGATTAAGCCAGGGCCTGTGCCTATGGAGTAAGCCATGGCAAACAAAGGCCTTATGTTTCCATCTGTCTAGGAGAGTGATGGTACTATTGGAATCCCTTTTGTTTCTGACATATATGACCTTGGCTGACGGAGCAATACAGAAAATGTAGCTAATGTGTGGTGACAACATTCGCCATCCCTGGGCTGTGAGCTTAAATGCATGATGTTTCTGACTCACTGTTTTTCTTTAACATTTCACCCTAATTCATTCATATTTTTTTTACGGCTTTTGTTTGCATTATGTCTTGCAGGGCACTGATAAAGGGAGCAGAAAAAGGTACGAGCCATCAGACAAAGAGAGGCAGGGATCTCCTCCTGCTAAAAAAGCTGCAGTCTCACCAGATAGAGGTAATCAATATTGATATATATTATTTTTTTTAGTGATTCAGACTAAGTACCATAACTATTTTGCGCCATTGCAGTGGTTGTGGTGCAGAGTATATTGTACCCACTCTTAATGCTGAGAGGCTTCTAATAGCTGGAGTGATTTGTTACAGTCGCTGCAGCTATAGGCCTGGCCCTCTGTCTGACAGTTCAAAGCAGATTTTACATCCTTCTTTGCCACGTTAGAGTGAGCACGCACACACGGTGTGAACAAGGAGGGCCGTCTGTCCTCGGTGCAGTGCATAGTTTGCGACTTCAGATATTGCAGCACAACTGTATAAACCGATAGAAGCTGCACTGTATCTGCTTATTGAGCAATTGCACTTGATAGGATAAGTACATTTCTGTAAAAATTATGCAATCAGTTTTTACCACAGTTAACACGCACAAAAAACATATATTGCATTTTCCTCTCCAGAAGGGAATTCTGGGTAATAGATGCTCATAGATAGCACGTAACCCCTTATGTATCCTTGTTTTTGTGGAACCTAAATTCAGCGTCAGTCAGTGATTTTGTTTGCTACTGCTGTATGTCGGCACTTTCACACGCTTCTGTTGTTGTCGAATGAAATTTTCACAGCGGTTGTTTGTGTGGGTTTCTATTCTAAGACTTGCTTAAATATATGTTGTCTTTAGACACGGATCTAAAGGGCATGCTCAGGATGGGTATATATAGGTTTGTGTGTATACATGTTTCCCAAAATAGGTGTGTGCATGTGTCAGACTTAAAATTGTATAGAATGATAAACATCCATGTGTTATTCTTAACACAATGGAAGGATTCCCATATTAGAATTAAATGTAACTGCAAATTCTCACATTCTAACATTTACTGTTTATTTAGGATTTTAAAATATAAACTCCCGAGTGCATTGACACAAAGGTAAATCTAAAGGCGCCATTCAGAGTTTAGTGAGTAAACCCTTAAATCTTAATGTCTACCTTTAAATAACACTCTGCGAGGCAGCAGTAGCATTTTTTTTCCCTCAACCAGCTCAATAAATTTCAGTCCTGCTTTAATGAAAAATTGCTTTTATAGAAAATGTTCTTCTTTGGTGTTTAACCATTTTATCTCATTGAATTGGTTACAGCGCCTGGAGTCCCCTGGCACTGCCCCTCTTTGCACTGTTAAACTATGTTCAAGCAGTTTAACATTGAATGAGGGTCCCTGGCTTCCCATAGTCCTGCCCCTACTGGAGGTGTGGCTAAGGCAAACGTCCACACTTCCTTCTAGCTGTGTCTATTCAAAGGATGACTCTGATAGGCTGAAAGCGATTAGCCCACTCTCTCAGCCAATCACCAGCCATTGTTGCTCAGGCTATTGCCTTCTCATTTACCATTTAAACATTATAAACAGTTTTATACTGAATGGAAGGACAATGACAGGGGTCTCTAGACATGATAACCACTTGACATGAAGCGGTTACATGCCTTCAGGATCCCTGTATACAATTTATTTGAAGCAATGGCTATTATACTGGCATATTAACATATAGCACATCAGTTTTGTGTATAGATTGCTTTGCAGACAAACTGTAAAGAAATCAATTTTTTATTTTTTTTTATTTTTTTTACAGCCTTTGTATTAATATTTTGGAGATAAAAGCCTTTAGACAATACATAGTGTCCTTTGTCTTCCAATATTTCATGCAGTAGGTGTGACAAAAACAAAGAATTAAATATTGTGAAAAACATTGCTTATAGTTATTTGTGAACACCCTGAAGGCAATACTAGTCATGCTACTTGCTGAAATGGCAACAGAATGTCTGTGGGATGCCCAAAAACAGTTAAATCACTTCTAAAATAGAAGTAGTTAAAACTGCTATAGCAATCTTTATCAATATTTGGATTGCGAATGTAATGCCGACAGTAAAATGTTAGAGTACATTCACTCCTCCCTCCCAAGAAGTAAAAATGATACGACCCATTGAAAGTTCCTTTACTGTTTGCAAGCAGGGTGAGCAGACATTTTCAGCACAGGTGCAGGCATTATATCAGTATCTAGTGACTTCTGGCAGAGAAATATATGAGGGGGTGTGTAGATTTTATGGACTAAATTGCATTATGCAGAATACATGAAAGTAAGAACATGTATACTCTATTCTGGTAGATAATTGGCTAGTAAAGGTAAAGCCTCAATTCAATGGTAATAGAGTAATGGCAGCCTCCTACTTAGGCAAACATTGCTGAAATCAGTACAGTTCATATAGTATCCATCTGTCAATGTAGGTTTACATTGTGTTCTTAGTTACTTTAGGATGCTGCTTATATTCACAGGGTTTGTACGCAACGGACACTTGTCTAGGTAAACATGAGAAATACCTGTAAAATCAGGTATGGGCTAGTGCACAAAGTAAACTTAACATTCAGTAAGGATAAATATGCATGTAAAATTAAGCATGTCAACCAGATGTAACAAAAATGTCTTGTTTTGTAAATAATACAATCCCATGAAAACTTCTTTACTCATAATCGCTTTGTCTGACAGCAATTCGGGATCGCAAGCAAGCGGGCAGACCGCCCTCACCAAAACCCGACCGCCAGCGTGCACAGAACCCCAAGCCAGCGTCCAGCCAGACTGACCGGTAAGTGACAGTGTTATGTTACGGCCTGCCATTAGATTAGACGCAGGTTGTTAAATCAATGCAAACTTTCCTTCTCATCAAATACAAACTACAGCTTAGATTCATCCCTTTTCCCAGAATCCATGTACTTGCCCAGCTGTGGTTGGGAATATAGCATTTGTTGCCACAATGTAGATCCTCAGCTGTTTTAGAATTCCATTAAGACTGGCAATGCATAATGGGACATGTAGTTTTAGAGTAGCTTGGGATCTAACTTGCAGGCTGACCCTGGAATGCAGAAAACTAAAGCATTTAAAAACTGTTCAAATTTGGCACCCACTCTCAAGGAAACAGCAGCCGTTATGCCAAGTGGCGCTCTGTGTCATCATAGTTTTGATCAATTGAGACCCTGGGCTAGCGTGCTCATATTTTAGCATTAGCCGCGCTCTGTCGGTACTTCTGATGATAACTCAGAATACATCCATTGCTGACATGGTGTCTTTGTGAAGATGATGTAGACTGTCACTACTACTTAAATCACACACAGATGCACATAGATCTGTTTCCCAAAGATTTTGGTGTGCTGTAAATGTTTTAAACCATAATTGAACATAGGGGCAGTTGGCAGCCAAGCAGTGATGTCATTTACAGGGGGTCTTTGCAAACTATGCAGAAGCCATTCAAAGTGACAAATTGGCTTTAATCAGCTGTGCGCTATCCATTGTAAATAGCACAATAAACTAGTGTTTGAAGTGATGCTCTAATGGGGCTGTGTTCATAATAACAAAGCATTATCATGGCATTGTTTCTAATCAGGGTGGATAAACTAATTTGATTTAAATCTATTTATATTTTTTAATTTAATTTTGGATTTCTTTAATAAAATGCTTTTTGAGGGGATAAAAACTAACAATAGTTGTCTAAGATAGATTATAGTCTAAAGGTTATTCAGCATGAAATCGGGCTTAGTTATGTAGCATGAGGCTGTAAATTCATGCAATATTTCCATTTTTGGTTATCTACAGCAATAACGTGCACTTTTTCACAGAAAATAATGTTATGAAATAAACATACAAAATTATGAAAGACTTTAATACCATTGTTTTAAGTTGTTAAAGAGACACTCTAGTCACCAGAACAACTACATCTTAATATAGTTGTTCTGGTGAGTATAATAGCTCCCTTCAGGCATTTTCAGAGAAAATGCCACTGGAGGTGCTTCCTGGTTCACTGCTGCACAGTAGGCAGCACTGCCGTTCAGCGTCTCCACGCTATGCATGAGACGCTGAATTTTCCTCATAGAAATGCATTGCCCCTTGCTGGTTTTAGCCAGTCCAATGCTTTCCCCATGGCAATACTGATGTCACCAAGGGGGCAGGGTCAGCACTGGCAGACCTGCGCAGTGCTGGAAATAATAAGGTGAGTTAATTCCTTTTGGGGTGGGGTGCAAACCAACTAAAAGGTGGGTTTTGTATTATTGTCTATGTATTTCTAAAAGTATAGATTTTGTTCTGTACCGTTAGAACTAATCTGAAAAGTTATCTAAATATTCAGTCTTTGTCTAGTTGCAAACATAAACGGATACACCACATATACAGCCCTTTTCTAGGAAGCCATGCCCCATATTCACAGTTTACAATGTTTTCTCAATCTCTCTTCCACAGGAAACGTCCACTATCCCCACCACCGACAAAAAGTTCCACAAAAGTCACCAGCATCCCAGGAAAAGGACCTGAGACAGCAGCGCCACCAGCGTCTGCCAAAGCAAGCAAATCAAGCACGCTATCCCGCAGAGAGGAGCTCCTCAAACAGCTCAAAGCGGTGGAAGATGCCATCGCACGCAAGAGAGCCAAAATTCCTGGCAAAGTATAGCGCCACACGCCCCTCCATTGACATATCTGGAAAGACTTCTGCGTTTTTATACATACAGTTTGAGTGTGACTGGCCATGTTGGGTTTTGGAGATACGCCATTCTCCCCCTACTCTTTCAGATATTTTGGCAGTCAGTTTTCCTTAAATATACCGAAAACCTGAATGCCGCATTGGATGAAATTTCCCGATTTCGAGCTCCATTTACCGGCGTCTCTATCAGATGTTCTGATTGGACCACAATGGAAGTAAATCCTCTGGAACGAGGACACTGAATGGAAAATCCTTCATATACTTGATAAATACTTGCTTTCTTATCCCTCCTTAATGATTTTTTTCCCCCCAGTTCGTTTCATTGTATTTTATTTTTTTCCCCAGTATGATATCTGTCTTTGGCAAAAGTGAGGCCTAAAACTGCTGCAAGCTGTGCCCCTTTAGCACTCTCCCCATCTGACTCCATCGGAAGGTAGCACTATAAATATATTGATATCTACTCCTTCTCGGTCAAGGATTAAGATGCATTCTTATTTTTAAGCAACAGGTTGTTTTAGTTTTGGAAAGAAAAGGGGGAGGAGCGAGTAACGTGCTAAAACCAACGCAGTGCTATTAGTTGCAAAGTCTTATCTGTTGAAATGGGACATTTCGGGGGGGAGGGAGGGGCACAATACCCCTGGAATAAAGTATTTTGATAAAACATTTCTCCACGGTGCTGGTGTATTTTTGTCAAACATTTGGTGGTTTATTTCACTATTTCCATGATTTTCGGCAAGAATAATCGAAGACAAACTGAAAATTATTTTATTTAGAAGAGCAAGTCAAGAGTCCGAAACCACCTTGTACAAGCAAGATCAATATTTACTCACAAGTAATAATAAACGTATAAGCATTTGGTTTTAGATAGTATAATACATAGATCTTAAAGGGGTACTCCACGCACCTTGACCACTTCATTGATTTGAAGTGGTCATGCTGCCTGGAGGTTGTACGTGTGGTATTTTGCTGTGAAATAGTGCACATACAGGTTTGACCCCCTCTTTTGTCACCGGTGTAACTAGAGTTCCGAGCTGGCTAATGTAAATTCTGTGTAACTTTCATTGCACGGAATGTCAGGCTGACTCAGCCAGCAAATGCCAACAGCTGCAGTATTTGGCTTCTGTGTCTCTGCAGAAGTGTGGCACTGGACTGTGAGTGAGCATCGAAGCCCAGCAGGGACTTTGGGGGGAGAGGGGGGACTGGGGCTAAAGAGTTTGCCCCATTACCAGGCCCAGGTACTCATGGCTATTGTGATTAGAGTAACCCTTGATTAATAATCATTAAAACATCGTGGTTTTTGTTTTGTTTGTTTTTTTTGTGTGGTTTCTCCTCTCACTCTGTATTTCTTTTAATACATATTTGTATGTCTTTTGGAAAACAGGTTAAAATCAGTCCTATGAACCCATAATGCAGTGTGGTTGTAGTTCATAAAGCTGTCCTTCCAGGCAATGGCAGAAAAAAAATACCAGTTTTTTCATTTCTGTCTGGTACTCGATGCAATGCATTTCTATACCATGTAGACAATGCGTGTAAAACCTGCGGCCCAGAACTGCTTGTAATGGGGCCCAGTTGCCGTCCAGGCTGCCAGGAGACCAGAAGCCCATTACTTACTGTGCTCTTTCTGCACGGCTCCCTTACGCCACCCTGCAGTGAGCCGGCAGCTGGGATAAGACGTCATCCTGGCATCGCAATCACTACTGGGCGCGCAAGGGACCTGTGCAGGGAGAGAGCACAGTAATCCCATCACCAACCACCAAGGGGAATATCAACTCCAGCCCTCTCAGGGCAAGGTAGGGAGGCTGGGTGGACCTCTCAAAAAGAGAGAGAATCCCACATAAGGATAACAAATAAGGGAGTTATCTACTAAACAACTGAAATATCAAAATTAAGAAAAGTTTGAATTGAAGTTTTATTAAATAAAGTATATATTTGATGTGCGCCCAAGACCATTGCTCTTTGTGGCCCGGGGAAGCCATGATGTAGACTTTCCAAGTCTGGATAACAGAGCCTCTTTAAAGCTGTCATAGCATTGACTGTAGCAAGTGACTATTTTCTAAAATAAGCTTGAACTGCAAACTGCCCATCTTCCTTACAAACTAGCAACATGTCTGTTAACAGGATGCGATTAGTTTTTACTTAATTAGTAAAGTTAATGAAATATGCTTTATGCAGGGAAGTAACTAATGAATTCCTGCAACTTATGCCATCCTAGAAAAGGGTTACACTTGGCCCATTTAATAGCTCATTCAGGTGGTTACATTGCCTTAATATGTCTCTTAATTTTGCAAACCGTTCATTAAGGGCTTTTACTTTTTTTTGGGGGGAGGGGTTAAAAAGGTTACTCCAAGCACTATGACCACTTCAGTGATTTGAAGTAGTTATGGTGGCTGAAGTCTGCATGTGCAGCGTTTTGGTATAAAACAGCACATATGGAATTTAACCCCATTGCTGCCGGAGGTTTTATGTAATCTCTGGCACTGTTATTGGGTTGTCATTGGGCTGGTTAATGTTAATTCTCTGCAAATGTTCAGGCACTGTGTCTCATTGATTTGCCGTGAGAGTTCAAGTGAATCTGGAATGATTAAGAATTGAAAAGAAAATTGCAAATTCTAACCCTAAGCTGAAAAAGCAAACAATGTTGGAGTGGTTATCTGTTGCTTCAAGCTTTTGAAAGCAGATAAGCAAAGAGAAAGTCTAGGGGAAAGCAATTAATGAAAACTAGTAATTAACAGGGTGGGTATAACAGACTCGAACTCTGTTAGTGTACCTTTACAGAATGTGGGGGGTGGAGGTTGGCTAACCTTGGCACCCCAGAAGTGTGTGTTGTGTTTTTAAATTAAGGAGAAATAATGGGATCATCATCAAAAACAGAGATTAGAGTTTCAGAGAAAAGCAAATATGAACCCAGAAATTTGAAGAATATGCAGAGGGAATTGTGGTTTGTTTTTTTTGTTTAAATGCAAGGAGGGTGGAGTACTCTAGGAGAACAGGGGATGATGAATGTTGCACCCCTATCAGATGCCCTTCAATCCAGGGGTCCCAAACTTTGGCACCTCCCTTCAGGAAAACCTCATTTCAATTTTACATAGTATATAGAGAATTATTTTTTATTTTTATTTTTTTATTCTCAGTGTGAAGGAAAGGCCACCTTCCAATGTTTGGCAATACACACTCTGGTTGCAGTGAACCCGACCACTTTCTTGATTGCTGAGGTTAGGTCTTTGAGAGTAGAGGTAATGCAGACTATGGCTTAGTCTCCAGCTTAACCACAAGAGTAGAACCGGAGACCCAATTTCAAACCCTAGAATCTATAGGACAGGTCTGCCACCACTTTCCCTAAAACATAAGTGAGTATGGGATGGGCGACTAAATACGACTAACTAATATTTTGGGTGGGTTCACATGCAATAAAGCGCAAGTCCTCACCACCAAAAATAATCCACTCTGTCCATGGACTTACCCCAGCTCTGTCTCCTATTTCGGTATGTACAGTATTGAGGAGGTATACAGAGAAGACCGCTCAAAGCAGGGGGGCACGCTAGATGTTTTTGACCTGCACTGTTCAGAAATATCTGCAATGCCAAAAATATCTAGCCACCCCAGACACTGGAAGAATGAAAAGAAAAATAGAAAATTAGACAAAGGAGACCATGGTTTGTCAATATCTGGCCCATCAGATGGTTATGGAAATAATCAACAACTGCAGGGGCACCCCTGCTTTATCACACGTCAAAAAAATTACATTTTCCACGTACGAATGTGGGATTATTACTGACAGCTCTGTCACAAATCACATAACTGTATACACAAAAGTTGTTAAAACATGGAAATATTTTGAAAAGATGAACGCAAAATATGTGAAATTTGATCCAGTGGAACACTTCTCGGAAACCTGACTTCACTGCAAAGCTTGTCATTCAGGATGTGCGAGCATACCCTCTACGTGGGCAATATTGGAACAGTTGTGATCACTTCCATAAGACAATCGTTTATTTCTGCAAAGTACTTTGACTATTTATGTAAATCATAGCAGTTGTGATCATGGTTTACACGTAGGGGAATTAAAACCATTAGCCTCCAGTAAATTCCACTGAAGTGGATATTTTACATTTGCATCACTGGCCAGGCTTTTCCACGTACTCTGCACATCAAATGGAATTTTAGTAAAATGATTGTGAAATGATGGCTTCCCTTTCCAAATCCATTCTGGGGTAATGGTCTAGATGTGGAGCTATCAGTTGGAATATTTCATTAGTTGCCATGGGGATTGCTTCCCATTTAATACATGCGCTGCAGTGTGATTTCAGCTACTCAGCCATCAGTTGTGATTTCTAGTTATTTTGTTCTAAAGGTATATGCTGTCACTTGGCAAAATGCAAGATTTGTATTTATTTATTTTTAATGAAGAAAAAAAAAAAAAAAAGGCCTACCTGCTGCAAAACTAATTGCCTAACAGGTTATTTCAGCTACAGTATTCTGATCAAGCAATTTCGCAAAGGTACGAAACTATGCCAGAATGAATGTGTGCACTCCAAATGTTGGATTGAACAAACACTTTGAATATGAAAAGCAAATTTCAATACCAATTCTAGTTTGTAGCCTCACAGACCAAGCAACTCTTTAAATAATGCCACTTTGGAACACGTACATATTGTACCTGTAAGGCAGCAATGTGAAAGAGGCTGCTTACACAGGGTTAAAATAGTCACCCGGTAAATACCCTGCCACCACTTCTATCCTCAAGGTACGGTGGCCATACCAGCCCATATTGGAGCATATATTAACTATAAGCATCTGGGTGGGGGGGGGGGGAGTTTAGTGTGTTATGATTAGCCATCACAGGCCTAGAGGAACTACAAATCTCATGATACTCAGCCAGCCAGCCTGTCCGTATACAGGAAAATAGGCTTTAATGCTTTACATTTTAAAAGGGATCACAGAACTGAATCACTGTTTGTTTCTCTAATTCA